TTGAGCTTCATGGCAGCAGTTCCGTCTCACAACTTTGCAGACCTTAATTTTCAGCTTTCAGTGGGTCTTAATGGTTTGGCTCATCGGTGTACGTATTAATTCTTTTTAAATAATTACTGTTCCTTGTGGGTGGCTGTAGCTCAGGTGGCAGAGCAGGTCAGCCACTAATCAGAAAGTCGGTGGTTCGATCCCAGGCTGCCTCTTGGCTGCCAAATATCCTTGGGCAAGATACTAACCCCATGTTTGACCCAGGTGGTCAGAGGGCCTGGTGGCAGCCTCGCCTCTGTCAGTGCGCCCCAGGGCAGCTGTGGCTACAATGTAGCTTGCCATCGCCAGTGCGTGAATGTGTGGGTGAATGACTGAATGTAGTGTGAAGCGCTTTGGGGTCCTTAGGGACTAGAAAAGCACTATACAAATGCAGGCCATTTACCATTTGTTTGCAAAAACATTGCAGATGACTCTAAAAATGCGTTCCATGAACCCTGACTTTTCTTTTGAAGCCTCTACAGTTGTATGCCCTTTGATGGCTCACATAAAGCCTCTGTGCCTTAAAGGAAAACATCAGAAAGAAAAACAACTATCCCCCTTTCTGTACTCGCTCATTCCTCTCTGCTATGCCACAGCTTCTTTGTTGCCCGGATGAATCACGCCCTGAACCTTTTCTCTCTTCAAGATGATTATGTCTGTGTTGTGTAAGAGATGCTCCTTTACCTCTGTTTCCATATGCTCGACACGATCAACAAAAACCCTCTTCTTCTCTCATTCTCCCCCCTCCCTCTCCTGTTGCTACTTCAATCATGAAACTGATCAATGATCAGCTGATTGTCTCTCTTGTTTGTTTATCGCCCACTTTGCACCAGAAAGAGGAAACCAGCGGATGTTGCGCTAAACAACAGCAGCACGTTCAATAGGTCGCAATATGTACATTATCTCGGCAATACCTCTGAAAGATTGAAGATTGTATGTGGCGTTCCTCAAGGTTCTATTTTGGGACCTAAACTTTTTAATTTATATATTAATGATATCTGTGACGTATCAAAAAGGTTAAATTTTATTTTATTTGCAGATGACACAAATTTTTATTGCTCTGGAGAGAATTTGAAAGATTTGGTTGAAAATAGGATTTCTGAGATTAAAAAAATGGTTTGATGTAAATAAATTATCTTTGAATCTGACAAAAACGAAATTCATGATATTTGGCAATTGTGAAAAGGAGGAAGAAGTCATTATGTCAATTAATTAATGGAGAATTGATTGAAAGAGTTACTGAATTTCACTTTTGGGGTGTAATAGTAGATGAAAATTTGATGTGGAAATCTCATATTGAGTATATTAGAAAGAAGATGGTTAAAAACATTTATATTTTGGGAAATGTAAGAGATTTATTAGACTACAAAACAATGCGCATTTTATATTTTTCATTGTTTTCCTCATACTTTAGTTACTGTGTCGAAGTTTGGGGGAATACATATGAGAATACTAAAAAACCTCTAAACTTATTACAGAAGGAAGTTATACGAAGGATTCATAACGTTAAATATAGAGAACATAAAAATAAATAAATAAATTAAAATTAGGAGATTTAGTGAAACTACACATACTATTAATTATGTTTAAGGCTAAAAATAATATTTTGCCTTTTAAGTTACAAAGAGTATTTTTAATGTGTTCGGGGGGAGAAGACAGCAGAAGGAAATTTTATATTAAGCATCAGCTAGCTAGGACTACACAAAGATTAATGAGTGCAACGGTTAGGGGTATACGACTGTGGAACTCTCTTCATTATAATTTAAAGACTTGTATAAATTTGCATTGTTTTAAAAAGTGTTACATGTCTAAAACAATAACTCAACATGAAGAATGTGAATGAAATTGGAGTTAATTGAAAAAGGATCCATTATTTTTTTGCCTCATTTATTTTATTTACTTATCTTTTCTCCTTGTTACTATGTGGGGTGGTATATTCTGATTGTAAATTTGTTGTTTGGTTTGAGTTAGGACCGGAGATAAATGTTAATGTTAGTTTGTTCCTTGATTTTTGGTGCCCACTTGCAATATAAGTTGGATTGTAGATAGGGGGCAGGGTTTAATAAGAATATTTTCTTCTTCCTGCTCCTTTTCACACATGGTTGCAGTGCTTTACTGATAGAAAGTGTGGTTGGTTTGTCTGAAAGAACTAACTGTGGAAACTGTTGTACCAAGTGTGAAATAAATAAATGCAATGAAATGAAATAAAATGACGTTCAAGCTTGAAAAGCTGTTGTTAGAATTTATTTAATATTACTTTCTAGTATCAGCTGATGTTTGCTGGAGCCACAGCTGTAAAAGCTGCTGGTCATGATATCGGTTTGGATATGTGGTGAGAGGGAAACATGAAGATGATACAAATCATAAATATATACAAGACAGTGTACATCACTGTCACAACAGCGTTTGTTTTAGGCTTTATGTTTTTTCCTATAATACCTGGCGGTGTAGTTGGGACGATCTTTTGTCAGTTCAGCCTTATATATTATGTTTAACCCGAGTGACCACCTGGTCAGCTGGTGGGTAACAGGCATCTCCAAAAACATTAGAGCACTTATGCAAATATGTGATGTCTTGATAAATCAAGCAGATATTTGAAGTTTACGCAGCACCATTCTCGCATGAAAATATCTTAAAAGTTTATTTTGTGACCCAGAAAGAGTAATATTTCAAACTCCGCCACTGCCTCGTTTGAGTTTTGGATGAAATGGATTCTGGGATATTGCATTTCGTCATTTCAAGCTGATTGGAGACCAAAACAGCCAATCAGATTTTTTGCATCCAAGTCTGTGATTTGCTGGTTTTGTGGCACAAATATAATGGTTTATACGTGCACGGGCAGAAATGTTTAGAGCGCGAGCGACACATTGCGCAAATGCAAAAACTGAGCGAGAGCGGCTGCTGTTGTGTGTGTGGATAATAGCAAACACTGAAATACATTTTTTGCACGCAGCAATGAATTTTGTTCACTCAAATTTAGCTTTTCTTTGCTCAAAATAAATTTCTCCTCAAAATGCAACACTTGCACTTGCGAATTTTTTTACGTGCGCTCAAATCTTTTTTACGTGCGCTCAGAATAGTGGCACAAAAATAACGCCATAGCTTTCAACCTTTTGAATTTTTTATCCAGGTTATCTTCAGCAGCAGACTCTCTTTATGTTCTCATTTAAAGAGGGAAACTGATGCATTTGCATTTTCCCCTCCCTGAGCCTGGTTCTGCCGGAGGTTTCTTCCTGTTAAAAGGGAGTTTTTTCTTCCCACTGTCGCCAAAGTGCTTGCTCATAGGGGGTCATAATATTGTTGGGTTTCTCTGTATGTATTATTGTAGGGTCTACCTTAAAATATAAAGCGTCTTGTGGTGACAATTGAACTGATTTGAATTTGACTCTTCTTCTGAGCAATATGGTGTAGGAAAAAAAAAAAAAAAGCCAAAATAAAGACAAAATTGGGTGAATACTATATATCAGCACAGTGGCTCAGTAAACCTTAACGTTTGATTTTCTTTAGACGAAGGTTTGTTTTAAAAAAGCTTCAAAATTGTTTGCAGATTGGAGGTTTCCAGGTGGATGTTTTGGAACCTTTTGTTTATATTTTTGTTCCTTTGGTGAAGCGAAGTCCCACATTCCCCCTGCCCACAGTTACTTTGCCATTCTCCTTTCCTTGTTTATTTCCTTTTGGAAATAATCTTCCCTCCAAGGGGAATTGGACAAACCATGTGTGGACTTTAAATTTTGGACGTCTATATATACTCCTGGCACTATTTTTAAAACCAGTTTCCATTGGCTTTGGGTAGTAACCGCTACATCACATTAAGTCCCTGTTTAATAGTTAATTTTTGCACCTATTAGTGAATGTTTAGGTAGCCTGGGGCGTTTTATCCAGTGGTTTTCACTGCTCTCGGGTTTTAAAAAAAAGATTCCTCTTTTTCAGCTCCTTGGATTTACTCCACGAGTCTGCACTCGCTGGCATGAACAGCTGACAGTCTTAGACAAAGCACTGAGTGCTGGAGACAGGGGTTTGGACCTGACACAGGGATGCCAAGAACCACTGCATAGGGAAGAGATATTAAAAGAGTGTGTGTGTGTGTGTGGGTCTGTGTGTGTGGGTGTGTGTGTGGGTCTGTGTGTGTGGGTGTGTGTGTGGGTGGGTGGGTGGGGGGACGAAGAAAATTGAATGGATTAAAGAAAAAAAGCTTCATGTAACTAAAGAGGTGTATGTGTTAAACAGTAGGTTACACATGCTGTGTACTTTGAAGCCTTCTTTTTTTCCTGTCAGTAATAACTGAGGGCTGGATTTCATGAGGGTGGAGAAGGAATATTTAGCGAACTTAGGAATGGGGAGATAAGCTTTTTTCTTTCATTCCTCTGTAAGACTGGGGCAACTTTTTTACGGATTTGGTGCCTTCATAGTAAAGTATTTTTGGAGATTTTGCTGTTTATTTGAGGTGCTAGTGTTCCTTAAGAGTAAAAATCAAGGGGAAAGAGAGAAGGAAAAGAAAGGCGAAGCACAAGGAATGCTTGTACTGGAGCTGAAGGTGGCATAATTGCTGTTTGTCTGTTTTGGAAGATATGCCGATATCCACCTCTCAGAGACTTCTGATGACGAATTGGAAGGAATCCCAGAGTTTTGTTTGCTGACTTCTCCCGCTCCCACAATTTTTTTTTCTTTATTCCTGCTCATATTTCAGAGGCGCCCCTGGATCTAGGAGCACTGGAGAAGGAGGAGGAATAGATAGGCAGGCAGTTTGAAGTGTTGGGCCGAGACACAAGTTTTTGAGAAATTGAAAATTACATAGTAGCTGTATTTTTTGTTTTTTTGTTTTTTTTAGTCGTTGTTTTGACTGAAGCCTTAGCAGATGATTGAGACAAGCTTCAACATGAAAGTAATTTCACTTCCAGTGGCTCAAAGAATAACCGAAGTTCCTCTGCTCTCCCTCCCTCTTGTCTTGCTTTGTGCCATATTTTTGGCGGCAGCAGGCAACCATACGGGAAGAATCAAGGTGGTCTTCACGCCCACTGTCTGCAAACTGACCTGCATAGGTGGCAGGTGTCACAACAACTGTGAGCGGGGAAACACCACCACCATCATCAGTGAGAATGGTCATGCCACAGATACCCTGACAGCACCCAACTTCAGAGTGGGTAAGTGATCCTGGCTTTTGTTGGTTGCGCACATCACCAATCTCGATGGGTGGTATTACTACTAACAAGCCTCAAATCTGGCATATTAGAGCTGCTGGTGGAAAAACATGTTGTTGACATGAAAATCTTTTGCATTTTATCACCACGTTCCTTCACAACAGTACACAGGTGTGAAATTATTGTGCCGTAATGAAAAGAGTCTGCTGTATTTTAACATGATTATGCTGATTTTAAGGATGATAATTTTACTGTCCCTTATGACTCTCATGACAAACGTACATGGTGAACATAGCTAAACAGTCATATATTTTTCTAATGGCAGTTTTTGACCAGCAATGCACAAATCCAAATTTTTCCAGTTGTGTATTTTCTTAAATAATTCTGGTGATTTATTTGTCATTAACTGCTGATGTGTGATGTCAAAAAAGAACAGTTACACAGTTGATGAGAGTGGCACATTGTCACCAGTACCTTGTCTAACTTTTTAATCAGCACTGGACAGATTGCGTTTGCGTCACTGGGTGGAAATATCAACATGAAAGAGCACTGTGCACAGCCTAAGGAGCTTAGAACAAATGTACTATGCAAATCTAATAATGTTATTTTGCATAATGTGGGATCTTTACCTTACAATAAAAAGTGCCTTGAGGCAACTGCTGTTGTGACCATAAACGGATGATAACTAACACTATGTCTGAGACACGTCTTGGTATCAACAGAAAGATTTTACAAATCTGAAAGATAGTCAGTATCATATACAGTCAGTATCATATACAGTCAGTATCATATACAGTCAGTACCATATACAGTCAGTATCATATACAGTCAGTACCATATACAGTCAGTATCATATACAGTGCTTCGGGTGCTAGCTGTAACCAACACACCAACAAAAGTTATTTATTGTATCTCCGCTAGAACTGGACTCTTCTACAGCATAGTCAAGTAAAAGCTGCTGAAACATCAAGTTAATAGTAGATATGGAAGAAACCAATCAGAGAGCAGCCTTAGTCTCATTCAGCCAACTGTGACCAGACAGCGGTTAGCTATATCAGCTGATGATGAATTGATAAAAGTTATTGATGAATGGCCAAAAAAAGGCAAAATCTGTGATATTAATTGGTGAATGGTTGAAATTAGGTGGACTTAAAGACTGATGTTTTTCATCTTTAGCTTTTCAACTAAATTTAGAGACAAAAGGTTTTAAAGTCCATGACTGGCTGACCAGATTTATCCCTGAATAATCTCCATGGGTATCTGATGTTTGGTGGTTTTAATTAAAGCTAAGGACATCTTTTGCGATGTGATCTTGAATTTAGATTTTTGACCACCAACTTTTAAGATATGGATAAGCACATTTACACAGATCATAACAACATTTACAAAATACAGAGAAAAAAATCAAACCAAAAGGGAACGGTAAAACCAAAGGTAGCGTTAATGACCTCAAGATTAGTGTAGACAGTTAGATTAAAACTGGAGAATGTCATGAACTGCTCCTGTGTAACAGAGCACATGGCATGGGTGTTGTTTGGTGTTTCACAGAGCCAGCAGACTGTGTCTTAACCCGCCTGAGTGCTTACAAGAAGCAGATGAGTGTATCTGGCTGCGACACATGAATAAACATGGGGAGTCGAACTCACTGAATTCCTGTCTGACGCAGCTGAACAAATTAGTATGACTGGAGTAACACCAGCTCACGGAAAAAGAGCCTCAGACTGTTAACTGTGAATGACCCGGAAGGATGGTTTTCTTTTTTGCACTGGGATGGATTAACAGTGATGCCTGAACTCCCTTCTGGCTATTGGATAAATATAACTTTAGGTGAATGTTTCCAGTCTTTGACATTAGTATTGGAGCCAGTAACCAATAACCAAAAAGTGGTAAAAGTGAAAAACTTCAAGAGGGGTTGGGGATGCACTGAAGAGGCTGAAGTGGAGATATAAAGGAGATGAATATTACTTAAATAATCCAGTAATCATATGATTGGCTAGCAAACATGTCCATGCGGGCCCACACTGGGTAGCTGTGGATGAACTGTGGGGTTGTTTGGGCAGGCCAAACCTACATTTATCCCACATGGGCCTCAGTTGGGTGTGCCTGCACCCAGCTGGTAGGGGCTTCTATATGGGTTTTATATAGAGAAAACTCATCTGCTGTAAGACCTATGTCCGGACGCTCACTTAGGGCCTGTGTGGGATAAGTGTTGGTTTGCCCTGCCCATACAGTCCCACAATTCATCCATACCTGTATGTGTGTGTATGCTGTATTTATAATAGGGAACCAGCATACAGGGAAATATTCTGGTGAAACCACAGAACATATATGAAGCTGAGAGAAGGTGACTGATTTATAACCTCAATAAAATGGAAGTTAAATTGGATCTTATCTTGTTGCAAAAGAACTTTGGAAGTGAACTGCAAACGACTGTAGACTGACTAGTGGGATAGGATTTGAATTGTGTTTTTGTTTGTTTGTTTGTTTGTTTGTTTGTTTGTTTGTTAGGACAGGTGATTCCCTATGGAACCTGTCCTGTCCTTACATGTCTGACTATGAAGCAAAAGAGCAAGGTTTGTCCTTGGGAGGAGCCTTAAATCACTTGAGGGTTGTGTCAGGAAGAGTATCTGGTGTAATATAATGTGAATAAGGGAGTGGATAAAACTAGCTTTTTTTAAGCAATAATCTACTGCTCACTCAATATCAATTAGTGGTGGTAATACACTAATATGCATGTGTGGCCACATGTGGGTCCCACACATAGAATCTGGGCATATTGTGGGTATGCTGTCTCTGCCTACTGTGATCAGACCACTTCCCACCATAGGATTGAGAGAAATGAGAGTTAACGTGGCAGCTAACTTGCATGCTTTCTTATATGTTAAAAAGGCATCCATCAAAATGGGTCTTCTGCAGTTGCTAAATCTTTCAACGATTTTAGAGTTGTCACACTCCATTTCGGGCACTACGTGCAGCTTGTGGCTGTAGTTATGGGTTTGAATGCAGATCAAACAGTAAATCAACAGCTTCACTTTCATGCCCAGCTCTCACCACAGGAGACCAGTATAGCATCCACAGTACTGTAACTACTGCACCAGTCCATCTGTCACTTTTAATACGCACCATTTGCTGTTTTGTTTGATAAAATTGCCATTTTTGGCAACCAGAAGTGTGCCTATTTAGTTGAGAATGGTGGCGTGCTCAGTTATCATGTAATGTGAGTAAACTTGATTAGGATGATGCATTGGTAGAAACTAATATTGGCTACCTCATGCTCAATAACAGGCCAATAATAAAGTAGAACTTCACACACCAAAACTGCACAGAGCATTAAAAATGCTCCAAAAGGCAGCACCAGGCACAAACATGTTTACAGTCGTAACATTTGCTATGAGCTCACATGCTTGTCCAAGCTTGCTTCGTCCTCCCCTTAAAGTTCAAGCGCTTCCTTTCTCTGTCTTTCTCATTCCAGCAACAGTGTGCAGGGCAGAGCCTAGATGAAAGTTACTTGCACACCATAGTGAGCTTCAAGAACTGAGACCGAATAAATCATGCTCGTCTTGTTTATCATACTTACCTCATGAGATAGATGTTGAGGGACGAGCGCTGATTCCCTAAACTGTGGATGTGTTTATACTGTTTTTATACTCATGCCAGTTAACTGAGATCTCATGTCCAGAAGATGCAACTTGATGATGCATTTATCAGCAAGTTTCATGTAAACAGAGGAAAATAGAAACTTTAAAGCTCTACAAAGTTTAAACATCTCCTGCCATTTTGGATTCTCTTGTGTTCTGGAGAATTTATTACCTCTTTAGAATAATCCCAGTGGAATAAACTTTATTTTCAGTCAAATGCTATCTGGTTATAACTTAGCTGCCTCAAGACTTTTCACAAGCTAATCAGCAGAAAAATGTTCACTGGGACATCAGCCCAGTCTGTCATCCATCTGTGTGAATGTCTCAGCCTCACTGGCTGCAGTTCATGGTTCTTCCCTATAGTAATAATATTGTACATAGAAATGATGTAAATAATTTGTGATTTTATTTTTCCATCCACTGGGGCTACACACTAATTATTGTGGTGATGAAGGTTCAAAACATTTGCGGTAGGCCAGTCTTGTTACTGCTGTGACAGCAGTGTCACAGCGCTGTGGTTACAGCACATGAAGGCGTTGATAAGATTTGCTAAATGATTTATAAAAGGATGAAATGCAGATTGAAACAGTTTGATTTGAACATTTTGTAGGTGAGAATGTGGACACCAAGCTCATGGCAGCAATTTGATAGGCTGACAAAAGTCCAGCTGAGATAACCACATTTACTCAGGGCCTTCATGATGTGATGTTCTGTTTATAAGGTTGGAGAAACCTGCAATCAGCTGAGACTGAAGAAGCCACTTGGATGAGTAATGAAACGAAATAATTCTGAACATGTGCAACAATAATCAAAGATTGCAACATTTAGAACGTTTGTAACTGCGACATGAGGCTCTCTGGTAAATATCAAGCATTTGATGGTTGTTTCCACCTACAGCTGATCACAGAGGGATGAACAGATTAAGAGTAACGCGTAGTACAACACTCAAACTCATTCACCTCTTTAGAAGAATCCATTCTTTTATAATTTTTAGTAGAGGCAGACTGTATGGTTTGATGCTTAGTTTTATACACCTGTTGCAATGGGACAGAAAACACCAAAACACAAAGATTAAGAGGTGAGGTTAGTCCATGTAATCAATTTTTTAGCCCTAATGTGGTCAATTTAGCAAATATTGGAAAATTAGTGATTTGTGGCAAAATGTTAGATAAAAGCTACTTAGGGTTTGGTGATAGACAACAGTATTCAGGCAATAACGTCATAGCAAACAGCAGGATATGTTTTAAAAAAAAAAATCTCTGGTTCAGTCTTTTCAATGTGCATCCCATTTGGCCCACTGCAGCCCCTGGAGAGTGGAATTAAGTGGTGTTTTTCCAGCTCCTCTGGCATATTTTCTCCCAGGTGAGTCCAGTGTCTTTCCAAGTGCTAAGAGCTTTCTGGCCCTCAGCTTCTGCTTCCCTTTATTAAAGGTGCCTGTGGCTGCCAGCTCATTTGTTGCAGTCCAGACAACATCGAATCACTTACAGTTGGATTTAACAAAAAATAAAGTTTTGGTGGGAGGTGTGAGTGTGTAAGGCAAAGCAGCAGGGCCTAAAGGAGAAACACAGGTGTACCAGTTCATGGTGAGGAAAGTAGCTTTCATTTTCTTTCAGCATTACTTTCATTTTATATGCAATGAATCCTGCATAAACAGTCTAGACACTTACATTTTTTGTTCTTCAGGCTATGCTCATTCTCACATTCAGTTTTAAATGAAATAACTGGTACCACATGTTAGCAAGTCTCAGCTTTAATTTAGTTTCACTTTTCATGTTCAAGTCAGTTTAGCTATTCTTAGCTAGTCCATCCATCCGTCCAACCATCCGTTTCCACATGTCCAAGTCACAGTCATGGTTGAGCTGGAGCCTATCCCAGCTGTTATATTGTGAGGCGGTACACCCTGGATGGATGGGGACACACACACACACACACACACGCACACAGAGTTCACGTCCAGTTTAGAATCACCAGTTAACCTGACACCATGCATGTCCAGTTGAAGGAGGCTGCAATAACTGGAGAGACCACATAGACACAATCTTTCTAAGGCACAAGAAGACAAATCTTTGAAGAAGTGCTCCCTAGCACAAACTCTTTATAATTGAAACCATCTGACAGAAGCAGGTGATTTTCAGAAGTGTGCAAACATCCTGCACTCTCTGCACAGGCACTGCTCCTTTCCAAAACCAAATATGACACAGACGGTCTCCCTAAATGTGAAGGTGCCACTTGGAACAGTGCTGGGACACAATCCTCCAGGAGTTTAATTATCTTTCATGTATCAGTACAGATATCATTCATGTTTTTATTGTCTTAGCCTTCACACAGTCACATGGTTATTACAGAGTGGTTATTGTCCAAAGTGCGCAGTTTTATCATCAATCACATATGTATGAACAGAAGCGACATCTCCAGAGTTATTATGGGGAGTTTTTCAGCAGAAGTCTTTCTGATTCTGGACAAAGACTCTCAGAACATTCATCAGCTTTTGGAATACGTGCCTCCTCTTTCCTTTTCTCCACTCGCAGTCACATCAGCTGAAAACCTGCGTTTTCCAGAAGACTTGGTAAAAACCTCTGGCTTCACACTTTGAAATTTCATCCTGGAAAACTACTTTTGTGTGTATAGAAGCAGGGTTGTGGCAGCTGAGGGATCTTCATGAAATTCATCACCAGTCCTAAATTTTCTGGGGATGCTAACTGGACAGTCAGTTTTTGACCTTTTGACCTTTTGTTATCTTTGTCCCTAGGCTCTGCTTTTCATGAGGACATTGTCAGAGACAAATTGTTTGAGTGCATAGAATGTTAAAACTATTTTAAAAATATATAAAAAATATTTTGACTGTGGTGCTTTAAGTACCCAGTTGATATCCTTCCATGGACTCAACTGTCAAATACCACATAGAGCATGCTCTGCAAGCTGTTTACTGTGCAAACCCCCTTCATTCCAACTCCTCTTTTTGTACTGACGCTAATATATTATTTGCTGTCATACCCTTTTCTGAGGGGTCTGGGGGTCCTGCTGGATGTCCATGTTTGTATTTTGAAGTGTGGAAAGGTGTGCTCTCTGCTCAATATAACAAAAAATATAAATCACCACAAGTGGAAATAATGATCTTTTGACTATAGTGATCTTAGCTAAAACTGCCATTTACAGAAACTGAAAGCTGGAGCGAATAGCCTCTTTAATATTCACTTTGTTGACTTCTGTGGAGAGGGTATGTATACAGTACATGTGTTGTGCTAAATGGAATTCCTTTGAGAGTGAATAATCTTTTAAGAACACAAGCAATGAGACTCAGGTTTACTATATAAAACCCCAACACTGAGAGTGACTGTCCTATTATGTCAGCTGAGTATAAAAATGGAGAACGGGAAAAACAGAGGTCTTAGATCTCAACATTTCATTTTCAAAGAGGTGCTTTTGAAAATCACAGTGTGTGCACACTTGCTTGTGCTCATTCTGCACATAAGAATTATCCTTCCTTCTCGAAAGGATAATTTCTGGTTTATGATGTCTTGAGTCTTCCTCAGTTCTCACTCTAATAATAACAACATTAAATTCAGCAGGTTGTCTGCTGAGGTCTGAGAACACATTTTTGAATTTTGGTCTTGCAGTTTCTTCTTTCTCAAGCTTTTACATTTGGGTATACCAAACTATTTGTATGCCAGCAGGTGGCAACTACACCGTCTCCAGTTAGAAGTGGAGTTTATGGGAATAGCAGCTAGTTAAGTATAGGCTGTTTATTTTGTTAAATATAATCGTATTTAGAGTAACAAACAAAATGTTTCATCAAACAGTGATGACTCCCTGTATTTACAGTACCTCGACTGTGGAAGGTAGTAGGCCTTTATTTGAAACAGGTTTGTAATAGACACCAGCTTTAATTTCCAATTCTGTCTGGCTGATTAGAATAAATTTCATGTTCATGTACACAAAGTCTCGCTGCAATACACTCACATTACCGTTATACTGATTATTTTATAGTGAGCAGTGACTCACTCTGGACACACATCAGTGATATCATCTGTGCTTCTGTACTAAAACTCTTTACTTTAACCTCCTAAGACCCGAACTCTTCCACGCCATGCATTTTTAATTTCTCTTTGACATTTGGGCATATTGGGGCCCAACATCAGTAAACAAAGTCTAAATATAGTGCAACAAATCAAACACAGAACCGCTGTGTAACAGAACAATGACAGAACACGCGTAAGGTTTTAGCGTCGAGTCAGCTGGACACTGAAACCCTGTTCTGCTCATTTCCAAGTCCAAATTTTTATTCTTAGATTCCACTACACTGGATTTGCATAATTCAAAATATTGTTTATATTCATCTTATACTGGACCGAAGATCACTGTCTGTCTGAAAGAAGTTATTTTAATTCCTCTCCCTTCAAGCCAAGGCCTTCTGATTGGATGGGCCACAGAAACAGAAGGTCTGGACAGCAAGTATTTTAAACTGTGTTCATTACTATAGCTGTTTATCTGAGACGAAGGGCTAAAGGGCCATCGTTACTGACATCATACAGGTCCAAGAATAGAAAAAAACTGTCTAAAACCCAAGTATGTAGAGCAGTCTGAAGCTTTTAGCCCACGGGACATTCAAATTCAAATTTTATCTGTCACACACAGCACCATACACAGTGTGACATGTGGTGAAATGCTTATTGCTGTGCAATGCCCGACCATTAAATGACAGTAAGATTTACAGATTTACAGGTTACTACAACATTTACAGATTTTAACTTTTAATTTTACAGTAAAAAGAATGTGGAAATAATGATTTATGAAAGAAATTATGAAGAAAAGGAAATTATAAATTATAAGAAGTGTGCAAACAGAGTGCGTGCGGTGATGCGATGTGTGTGGGAGAGTCCAGTCCTACACCTGGTTCAGGGCCCGACTAGCCTGGGGGAAGAAGCTCCTCCTCATTCTCTCTGTTTTGGCCTTAAGGGAGCGGAAGCGCTTCCCAGACCTCAACAGTGAGTAGATTCCATTGTTGGGATGGGAGAGGTCCATCGTAATATTCCTGGCTTTAGTCTTGCACCGCTTGGTGTAGATGGACAGCAGGTCAGGAAACTCTGATTGAATGATGCGTTTGGCCATTGCAACAGTGTATGACAAAAATAAGGAAAAGCATCATAGTTTCTATTAGCAAACATCTCACTTTAAATTGTCCAGCAGTTTATGTTTGAAAACAAAAAAAAGACAACGTAAAAGTGGTATACTCTAAAGTCGGGCTATTTTGTGATTGACTACCACATGGTTGTGCAAAGTGTCTTCTGCTCTTTCAGTCACATAACCCCTCAGTCCTAGCCTGCTCTACCCTTGTTACCAACAATGTGGTTAATTCTCAGTCCAAAAGGCTTGTAAATAATAATGTACACACTAAGAGATGGCAGTAGTTGCATCCACTTCTTTTATAGAGTTTATACATGTCACTGAGAGTCATACTGAGTAAAATGAAAAGTGGAATAAGCAGGGATTAAGCACGTGTAAACATGTGCTCACACACTGGTGAATTTCATACTAGCTCGTATACAGGACGTTTTCCATGTGGTGTGCCCTGTGCTGATGAGGTATGTAGAGTGATTGTGTGGAAAGATGTTTGACAGTGATGATTAACGGCTGCTGTGGTGGGCTGGAGTTTTTAGATGTGAGTGACATGATTTTCCTGTTCATGGATGACCTCTGGTTTGACTTTATCAGGCTCTGAGACAAGAAAATAATCAGTCAGAGCTGAAAGAGATGTCAAAGCTTGACAACACATTTTTATTTTGTCTTGGATCTTGTATTTAATTTCTACTACATTACACAGTTAAACAGGAAACAGTCCTTACATATATATTGTATCACCTGGTTTACTGTCAGTGTGAACCTTTTGCCTGAAAAACAGTGAATTTGTGGTATCCCTCACTTCACCCGTACACACTGATGTTTGTACCTATCCACTCTTAAAGTTATGTGTACAGATCTGCAACCTGCTCTGTGCTGTGTGTTCATGGTCTGTGAGAACAGTAGACTTCTCTAAGAATAATATTTTCCCTTGAATAGCTTGCATTTTACTTGTTTCGTGGTGACATGTGCTAACCAGTCACACAAATGAAAATCTGGGCTGACTCGCTGATTTGTTGATCATTTCAAACTCATTATTGGCGAGTGTTTGTGTGTGTTGAAGTGGAGCCAGTAGCACATTAACACCTTTCGCTTGGTCTTTCCTCTGCTTAGTGGTGTGTCACCTGCCCTGTATAAATGGCGGTAAGTGCAGCACCAGGGACAAATGCCAATGCCCTCCAAACTTCACCGGAAAGTTCTGCCAGATGGCGGTTCAGAACGGACACCAGCAGACATCAGGAGGCTACAGCCAGAATCAGGTCCACTCCACACACACCCTGCCTCTGACCTATAGCAACGGCCAGACACCTGGTGAGTGAAATGTGACATTGGCCTAGACAATCATCATATGTGTTTTATCCAATTAGATTGGTCTCTCGGGCCTTGGCAATCAAGAAACAAAGAGAAACAATCCAGTTGATGCACATCAATAAATATGTGCATCTTCTCCTAAAATATCAGTTTTTCTCTTCTTCAAAATAGGATTAGGCTTTGGGTTTATTTATTTACTTATTAATAGGATTTATTGTAACTGAGGCATATCACAATTTGTTACTTTTTTTGTCAGGAAAGTCATTTTTGTTTGTCTCTTGCTTTTGGGGAGAGTTGGACTCCTTACTAGTGACATCATAAACCTAACAAAGATGGTTAATCTTAATCATCTACTGTGATGCACCACATCAGTGTCATGCTTGTATACAGTATGTGTTTTTCTTCCTGTACGGCCCAGGCATCGTCAACATCCACATCAATCACCCCCCAGAGGCCTCAGTTCAGTTCCACCAGGTGTCTCAGTTGGACAATTACAACAACAATGGACAGCAAACAAAAGGCTCCTCCTCATCCACTAGTTATAGCTACCATCACAGCGAAAGCAGCCAGAAGATCCAGCACCATGGCTACAACATAGTCTATCCGGGCCAGCACAGCTACCAGTTTCCTCAGTACCAGCCTGTCACCTCTAAGAATGCACTGGGCCGCTGCTTCCAGGAGACAGCAGGCAGTCAGGTACAATGTCAGACATGTCTGCTGTTTGTGAGCTTAATTACAGTCATAACACATCTGTTAGATCAAGTAAGCCTTTCAGTTTCAGTAATCTAAAGCAATCAATCAAAAAGTCTGGGAAATATTTTGATTAGATATGGACAACAATAAGAGGCACAAAGACTACAAAACATGACACCGGTGGTATTAATCCCAAAGACACATTTATAGAAGACGATGGATGTAAAATACAGAACAGAAATAATGCCTGTTAGTTAGTATAGCTCAAAGTTTAAAATTAATATTCTCTGCATTACCAGATCATATTTTATGAGGAGGTTTGCATTTATTTTTGTCCTCTGAGGATACACAGAAGCAAAAATATTAATCCTCACTGTTTTGTCCTTTTCTCTGTTCTCTCCATCTCGATGTGTTAGTGTGGAAAGGCTCTGCCCATTCTAACTAAGCTGGAGCAGTGCTGTGGGACCATTGGGACCTCGTGGGGATTCCACAAATGCCAAAAGTGTCCGAAGAAACCATGTAAGTCCAGGTCTAGATGTTTTTCTAAAAGTGGTAGTGAATTCATAGCCATGGAATTAACGTTGAGGGGAAGAAATGCCGGCAGGTGGTCTGGGCTCTGCAGTCCCAGTGCCCACTTTCAAATCTTGAATGGAAATCTAAATATGAAAATCATTAACATTAAAGGTATTGTTTATGTATTTTAAGTTGTGTTCCATCAACAACAGAATTTAACACAGAGCTGCCAATAGAATATTTTTTCTAGTTTTTCACTTCTTAATGCATTTTGAAAGTAATGGCATAGTGGAAAAGTACAGTTTTTGACTCTGATTTTGACCACCTACTGAGCGTACCCCATGAGTTGGAAAAACCACAGACAGTATATCTTAATAAGAGTAATAATATTTGTTTCATTCTAATAATGATTGCTGAAAACAAAAAAGAAGCCCTATACACCATAAAAGCTTTTGAAGCAAGCAAAAATTAGAGTCGTTGCTACAATGTCTCCAGCACAAACACAGAAAGCGCCTCACACAAATAAACATAATGGTGTGCGTGAATTAAGTGGCAGCCCTCAGATTTTTACAAACTGAATCCAATGCAGCGTCAAAAACTTCAGTTCTTCTAACGGCCACTTAGAATAGCTCCAAGAGTGAGTCATTCCCCACTTAACACATAAACATTTATACAGCTTAGGGGGTTGGATTTTTTATGACGCATTCGTCTGGATTCTTGTGTTAATGGCGCGGCACCTTTGGCTGACTGGTGAATATCAACACAGGCAGCAGTAACTGATAGACGTCTCTACCCTGTCTGCAACTGTCTCTGCTGTGTTTGTGCTGTTGGGGTTAGAAAAAATGTGTTGATTGAAGGATGTGTAAAAAGCTGTGAATGAGCAAGAATCACTTTTCCATTACACTCTCTGTGTGCTTACACACCACTCTGCATTTAATCATTAGTTATTAAAAATCTCTGGCTAATCTCTTTCTTCCTGTCAAAAGGGAGTTTTTCCTTCCCACTGTCACAAAGTGCTTGCTCAGAGAAGTTGTCTCTGACTGTTTTAGGGTCTTTACCTTACAGTATAAAACGTCTTGAGTTTGCTGTTGCAGTGATTTGGTGCTATGTAAATAAAACTGAATTGAGTCAAACTGAAATGCGTTGGATTGGATGTTTCTCTAGCGTGACCCAGGAAACCTTGGCAGCTGCTGCTTGCACTGACATGATACACAATCACTTGGTTTTTAAGAGCTGGTAAAGTCAGCCGCTTACACGTGATGCGCTGACACTTATGAGGGCAGTGTTTTATGAATAAATAAGAGCACTGGTTCAGTTCAGTTCATGAGAAAGACGATCCAGCTGACTCGCCTGATATTAATGCCCTGCTTTTCTAAACCTTTACAGCAACATGTGGAGGAGCATCTCAGTGTCCTTTCACACTGTGGTATTGAGATAATGCTGTATCAACTTTCTTAGCAACCTCATTAACCTTTTATATTACATGCTGTGTGTTTGGCAGCAGATCCTCACTGACAGCATATCATGTCTTAGGACATGTAAGATGATATTTTAATGAGAATATAATCAGTGTAATTCTGCAAAGACTAGTTTGTCTTCAAATATAATACTGCACAAAAATCTTGAATTAACACTCATTTTGTTATATTTTTCTAGGTAAACAGCAAATAGCTGTAGCGGTTATAATATGTGTAAACCTCAGCGAAAATAGAGTATATAACAAAAACAGAATCCCACCTGGAAAGTCAATAGTTGCTTTCTTGTAATTTCCTTAAGTTGTCTTCAGGAGTGGATCTCCAGGCTTCTTTAAGAACATTTGAAAGCTCTTTTTTGAATGTTGGCAGCAAACGCAGATGAAACTGGTACACAACTGGTTCTTTGCTAAGTTGTGTTTACACAGTACACTTATTCAGCCCTTGAGCTACCTTGAGCCTTGATTTTTATGCTTAGCTGTTTGAAAGGTCAATGTTAAGTCGCTTAAAAAACAAGCAAACAAAAGGCCTGTTCTTGGAAAATGTTCAGGTTTGATGACTGGACTCAAAATGAATGAAAAAGCAGCCAATTTCCAAAGTAACTGGCGGTCAAAGTGAGACCGCTTTCAAAAAAATGACAACGAAGTCTGGCTCCTCAGAAGCAAAATATATAGAAATGAGGGATGCCTCAAGACATTTTTTCAAAGTAGTGTAAAATTTCAGACTGGGCTTCCTTAAAAGCAGTCAAAGCAAAATATCCAGCTGGCTTGAAACCCACACTCTAAAAATGTTTCAACACAGCTCAATGTGTCTTTTGCAGCCATAACTTTCAGCTAGTGACAAGCAAAATAAAAATGCAGCTAGGAAACATTATGAGTCTTGTACTGGGTCGATTTAACAAACAGGTGACTTTCACCCAAACAGCTACTTCCAGAGAGGAAAAGCACTAAATGCCAAGGCAGCATGTGGTGCTGGCCCTTGCCTCTTAGCTCTGTTTAAAGTGGTACCAGCTAAACTGAGTGTGTGGGGGAGGTGAGGATGGAATTGCCAGCCTTTTTATGTAGTAGCTGGCTACTCAACACTACTCCCTTTATAGAACTGTGGAACTTGTCTTTGAAGCCAGCGCTGTTGTATGTAGAGCATGAAAAGACGCTCTCTAGTGTATTATCCCCAGCTGAACTGAGGAAAGGGGTGGTACTGTAGTACTTTTGTGTAAATCCATCAATACCCATATGTGAAAACACACTTTGCAAACTCATCGTTACGATAGCAACATGTTGGTTATTGTGTGCAACAGCAAATTGAGTATTATTCACAGCATCCTAATCCATATCCAGTGTTTGCAAGGAATATAGCTGTGAGTAAGTGTTTTAAACATTGTGGATTTTCACACCTTATTGCAGTTTGTTAGATTGAAAAACACAACCTTAACTGTCAACAGAAGGGGGCAGTATATTACCAGAAAGTTATAATGTACCTGAGCCCCTCCCAAAGAATTAGGTCCTTCCTCGAATCTAATGCTGAATTAATTTCGATACTAATTATTCGTATTTAAACTAGTATCTAATAGCAGAGCATAGATCCGAAAACGCTGATTTGAAAGCTAGAGAGCCACGAATTTGAACATTATTAACGTGAATGCTATTTAAGAATTCACAGTACTCAGTATACATTAAAAATGTATTCTTTGTGCTGCAGAAGCCATCAAAATGTTCAGCTGTTTCAGAAGGTAGAGAAAAAAAGTCAACATTGAAATCAGTCCCAAGACTTTACGTTTTCAGCTGTTCTTCATTTTTGATATCTCCTGTAGTGTCCAAACAGTGACAAGTTTCAGAAAGTTTCTAAGATTACAATACTTTACAGCTGATGACATGATCACTGTCCCCCACTGAAGAATTTAGGCTCTTTATTTTATTTATTTATTTTTCTATTTGAAGTCTTTTCACTCTCTTTGAATAAATGACCTTTCCAAACCAGTGAGACGTCCAGAGCAGCCTGAGTTTTTGGAGTGCCCACGTTAAGTTTTCTCCTTTCTCCTGAGCAGAAGTAATTTCTCTGTAAATTTTTGGTTATTGACACAAAAAATATATGTACTGCTTCAGTAGATTTGAGGTTATAGTATTGTAAAGGTCTTTTAACTCACGCTGTAGCTCAGCTCGGTGCACACTCATTCTTTTGTATTCAACTTACACTTGTATCAGAAATCTGAGCCTGTCTTCTCCCTGTGTCCCCATTTCAGAGTTGATTCAGTTTCAGCATTAATCAGTGACTCCAGTCCAATCCATTCCCTCAGCTTTGTCATTGTCAAAGGATTTCTGTCCTGCTCTTCTGTACTTGGCCTTCCCTATTTTTAGGGAAATATTAATACAAAACTGCAAAGATGAACTCCCTGCTGCAGCTTTTGACTAATTGTTCAGTCTTAAAAAAGTATACAAAACAGCAATGAAGTTTTTATTGAACCAAGGGAAACAACAGTTTCAGAAACAATAGGTCTTTGATCCATCCTTTAATCTGTCAGGGCCTCGCATACACATCTGGTTAAACAGCGAGGAGCAGTTTTTTTGTCGTAAAACACAGCTGTTAGGGACACCACGGAATCTGTAGTCTAAAAAGACTGATTGCACACCTGAGCTGCTCAGGATATAGTTCTTAGCGTATAGGAGAGAACAGAACTGAAACACTTGCTTTTATTGCATGTGTGCTTGCTTTTAGCACACATGCAATAAGACACCAGGACAGGGAAGATTAAGTCTTTTCATATCCAGCATTTTAGTGGGAGTCACCAAAGGGCCAGAGATTTGCACTCTCTGTCCTCTCCTCAGGAATGGTGGAGGCATGAGGTGTTTTTTCTTTTTTTAAACATTTAGGTGTGAAATAGTCCATTGTGCGATGGAGACTGTGGTAACTGGTAAATAGACTGGCTTTCTTGGTCAAACAATCATTGCCTTGTTTTGTTCTAGAACAAAATATCAATCTTCTTTTGAGTATTTGGGTACCACCTACCCACTGGTTCCTTTGTCCAGCTGTACTGCAGTGAGACTGACTTCCTGTGTACTAATGTTGCTGCTTAAGTAGCTTCTAGCAGCTACGTCCACCTCCTTCCCTGCAACCCTTCATGGTTCCATTAATAACTCTTTTTGAACACTGTATCCTGTCTTAACTAACTATCATTACCTTAATTTAGTCATTTTTCAATGAATGAATCCATTGTATTTTTACAGATAATAGAGGCTTTGCTGCTCATCTTATTGCGTGAAGAAGCTCAAATAAATGTATTTTTATCTCAGCTCATCTCTCTATATAATTTAATATGATTAATTTTTTTCTTTCTTCTGTCTGTTTGGTTTAGAACTAAATCGTATCTACTCTTCAACCACTCCTGTTTGTTTAAAGATACAAATAGTTTATATTCATTTTACAGCAATACGCTGAAACTACAGAGATTAAATATGTAATTCAGTTATACGCAAAACAGCTCGCATAGTGACAAACATATTTATATTGACTGGGTTCTCATTCTCAATGACAGTCTATGTTTGAATTTGACTATCAACCTGAGGTTACATAGAAAAAAATAAAATAAAATACATAAATATAAAAAAATGCAATACAGTACCTTCACTTAAACCACGGTAAAGGTACGCTGTTAACTTGACCATAATTAACATTTTTTACAATTTTAGAGTGAATACGTTTCTTTCCTTCAGGAACATGATTTATGCTTTTTTGCTTTATGAGACTTTAAATGAACTCTCATAAATGTATTTTGGAATTATTACAGAATAAGAACCCAGACATTTGCTCTCAAAACTGTGACTAACATGTGCTCCTTCTCTTTGTTTTGCTCTTCACATGCTCCCGTCATCAGCTTTCCCCCTGATAGATTGCCCTCAGGGTTACATAAGAGTCAACAGTTCTCATTGCCAAGGTAAGAATTGATGCTATTGTTTTTAACATCCTAATGCTTATATAGCTTATAATAATGTGGTAAAGACACGTGTGATTCCCTGTAGTTCAGTGGTTCACAAACTTTTTTTTTCCTAGACCCCCCCTTTGTTTTACAAGAAACTCTTTGTGCCCCCCCTCCCCGGCACAAACACATCGTCCAACCACACACACCCTTGTTTTGTTTTCTAACTCCAGTGCAGTTTATTTCACACCTCAAACCTTTTGTAAACAATTAAACAAATTAAAGTAAATGTCAATAAATTGCAGGTAGCAAATAAACTGCTACCTCTTTTAAGTAACAGAAAAACAAACCATCCTTATGGTGTAATTATTTAACGTGATCACCTGACTATTATGTTTCTCTAAGTTTCTCTGTTTTAACTGTCGGGTGTGGTGTCACAAAATGTACTAACATTACGCCTCTCGGTGTACTGTGAAAACGATTGCAGTACTACTTTTAAAAACATCAACATTTCAGTATGACCGATGCTTAAGACCAAATACCACAAATTGCCACAAACTTGTGAGTTATGCCTCTCCTTACCCTTCTGTGCCTCTTGATGGGAACTTTTATTTTAGACAGGAAGCCTCCTATATGTGGTTACAACTAGGCAGGAACAGCATTTTTAAATGTTGTAAAAATATTTAAAGCAGTTTATGTAAGTGACAAGTGTTAAAGATACTCTAAAACTCTGCGATTGAGTTTGCATCAAAAAGTGTGAATAGAGCTGAGAAGTATTATCTCTATGTTATATTCAAATTAAGAAACTGGCCCTTCCAAAGCAACTTCCCACCAGTGTCTAAGTTAAAAAAGAACCTACTGAAATGATATCCACAAAAACCACGAGTCAGTGACTCTAAACTGGGGCTAAGCAGAATCGCAGACACACATGCAGCATGCACTTTAAATTAGGTTACAGCTGTGTAGGGGTGGTGTTAATCTGAGGCTAAATTTAATCATTGATTGTTCAGGGTGTTTCCTGACTGATGACAGTCTAGAAACCACTAACTGCAAAGTGGAAGTGGGCCAGTGTTTGGTGGCACCAACTCTTTTACAAGAACCCACAAAAGAGGAGCGTGACCTTTTCCAGCAGACTGTTCTGCTTGGCTGCTCAGAACATGGAGAGGAAGTCATTTTTTTCCATGACATTCAAAGTGTGGTACTGCACAAAATATAAAATAAAGACACAAACACATTCACAAGCATCTGCTTCGAATGCTGAAGAACAAACAGTCTGAACCATCCACCCATTTTATATGTCTGGTCATCTGGGGATACCAAAAGAGACAACCAGGAGTCATCCTGGCTAAATACCACTGCTTATGGGTCTAGTCACTACGTACAGCTCTTAGCCTCTATGCTACCTACGCTAAATTAACAGTGTTCCCTTCATGCTGAGCCCTCTCTTCACAACCACAGACTACTGCAGTACATTGCAGATACCACGCACTGGTAAGACTTTCTAAAAACGATTGATCTAGTAGTAATGATGTGGTTTGTATGTTTGCAAGAAGCATAGTAGTTTTTCAATAATAGTCCCGTGTAGTGGTGGCAGTTGAGTTCATCTGGATTTCCTGTTTAAAAATAATTACAGTTGACAGAGATTTAGCATCAGTAACAGCTGACTCGCAAATGTTTCCGTTCCTTTTCCATAAAAGGTTGTTGTTGCATAAAGGTTGTTTTAGTCGGAGCATGAAGGACCTCAGGAGTAAAAAGATCAACCGAGAAGGCTGTCAAAACATGCTACCTGAAACAGCTCCTTTTCACCATTAAACTGGAAAACGTGTTGATGCGTTACTGTAATCCAATTACTTTTTCAAGAGTAAAGTAAGGAATTACTATTGCAAAAAAAGTAATTACATTACTGTCACTTTCCCGTAAGCACGCTGCGTTACTGCATTACTAAACCGTGTCTCATGACAATGACGTAAGCGCATGCGACGTCCATGGCAGCAACAGACGTGTGCAGATCAACAGTGGATAATATGGAGCGTGGGAGAGAGTACGATTATGCATCGTTTAGTTTGAGTCCGTAAAAAGTGACAAAAGCATTTGTGTCCGCTGTACACTCTGCATGGGAAGAAAATTTCTTTCTGCAGTACAAAATTCAACTTCAGATCTGTGCGGCACCGGGCAAACCTCCACCCGCCCCACTCCTGCTAAACAGGTGAAAATAGATTTAAGAGTGACGGGACTTTGTGCCGCTGATTCTTTGATTTGATTTCTTTTTTGCTGTGTTTTACTTGCATCCATTTGAAAGAGGATGTGCTGGAATATGCAGAAAATTGGTTTAAATGTTTCTTCCAGCCAGAGACTGTTGCATATAATTAATTGTGCATAAAGTTAAAAAAGTCAAACTGATAAAACAAGACTTTTTCAATTTTATATGATGGATTAAACAGAAAATCTAGAATTGGGGTCTTTTGCTTTATTAGATATTCAGTTTGTATATTACGTTTTTGAAAAGTAATAAAGTATTAGAGTAACTAGTTACTTTTGAAAATAAGTAATCAGTAAAGTAATGGGATTACTTTCTTGGAGAAGTCATCGAAAAATGCAAGTTACTAATTACTAGTAACTTGACCAACACTGGTGTCACTGACCATAATCACTCACACACTTGGAAATTAAAGCATTAATTCAATTCAATTCAATTCAATTTTATTTATATAGCGCCAAATCACAACATAAGTCGCCTCAAGGCGCTTCATAGATACAGAGAAAAACCCAACAATCATATGACCCCCTATGAGCAGCACTTTGGCAACAGTGGGAAGGAAAAACTCCCTTTTAACAGGAAGAAACCTCAGGCAGAACCAGGCTCAGGAGGGAGGGGCCATCTGCTGCGACCGGTTGGGGTGAGAGAAGGAAGACAGGATAAAAGACATGCTGTGGAAGAGAGACAGAGGTTAATAACAATAACAGATTCAATGCAGAGAGGTCTGTTAACACATAGTGAGTGAGAAAGGTGACTGGAAAGGAAAAACTCAATGCATCATGGGAATCCCCGGCAGCCTACGTCTATTGCAGCATAACTAAGGGAGGATTCAGGGTCACCTGGTCCAGCCCTAACTATATGCTTTAGCAAAAAGGAAAGTTTTAACAGTGAGCTGCATAGGAAAGAACACAGTTCTACAACATTTGACATTTTAGTTGTAATGTACTCACTTTTTTAGAGGTCACGTTTTAACCATGCATTCAAACCTCACCATTCGTGGCCAATACAGACATGGGCTGTAGGAGGAAGCTTGGGTAGCAAGCAGAAACTCCTGCGGGGACACAGCAAGGCCCCAGCCAGGATTTGAACCTGGAACCTGAAGGCATGCTGAGGGTGGAAAATACTAACCACTGAACCACCAATAGTTACCAAAGCTGTGCAGACCTCCAGACTTACCCTTGCTATTCATACTGTCCAAACGTGTTTTCACAATGTGTATATGTGTACTGTGCCCTTCTCGCCTTAAAAGCCAGGACCACCAAACAGCACTGATAGTTTCATCAATGCCAGCTGACTAACAGCAGCAGATTTTTTAGGCACTGCAATTCTAAACTCATGTACTAGAAAAGTAATAATGAATAGTACTTGATGCACTAATGGAAGTATATGAATTCAGGTATAACAAGTGTGGTTAATTGTGTTTTTTGGGGGGGTTTAGTTCTGCAAGGTGAAGAAATTGTTTGAAAAACCTTTTCATTAACTGTCAACTCTTCAATAATTCACAGATCTAGATGAGTGCCAGCTACAGGGTGTGTGTCCAAATGGAAACTGTGTGAACACTCTGGGCAGCTACAGGTGCACATGTAAACCTGGATATGTCCCTGACCCCACGTTCATCATGTGCATACGTAAGTCCTCCAATCAGTTTTTCATCACAGTTGCTCGTTCAATAATTCTAGACAGAGAAGATCTAATGGAGCTGCGTCAGACTGAGCAAAAGATTCTTGCATTACATTTGCATGCTGGTCTTAGATATGCAGATTTGCACATTCAGATCTTCAGATAACTTGAATACCATGCTTGCATGAAGATTTTCATTCAGATCTTCATGCAAGCATGGTATTCAAGTTATATAAAGCATGTACTGAGAGTTACACACAGCCAAAACCGAAATATCTCATAATATATCAATTTCTTGAGCACAATTATTAAAGTTATTATTTTAAAACATGCCATGAGCATGTATTGCCTTTCTTTTGCAGTGTAATATAAATTAGCATGAAAACAAAACTAGACTATCCAACTCAATACAGATACTTAGGAAAATACTTGATAACTGATAACATTCAATTATTGAGTATTTTCCACCAGTTTTTCCAAATATAGTTAGATTTAACAAAATAAGTATTTAATATCAAGTTTATAAGTTCTATTCATTTAATAAATTATTTAGATAATTTCAATGTATTTTAGATCTTACTAATAAACAAAGACATCAGAATTATTTGATTCTTGTGGAGGAAACACATTGCGGAAAAATTAACAGTGTGTTTTGTGCGGTATTAGGTATGCTAAAATAACTCACCATGAAATATTGAACTAGTTACTGCCTGCTTTTTACAACTGACCTCACAACTGGCTTTCACAAGATAAGAAGGACATTTTAATAAACGATTGTAGAGGTAGAAAAGTTCAACTTTATCATGTTGTCCACATCTGCCTGCAGCCTTTCTTTCTCATCACCTATTCACACTGCTCTGCCTCAGTCTGTAGCTTGTACATCCTCAGCTCTGCTCTTCAGCCCTGACACCCATCTGATTTGGCTGCTCTGCTCCAAAATGTGCTGTTTATGTGCTCGGATTAGTTCTCCACACTCCGGACTCTCTGCTCAACTCAGCTACGTTTCCCCCGCCGCGCTACGCAATCAGTAACCCACCCAGTTCTCCATGTGTCTGTAATGCGCTCTGCCATGACTAAATATTTCATTTGCAACCCATTCAGCTTTATTATTGATTCATTAATTATTCATCTTTAACTACATCCGCTATGTTGATGATAACAGACAGCTAATTTGGCTATTGGGTAACTGCTAATCGTTAAATGGGGCCGGGTTAATATTTATGGTAACTACTACTGTAGTATTTAAGTATTGTGAAATGGGAGCTTTACAGACCTCTCTTGAAATTCCTCCTACAGTGTTGTTTAGCATTGTGAATGTGAGCTACTTAGGCTGGTAGTGAGGGGAGGACCTGAAGTTGTGTGTGAACTGGAGGAGGCAAAGATGACACTGATGATGATACTGATGCATCGATATTAACTTTCAGTATCGGTTAATATCTGACAATCAATCAATTTTTTGACAGCCCCAGGATAGATAGGTTGGTGCATGGGACTGTGCCTTTTTTCCTCCTGTGGCTAATGAAAGTCACGTGTCCATTCGTTACTGCTACTCATTGAGTTAAAGGCACAGCAGAGGGCTCCTCAAACCTACACTCCACTGAAAGAGTACCCCAATGATTTACATGTTTTTCATGCTGTATCTTTTTCTTCACACTTATTCTTACATTGCTTTAGTGTAAGGGGGACAGGTGGGCAATATGTTTGAAGCATACGGTATCCTAAACTGTGAGATTCTCAGTTGTCCGGGGCTTTGTGACTTCTGTTATCTAAATCCTGAATACACACTAATATATTCATGATGAATAGATGCTGAACCAAGCACGCTATTTCTTGGCAAACACTGTTCAGACCATTTAGACAAAATAGCCCAATTTCTGTCTCCTCAAACCACAGAAAGATTTTTCTCACGCTCTCACAGCCCTTTGAGCATTTTGGGTGACATCTGCGTTTTGCTGAGGAGGGGCTCCGTTTGCTCACTCTGCCATAAAGGCAAGACCGGCGCAGTGCAGCAGGGTTAGTTTTCATTCTGGCAGGTCGTAATATTTCTGTAGACAAAGCCCACAGTGGCTGTTGATTTCCTAGTTACCGTCCTGGCCAAGGCCCTCCTTGCCTATTAAGTCATTTCGGTCAGATGGCCTACTGTAGCAAGAATCTTAGTGGTTTCAGACTTCTTCCATTTCATTCGAATTGATTTTATTTTGCTCCGGGGAACTTTAAATGTTGAAATTTTCCTGAACACTTCGCCTAGACACAGTTCCTGTCTGAAGGGCTTTGTTGTTTTTTTAACCTCATCATGGTAAACGGAGCGTACGTGTTCTCTGTAGAGGTGCTCTGATTTGCTGATGGCCAGTCGAGTGCATTTGATTAGCAGCACCTGGACGCATCTTGAAGTTGTAATAGTGCACTTGTGCTTGAAGCATTTTGGCTTAGTTTTGATGAAGAACATGGTGTAATATGTAGTTTGTATTCACCTGTATTAAGAGCTGCTCAGGAGAAGATTAGGTTTATTATGTCCTGATAGATAAAACCTTAGAATTCATCTTTCTAAATGACTTCAGCTTGATATTTCCACACACAGGCACGAGTAGTCTCAACCTCACATATTCTTCAAACTATTTGTTAAATGTTACTATGATACATGTCATTTAAAGGTTTGTGCAAATTTTCAAATGGCATCAAAAGTAGCATTAAAAATATTAAAATCAAACAAACCTTTTTCTAGCTTTGAGAATGAACTGTGCAAACCTGATTCTGACTTTTACTTCAGTCATTCCTGATGTTTTTAATCAAGGTATTTGTTGGGAAAATAGGTCAAGTATTTAACCCTTAAGTGAAATGATTTACTTCAGGTAATGTTTCTGGCAAAAAGGAAATCAGCCTGGGTTCCCCGTGGGGGTCGTTAGTTTGTCTCTTTTCCAGTCAGAACTGTTTCCAGCATTTATTTGTGGAGTTTAATTTTTGCCGTAGAACATTTAAACCAAGCCAAACTCTCTGCATGCCTTCATCTCAGCCAGCACTTTGGTAGTGCATGAAGCACTGGCATGAAAATGTTCATTTTTTTCCCCCAAGTTTTTCCTTCATCATGTGGTCTTTGCTTTCTGGTGTTTAATGTGTGTATAGCTATTTGTACCAGTACCAAAATGTGGTTGCCGAGCCTCTTGTTGTAAAACATGTACTCTCTTTAATGTACTCTGGTTTTGTTTTAGACATATATTTAGACTGCGTTTGTGACGGGGGGGGGGGGGGGAGGTTGCTCTGGTGAAGGGGACTTCTTTACTCTTTATCCTCTCTTTCCTCCATGTTTGGGTCTCCTGCACTTTGGTGTGCCACTTCCCGCGCCTCCTCCCTCCTCTTTGCCCTCCTTCTGTGCTCCTCTTCAGCCAAAACACCCATCCAAGAGGAGAAGGGGGCTTGCTTCCGTTTGGTCAGCTCGGGGAGGCAATGTTTGCACCCAGTGTCTGCCCAGCTGAGCAAACAGCTTTGCTGCTGCAGTGTGGGCAAAGCCTGGGGCCCTCGTTGTGACAAATGCCCCCCTCCAGGAACAGGTAAGGTCCCGAGAAATGTCAGATAGTTGTCCTGTCCCAATAAGGCCCCAAACCTTCTGTTGTGACTTCTATGGAGGAAACACGATGAAAAACACTATTCAGCCGTCTTATAATTTACTTTTACGCCTTGCAAATCAGCAAACTCTAAAGCTCCGTCCTTTGGGATGAGCTTGAACTTATGTCCCAGTCTGTTATCCTGCCACTCTCTGTCTGCATGGGTTTCACAGCTTGGCTGAATAGCTGCTTTTAGATTAGAATAGAAAAACCTTTTGCAGTAATTTGTTTTATGTCACCTGCCTGTTTGTCTTTGTTTCGACACATCTCAGTATGTTCGTGGAATTTAATTACAAAGTGATGGTTGGTATTTCTAGGTAGTTGCATTCCCTTATGTTGTTGAAGGCACCCACATCTCATTTTTCATTTCAGTTTGTTTATATAGCACTAATCCGACAGCTGTCTCAGGTTGCTTTCAATTCTCATGTTTTGTGACGATGACTCAAGATTATCTATTATGTATCTGTACTGAGAATTATGAAAAGCGTCACGCTATTGTCTAAAAGCATGCGTAACAAACAAGTCTGTCTTCATTCATTCGACCACCTTTACTTTATGTAAATTTACCAAAAAAAGAAACAAACAAAATGCGGAAACATTCCAAATACATCCTTTATTTAAACAAGGCTACACAGGTAGAATGACGTCCTTGTGATGGTCCTGCGTGTTTTCCTGGTTATATCTTGAATATTCAACTAAGCAACAAACACGAGTTACAGAAAAAAACAGATATTTTGTCATACAAAGCTCACAAAATAACTAGAAATTGCTGCTCTGTGTCTTTCACGTGTTACACGTCTTGCCACGTTGCTGGCGGTTTTAATTGCATGCTGCAAGGTCCGCTGTTAGAAGAGTCAGGGTTATTCATTCATGTGATACGTCACTCTGCAGTGTTGTACAAATGGATTCTGATACCAACACTAAGAAATAATATCATTATGCAGGCGCTACACATGTGTTTTACTAATTAAGATGAAGAGAAACATTAGATTGAAAAATGAACTGTGAAGATGTTTATGTAAAAACGTCTTTCCTTGTACAAGGATCACACATGTGATCAAACTTAATCGAAGTTGGAACTGAAATTTCTGCACATCTTAAGCTGGGATTCAAATCTGACTTGAATCTGAAGCCTGTGATGCCGCAAAACAGGCTCAACCTTTCTTTTCAACACATACAACTCATATTAGATGGACTGTTGTTTTAAAAAATAGTTAGGATTCTAAAATACATCGGCTGGATATGGACATGTCCCAGCCTGGGATTTTCCTCATTTCTGAAACATTACTGAGTGTGTAACTCCAATCAAAATCTGTCATGCATTTCTATTTCTAAATTGTTTTTTCTACTAATTTTAAGGTGTTTTATTCAGTGAAAAAGAAAAGTCCACAGTTTTTACGGTGGGTTCTCTGTTATCTCATCGTGGGAACTGACTGCTTAATAGTATTTAGTTATTCTTAGTTAGTTAAATATCACTTTTTCCTCTTTTTGTAATATCTCATTCCATTTCTCTTTTTATATTGTTATACAAGAGAAGGGTGGAAGTTATCTTGATAAGACTAGGACATTTACTTAATATAGATTTGAAGGAGCAAAAATGGAAAGTTGTGTGAAGGTAGAGCATAAAATGCTTTTTTCTCTTCACCAGAGATGTGTTCAAAGTACCCTCTACTTGGTAAATGGTGGATTTTATTTGAGTTTTTATTCTGGTGCTTTTGTATTCATTCTAAGAATACAGATATAGAGTTAACTACTCATGTCATGTGTTGTCATGCAGCTAAGTTCAAAGAAATCTGTCCTGGTGGAATGGGCTACACTGTTCTGCCAAATCCTCCTGTCAATAAGCCAATTTATCAGGAGCCCATTGACCCACCACAACCCCTACCAACACCAGAGAGACCTGTGGAGGCGTTTGGAACACCGGAAGAGATTATACCAGGTGAGTCTTGCAATATTAATAGCTAATTACCAGTGCATGTTTAGTTGATTTAGTCTATTTATTTTATGTGTCTGGGACCACAATAATTGAGGTATCTTGACTGATTTGTATCACTAACAGTAGGGATGGGTATCGTTTAGGTTTTATCCGATACCGGTGCCAAATCGGTACTTTTGAAACGGTGCCGGTGCTTAAACGGTGCTCAAACCGGTGCTTAAAGAATGGAGAACACAAACTGTCCAAAAACCTCTCATGTTCAGCTGTTGTTTTTTTTTTTTTTTGTAAAAATATAACAATGTTAGCCTTTTCTGCAGCTATGGGGCATATATGGTATCACTCTTGGCTGGAAGCAGTGCTTAAACAATGGAAAAAACACAAACTTTGTCCAAAAACCTCTCATGTTCAGCTGTTTCCCACTTTTTCTTTGGTCATTTTAGCCTTTTTGTCCAGGGTGAAGGGAGTATCTGCCATCAAACAAGAGGACAGCCGCATGTAGCTATGATCATGTTTACTCTACTCAACGTAAATTATACACGAACAACATGAAGCTACTCACGCAGAGAAGAACGGCTGCTGCTGCCATCATCATCTGTCATCATTTCTGCTACACTGGCAGGGCTAGGGGCCAGGACTCTATTCTTCGGGTTTTTGGGGGATGTTGCTCCGGGTCCGATAACTGGCAACCCACCCGACGTGCACAGTGTGAGGTCTCGCAGCAAGCTATCAAATACGGCGCATTTCTCGGCTTTTAAAAAAATGCTATGCGTCGCCAGCTGTTTAATCGGATTCTTGGTGTTACCTCCTTTGACAGTATCACAGTATCAGCTTAAAGCACTTGTTGCAGGCTGCTGAGTTTGCATATTTTGCTGTGAAGTACAGCCAGACTTTTGACCGCTTCGCCTTGGACATTTTTAATCTGTAGCTCTGCTCTAACAGAACGTATGTACCTGGGCCCGCCTACTATCCTGGGAAACGTAAAATGATTGGCTAGAAGTGTATCACAGCTCAGGAAAAAAAAAAGCACCGAAATAAAGCACCGAAATGTGCACTGCTTTTCGGTCTGGTTACTACCGTTTATGTCAGAACCGGTGCCATCATGGCACCGGACACCGGTACCCATCCCTAACTAACAGTATTCTATTTATGCTGTCTTTATACTAGATCATATATAATTGATATATAGGTGGAATTCAGTAAATGAATTTAATTATCACTAGGTTAAATTCAAATTTGTGCACTAAACTGTTGCTTGCAGGATGCTACACAGTATAAAACTATTTTATTTTATTTTAATTTATCAAAACACATCCAATATCTGAGCGCTTACCTTTAAATACAACTTTTTCCTCTCCTCTGCTGTCCTGTCTGTCTTAAACTTTCTCCATCTCTAAATAAAGTTGCTCACTCGTTTCTCTTCCTGTGAAATGCAGCAGTTGGACCGTCAGACACACTGTGAGACAAACTGCACACAAACAGTTTGTGTGTTTGCTGATGTTTGTCTTTCTGCGTGCAGTTTGCATGTTCTCAGTGACATTGATATTTGTGTAAAAATGTACGGAGAAAAAAAGTCATCAGAAAAATAAATATTGGAGTAAACTACAGACAGCTTAAAATTCTAAGTACGGTAATGAAGTGTCCCACCTCTGGTCACCGTCTGTGTTCAACAATGGCTGTTCTCAGTAGATGCAGATGGCCTCATTTACTTATTTTTCCAACCTTTTGTCTTCTCGGTCCAAAATCGGCCCTTTGTCCTCTGAGTGCAGATTCAGCCTTTTCCTTTTGAGGTGGCTCTCCTATGAGGTGCCGTGTGTTTGTGGAGTGACTCTTTGGTTTCTTCTATGAACAACCATTGTTGAACAGAAGTGGTGGCTTATGACATTTGATTTGCTACTTTTGAATAAATCATTATATGGACCTAGTGCGACTTGTTTGTACAGAATATTATGCAGTGTTTATAGTCTCTATCTGGGGCGAAAAAACCCACCGTCTTTCTCAGAAAGACATCAACTTGCCCTCTGTTGCAGAATTTGCGGTGCAGCAGTTAGATACTTGAGATATTAAGATGTGAATACTCCACAGCTGTATTTTATTTGGCACACTTTAAAGTGTCTGAACTCAATGTGCTGTCAAAGCAACAAATATATCTGATGGATTGCATTTATGCAGTGCAGCAGAGAGAAAATGTTTTTTGCACTTTATTGAATGCCGAAAATGTGAAAAAGATCAAGCTGTGTAACAAATTACACCCACTTGCTCCTGTTTGAAGTGTGGTATTAATTTATCAGTGTCGTGGTGAAAAATGCCGAGACGGTGGGATAAACGGGAATCTCACGTTTGCAAATTAAAACTCTAAAGTAACATTAAAAACTCTGATTTATGATCTTCTTGCATGTGATTAGGAAGCCAGATTTTGAGAAACACATCCCTCTTGTGACATTTGTTTGTAGAGGACATGGATTAAAGTGCTTTGACTGAGCGCTCATTCCCTGTTAAAAGCCCAGCCCGCAAGCCATCAAAAAGAGAGCAAAGGGGAGATAAACCTGCCTGAGAGAAGAGCCTCATCCTCTCCTGTTATTATTCAGGACATGCTTGGCAGCCACCAAGGGAAGGAGAAACTTTGCAACATCTTAGCCAAAGCCAGACAGAAACCAAATTACTGTTTAGCTTTGCTGGAGCAGAGTACAGAGTTTTCCAGGCACAGAGGACAGGGCACAAAAAACAATCGGACAAAATTCCACCACCATAAACCTGTGCAGATTAGTGTTTGGATACCACCAGAAAGTAATGAGGCACCTGGCAGCCATACATATTGGTACTTTGAAGCAGCAAAAGCTGTGCTGGGTGGAAGAAGGAGATATTTTGCTTTTTTTCTAAATCTTTACTTTTGTCATCTTGAGACCTGGAAATGTGGTGTGTGCTGTTTATGATCTTTTCACAACATCAAACATGGACCTGTATATATGTCGCTAAGCATTTACTTAAACAAAGGTTGGATGTTGATGAAATTGAGGCTTTTCACATAAAACAATTGCCTTATTTTTGAAGGGTAATAAGAAGAATCTTGTTCTGGATAAGGGGAATTCTTGTGATTATGTGACCTTGAACATAATTTGTATGAAGACCTATTAGGTGTTGAAATGCTGTAAATTCTTACCAATACTGCAAGAAAAGTAACAATTCTTGTGAATTTCTGACCGACAGATGATGATGGATGACAAGGAGAATAAATAAGGTGCATATAGCTTTATAATTAATGAATAAAGTATTAACTAATACCGTACTAATGCTGAATACGTGTGTTGTTCATATAAAGTGTTACCAAAATGCTGTGATTGGGGAAGCAATTGTTACTTTTCTTGCAGTATTGGTAAGAATTTACATTTCAACAGCTAATAAGCAGTAAGCAAAGTCTGAAGGTATTCAGTGTTTATGATGTCAAAACAGTTTTTGACTGATTAGCTTGAGTGTCTTAAAGATTTAAGACACTCAAGCTAATCAGTTTTTTTTTTAAACTTTTTTTTAAAATGTCAGATGACATTTAAAAAAAAAAGTTTGAGCTACGCTACATTATCACAAACCTTCACTCAAAGTTTTTGTTTGTATTTTTTTTTTTGGTCAGTAGCAACCAGTTCACCAGAGCAGGTAGGTTTGGTACCTTTTCACTCTTTAGAGTGAAAATGCAAAAGCAGTTTGCCTGCATACGCTTAGCAAATACACTTACCTTCAAAAGAGTTTCAAAGCCACATTTGCATGAAATCAGCAACATTGCTGCATGACTTTGGCTGGTCAGTTGAACAGCAAGTCAATTTCTACATCTTTGATGTGACTTTAAGAACCAGACTGAAATCTTTGACATGGCCCCAGATCTGGATACTCCACGCTTTTCTAGCTCCCTTTTGCCAAGCTGTTTATTCTTGCTCTGTGATTAAATTGCAGCCAGTTGCCATGCAAGCTAAATGCTAATCTGCTTCTCAGCACAGTACCTGCATTGCATGACGTAAGTAGTAGGAGGCTTAAATGATGAGTCTTGGCTAAAGATGCACTGCTCCAAAAAAATAAAGGAACACTTTGAAAACACATCAGAGCTCAGTGGGGGAAAAGTCTTGCCGGATATCAATACAGATATGGACTGGGTAATGTGTTAGGAATGAAAGGATGCCACATTGTTTGATGCAAATGAAAATGACAGAGAACTTAATTCAAAGACACCCTCCATAATCAACGTGAAAGAAGGATGTGGCAGGCTAATCCGTTTTGCCAACATTTCATTTGAACAATTTGAAGTGGTACTCGATGCTCCTAATGAGATAACAGGTGATTTCAGGATATCAGGTGTTACGTCCCCACATAATAAAAGTCTAGGCGATGAGGGTGGGGGACAGTAACAATTAGATCCAGGTGGAATGAAAAGAACGCCAGGCAGAGGTATTTAACATAAAATAGATCTTTATTGTAGGCAAACACCTCAATAATCATATAAATGGCAACAACAAAAGGAGACAGCACCGCTGCTATAATAAGAAATCAGGGAGGTCAACCCAAAGGGGTAATGACCACTCAACAAAGAAAGCAACAATAAGGTTTCAACAGAAAGAGACAGCAACGCTGCTAACAAACAATATCCAGGCAGGCCACACAAACTAATGAAGGCCGCCGTCACTCATGGGCAATCACTGCTCAGTTAAACACTACTCACAAAGAGCCACACACCAGAAGGCTGGCCACACACAGCAGGCTGTTCCACACCTAAGCCAGTAGCACGCTCTGACCAGCACAGAGGAAATCCACCAGAAACCTCTCCCTCCTCCTCCACACTGCTCTTCTCCAGCTTATATCACCCCTGAGGGTAATTGGTTGTAATGAGAGCAGATGAGCAGCAGGTGTGACCTAAAGGAGAGGGCAGGGGCAGAGAGAGACAAGGGGAGGGCCAGAACGAAGGAGGAGGAGAGAGAGAAGACAACACCACGCCCACACACTCCCACAGCCTCCCAGGATGTAACATTCCCCCCACCCTAAATCCACACTATACAAAACACAGAAGAAACTCATCACTATGCACTGCGTGAGAGTGCATCAGCCACCAGATTTTCAGTCCCTTTCTTGTGCTGGATAATCAGATCATAATCCTGCACCAGCAAAGCCCAGCGCATTAGTCGTTGGTTGTGGTTGTACATGCGCTGGAGGAAAGTGAGGGGTTGTGATCTGTATACACCGTTACTGGAAAGGAGCTAGAGCCCACATACGCAGTGAAGTGCTGCAAGGCCATCAGCATTGCTAGAGCCTCTTTCTCTATGGTGGAATAGTTTAGCTGATGGCGCTTGTACTTTACAGAGTAGTAGCAGACTGGGTGACACACACCCTCTGCGTCGTCTTGTAATAGCACCGCACCAGCTCCGGTGGAACTGGCGTCGACTTCCAGCTTGAAAGGCTGAGAGAAGTTAGGGGCAGCCAGAACTGGGGCGCTGCAAAGGAGGGATTTTGCAGACTCGAATGCGTGCTGGCATTCCCCTGACCACTCAAAAGGGACTTTGGGGCTACATAGCCTTGTCAAAGGGGCCACAACTACCGCAAAGTTCTTGCAAAAACAGCGGTAGTATCCAGTCATGCCCAGGAACCGTTTTAACTCCCGCCTAGTGGCTGGGGCCGGGTAGCTGAGGATAGCCTCGACTTTTGCCTCCACTGGGCGTACCCGCCCGAAACCCACCTGTTTCCCCAGGTACATGACTGTCGCTTTGGCGAACTCGCACTTAGCGAGATTTAGAGTCAACGAGGCGTCAGCCAGTCGCTGAAATACTGATCGTAGGATGGCCACATGCTCTTCCCACGTGGCTGTGTATATCACCACATCATCCAAGTACACATTACATTGAGGCACGTCTCCTACAACCAGCTGCATCAACCGCTGAAATGTGGCCGGAGTGTTTTTCATGCCAAACGCCATCACGGTGTACTGCATGAAATGGTCGGGTGTGACAAATGCAGAAATGTCAGAGGCTCTGGGGGTCAAAGGCACCTGCCAATATCCTTTAAGAAGGTCCAGTTTGGAAATAAATGTGGCAGGACCTATGTTGTCAATGCAGTCCTCCATACGAGGAAGTGGAAAAGAATCGGCGACAGTCACTGCATTTACCCTACGGTAGTCGGTGCAGAAACGTGGGGTGCCATCAGACTTGGGCGTAAGTAAACATGGAGAGCTCCAAGGGCTGTGACTCGGTTTCGCCAAACCATTCTCCGCTAGATAACTGACCTCCTTCCTCATCACCTCGCGCTTTCCCATAGGGCAGCGGTACGCGTGCTGTTTGATTGGGGTTGCGTCCCCAACATCGATATCATGTTCACAAACATTAGTACGCGAGGGCACATCACCAAAGAGAGAGGGGTAAGAGTGCAGTAGGCTAAGCACATCTTTGCATTGTGAAGGGGACAGATGAGAAAAGTGGGCCGTTACCTCGGCTAAGTAAGCTGAATTCGCCAACCGCCCACACTGTTGTTCCTCAGAAAGCATATGCAGATCGTCGTCAGCACTGGCCTCTACGCTCAGCACGGTGGCAGAGACAGAGCTGGAGGTTGCCGCACTGGCAACAGTCTCATGGGTTTCCCTATCATAGTAGGGTTTTAACATGTTGATGTGGCACAGGCGTGTTTTCCTCCTGCGCTCTGGGGTACTGAGAACATAATCTGTCTCAGACACTTTCCTCACTATGACGTACGGTCCCGCGAAACGGGCCGTAAGAGCAGAGCCAGGCACCGGTAGCAACACTAAAACCTTGTCCCCAGCCTGAAAATGCCTTTTCACAGCCTTTCTGTCATGCCACGTCTTCATGCACGCCTGGGCAGTACACAGGGCCTCTTTAGCTAATGAGGTAGCACGTTGCCAACGATCCTTACATGTCTTTACAAAATCTGCCACGTTAGTTTTTGGAGCACCCCCACTAAGGAACCTCTCTTTCAACATCTTTAGCGGGCCCCGCACCTCGCGGCCAAACACAAGGGTAGCTGGGCTGAATCCTAAGGACTCTTGCTTAACATTGCGTATTGCAAACAGTACAAAGGGGACACCCTCATCCCAGCTTCTGCCTGTGTCATGGCAGTACTTTTTTAGCATGGCCTTAAGTGTTTGGTGCCAACGCTCAAGTGCACCTTGCGACTCTGGGTGATAAGCACTAGACACAGAATGAGAGACGCCCAGGGAGGCTAAAGTCTGTTTAAATGCTCGAGATAAGAAGTTAGTTCCCTGGTCTGTTTGCACTGTTTTTGGAAGACCAAAGGTGGTGAAAAATTTGATTAGCGTCTTAGTAATGTTTGCAGTGGTGACCCTCCGCAGAGGAATTGCTTCGGGGAACCGCGTGGACAAACACATTATGGTCAACAAAAACTGATTGCCTGCTCGTGTTCTTGGCAACGGACCAACACAATCGACCAAAACATGCTCGAATGGCTCACCAACAGCTGGTATTGGACATAGTGGGGCGGGGGGCACAGTTTGATTTGGTTTGCCCACCAGTTGACACGTATGACAAGTATTACAGTACTTCGCAACATCTGTCTTCATTGCCGGCCAGAAGAAGTGCTGCAGAATACGGTCATATGTTTTAGTTATCCCCAAATGTCCTGACCATGAATGGTCATGGGCTAACTGTAGCACGTGCTGACGTAAACTAGCCGGGACCACTATCTGTTGGACTACACTCCAGTCCTCCCCTGGCTTTGAAGTCCACCTGCGCATTAGCAATCCATCACATACAACAAATGTCTGCTTCCTGTCTCCTGTCAGATGATCACTCTCATCTACGGCAGCAAAACATTTGGTTAACGATGGGTCTGCTTTCTGAGCGATAATAAGGGCCTCCCGTGTGAGGAGAGGGGGGGGCTGCGGGTTCAGGAGCAGGCTCAGCCACTTCTTGAGCCAGTTCCTTGGCATCAGGACCCACCTCCCCCTCCTCAGAGGGCATCACATCCATCTCCAGCATAGAGCCGACCACTGACCCTGACAAGTCAACCACTTCTCCCTGCCAATGGGCCTGTGACCGGGTAAGAACACCTATGGGAAATACATCCGGGTGCTGCCGGTTTAAAACATCTGGCAAGGGGCTTGGGTCAGGGGTCTTTGTGACCTCTGGGGTAGGATAAACCTTCCCGCCTGCAATGTCATTGCCCATTATGAAGTCTACACCATCAATCGGGAAACAAGGACACACAGCTACAGGAAAAACACCACTTATTAGGTCACTCTGCACCCAAATTTGATGGAGGGGGGCTGGCACATAAGTCATTCCAACGCCTCTAACAATAACATCAGTGCCGCTGGCGGTCTTTTCATCAAAGGCAAGGGCGTTAGCCAGTATGAGGGACTGTGAACCACCTGTGTCACGTAAAATGGTCACAGTACGCCCATCTCCAGGCTTACCAGAGAGTGACACCGCTCCTTTGAAACTGAAAGGTTTAAAACATTCGTCAGGCGTTTCAGTGCTAAGTGGTCTACTACCAGAAGAAGCGTTTTTAATCAGCCCTATCCCTTTTGGTTTACGTGGTGTTGAAACTGGCTGTCTTTGCCTGTAGGCCTCGCAATCCGCTATTAAATGGCCGGATTTAAAACAATAGAAACATTTCCGGTCTGACCTGGGACGAGGCACAGGCACCTCTCTCCTTGTGTCTTGCTCACCACTAGCCTTTGCTAGTATGTCGCGTCGCTCATGCTTAACAACACTGGTTTTATGGACGAGTGCGAACTCGTCAGCCAGGGTCGCGGTCTGCTGCAACGTGGAGACCTTCTGCTCATTCAGATATACCGCCATCCGCTCGGTGACGCAATTTTTGAACTCCTCAATGAGAATCAATTCCCGTACCGAAGCTAGGTCTGCTGCTTTACAGGCCATACACCACCGATCAAAGAGGATACTCTTTTCTCTTGCGAAATCCAGGAAGGATTGACCCTGCACCTTTTTCAGCCCCCGAAATCGCTGCCTGTAAGCCTCGGGAACTAGTTCATAGGCTAACAGGATTGCACTTTTCAGTTTGTCGTAGTCCAAGCTGCATTCAGCGGACAACGAGGAACAAACTTCCTGCGCCTTGCCCACCAGCTTGCACTGTAGCAGGATGGCCCACGCATCCCGCGGCCAACGCAAGGCTGTCGCTATCCGCTCAAACGATTCAAAATAAATCTCCACCTCAGTGTCACGAAATGCAGGGACCAGACGACTATTCCTTCCTACATCAAACTGAACGTCTGTATGTGACAGCGAAGCCACCACAGGAGGGATGGAGGCCTGCTGGAGTTCCAGCTGTCGCAGCTTGACCTTCGTCTCCGCCTCCACTTTCATCAGCTCAACCTCTCTAGCCCTAGCCAGTTCTGCGTCCAAACGCCTAAGCTCTATCTCCCTCATCAGCTGGAACTCTCTCTCGCTCTGCTCCTTCTCCAGCTGGAGGCGAGCTAGACGGACTTTGAGCCTAGCATCCTGCCTAGAACCCTCTGATGACTGGATGGAGAGTGGATCAAAACGGGGCAGCGTCATAGGCCCCCCTCGGGCAACCCCTGGTCCATAGGTGTGGACACTGCTGGTTCTACAACCTGGCCTCGAACAGGAGGCGCCGCACTTGGTCCAGCCGGACCGGGTGTGCTCGGAGGTTCTTGCATTACAACCACCCTCTTCTCCAACAACCCGGACACCAGAGCGGCTTTCAGCTCGGCTTTGCGTAGACCAGTGGAGACACTGATCCCGTAATGTGTAGCCAGCTCATGCAGATTCCTCTTCCTACAAACATCTAGCAGGGCAAGCGACGGCTCTGCTGTAAACCCAGCAATATCAAAAGTGGCCATGAAAACCCAAAATGGCCTGCCAAAACACAAGCAAACCACCAAAAGGCCACACACACACACACACACAATGCCTTCACTACAGAACTACACACAGGCGAAAGAGAAATGTGTTGTGTCAAAAAGTCAACCATTAATTGAAAAGCCCACACTCCCCCAGTCCTGCCTGCTCAGAATCTAGCCTGTCCTAGCTTCTGGAGCGTACCAGGCTCGAGGCCACTTTAAAGGCGAATCATCAAGTGCCAAAAGGCACCGACAAGCCTACCCCAACAGAGAATTAATCCCCACCCGGGTTTGCTCCGAAAATAAAAAAGGCAAAACAAAAAAACGAGTGTCCGAAGGAAGAGCAAATGCTCAGCTAGACACTCCCCTGTGCTAGCCGGGGAGAGCAGCAGTTGCCAAATGACCTTCACACAACACACAAACACCTGTACGCACTTGTAATCAACCCAATTCCTTTCATTCCGATCCCGGACGAGCCCCCACTTTGTTACGTCCCCACATAATAAAAGTCTAGGCGATGAGGGTGGGGGACAGTAACAATTAGATCCAGGTGGAATGAAAAGAACGCCAGGCAGAGGTATTTAACATAAAATAGATCTTTATTGTAGGCAAACACCTCAATAATCATATAAATGGCAACAACAAAAGGAGACAGCACCGCTGCTATAATAAGAAATCAGGGAGGTCAACCCAAAGGGGTAATGACCACTCAACAAAGAAAGCAACAATAAGGTTTCAACAGAAAGAGACAGCAACGCTGCTAACAAACAATATCCAGGCAGGCCACACAAACTAATGAAGGCCGCCGTCACTCATGGGCAATCACTGCTCAGTTAAACACTACTCACAAAGAGCCACACACCAGAAGGCTGGCCACACACAGCAGGCTGTTCCACACCTAAGCCAGTAGCACGCTCTGACCATCACAGAGGAAATCCACCAGAAACCTCTCCCTCCTCCTCCACACTGCTCTTCTCCAGCTTATATCACCCCTGAGGGTAATTGGTTGTAATGAGAGCAGATGAGCAGCAGGTGTGACCTAAAGGAGAGGGCAGGGGCAGAGAGAGACAAGGGGAGGGGCCAGAACGAAGGAGGAGGAGAGAGAGAAGACAACACCACGCCCACACACTCCCACAGCCTCCCAGGATGTAACATCAGGATATCACTGAGCTACTGAACAGTCTAAGGCACAGGCTGATGCTATCGGCCTGACAGAAAGATCATCTCCCAGAGGTGTTCTATTGGATTTAGGTCAGGCAAGACTGGAACTCAAGGCCAGTCTATGGTATCAATTTCTGCTCTTGCCACATGAGGCCGGGCATTGTCGTGCACCAGGAGGGATTTTTATCCCATTACCTAATGGCAGTCAGGGTGCTGTTGCCTAGCATGTAGGGGCCTGTGCGTTCCTTCATGGATATGACTCCATGGACATCACTAACCCACAGCCAAACCAGTGATTCTGAATGATGTTACAGGCAGCATAACATTCTCTATGGCTTCTCCTGTCACATACGCTCAGGGTTAATCTGGATGTAACCCTTTCACTGGTTCACTGATATTAGAGTTCACTGGTATTAGAACTGTACTTTCTGGTATTCTATGGCAAATGCCAACCCTTTAGTCTCACCCCATGGTGTCGGGGAGTGAAAACAGGACACACTAGAGGATGTCAGACCCTCAGTCCATCCTCATAAGTCTGATTGTTCTGATTGTTTTGTCAGAGACATTCACACAAATCATTTTGTAGAGCTCTGTTCCTCCTTGCACAAAAGAGCAAATACCGGTCCTGCTGATGGGTTAAGGACCTTCTATGGCCCTGTCCAGCTCTCCTAGAATAACTGCCTGTCTCCTGGGGCCTCCTCTGTGCTCTTGAGACTGTGCTAGGAAACACTGCAAACCGTCCAGCATTGTATTGATGTTCCATCCTGGAGGAGTCGGACTATTTGTGCTACTGGTAGTGACACTGACCCTAGGCAAATGAAAAAACAGTCAGAATAGATGAATGTCAGTGGCCTCCAGTTGTAAAACCATTCCTGTTTTGTGGTTGGTTTCGTTGTTGCCCCTCTAGTGCGCCTGTAGTTAAAGTCATTAATGCCAAAGTAGCTGAAACTGATTAACCACCAGATCAATATCCCAAGGTTAATTGACTTGATTATATACGCTGAAGTGTTCCTTTAATATTTTTGAGCAGTATATGTATACAGTGCTATGTTGATTTTATGTCTTTGGTGTTGTCTGTGTCTTTTCATTGAAGGAGCTGGTAATTCCTGTGGGTAGCATTAGTCCAGTAGTTGAACCTATCCAGCCCCAGCTATCTCCGGGTGTTTCCACTATCAAGATGGAGGCACCTTACCCAGGTTCCTGCTTTGCCCTTTAAACTTCAAAGCAGTTTCAGACTCAGCTCATCGAGCTTATGATGGGCTCAGACAAAGCGATTTTTAATCCTTGGGTTTAATATGATCCAGTGGTCTGAAAAGAGTGCTGTTTCAGTGAGGGTGATTACTGAGTCATTTTAAAACTTGTTATTGACATGACAATGATATGTTATATATATAAATATAGCTTGTTGTTTTTCACAACACACAATATCACTGTAAAAGAGGTACTAGGTAATTACTGGAAACAAAGTGGTATCCCAAGCAGTATGTATGGTACTAATTGTACTGGGTTCCAAAAAGCCTACAAACAGAACATTAAAAGTGAGTTGTTGTTGTTTTTTAAAAATATTCTCTGTGCTGTGGATGCACAGAGGGATAAGACCGAGGTAGTAAGAATTTAAAAGAAGGGCACAGAAGATCAGTGCTAACAACACATTATCTTACAATCTGCTCGAGTCATCTGGTATCCACAGATTACACAAAATAAACCATCAGTTATGTCCCTGATGTCTATTTATGGTATGGATAGGCATCATCAGTTTGATATTGCCTCATCTAAACCCAGTATTAGATCACTTTGTTAGTCTTAACTGCACACAGGTTTTATTGTACTGTAGTTTTGTTGTAGCGACGGAAATGTCACCGATTGGTGAGTAAAGTCCTATTTTGATGGCACAACTTGTACATTTTTACCATCAATATCAGAAGTTTTTTAAACCACATGTTACAAGCAAGGGCTACATCTGACAGCATGCTCTTCAGTAGCATCTTGTCACAAAGTCTACAGCAAACCCTTAATAAGGCTATATATATATATATATATATATATATATATATATATATATATATATATATATAAAGCATTACTGTAAATTTCCTTTATAATTCATGCTCATAAAATGTTGAAACTATATGTTTTGCATCATAGGGTAAAGTAAAAGAGTATAGACGGAGCTGTTGGAAATTATTTAGGAACCATAGCAAATTAGCCATAAAGCCATATAGGAACAGAGTAGGATGGTTAAGTGCTGAGGTACATGGCACATGTGTAGTTGGACTAGTATTTTTGTCCGTATACTGTATATTCATTATACAAAGTGAATAATTAAAATCTTTTCTTTTTTTTGCTTATATCTCATAAATACCAGTAAGTTATTTGGAATATTTCAAGTTTGAGTTAATTACTATTCAAAAACTGTACCGTTTGAATACTGTCTCGGTGCACTTCACTGCACACAACCACAACCACGTATAAGACAGCTGACATGAGAGTTGTTCAGATGATGATGATCGAATACCTCCACAGGGAGGGTAGGCCACAGAAGCTCGTTGGGGGTGGGTTATTTATTTTTTGTATTGGCCTGCAGTAATCATTATAATGTAATATTGATTGTAAATTTTGCTGGGTTTACTGCCTTTTTACCAAGAATAATTGTTTGTTTTCTGAAATTTCTCTTCTGTAAAGTCACAAGGCTGTCCTTTCTAAACCTGTTAAACTTCTTGCCAAAGGTACTCCCTGGGACATTAAGAAGTGGTAACAGTTGAGGTCATATGATCACATTTTTGCAGGAGCAGGTTGAGGTGATGAGTGATGGTTATGACAAAAAATAAATGTGCCTGTGCAGGAGCCCTTTCTGTTAGTAAAAAAAAAAAAAAAAAAAATCAAATTCTGTCATTCATGATGTTTGTACCAAAAGCTTCAGTACATTTGTGCAGAATATAAGATCAGGTGATATTATCCTTTCCATTGTCCTTATATGTTACCTAGTGTGGATAATCTAGTCACTCTAGTGTTGTATTTCCTGCCACTGGTGGTTCCCCCATCTCTCTTTTTCTAGGTGTCAGTCACACACGAGTAGAAGCAGGATGACAACCTCCATGCAACCAGGGGAAAAAATGGTTGGCAAGTGATTGCACAGAATTTTTTGGCTGTCTGGGGCCAAATACGAGTACTTGAAACAAAGTCGTCTTGCAACAAAAAGCAGTTGCCCAATGGTTGAGGGTGCTGTACCATCAACCTCTGGGCAGCCACTTTTTTGCAGGTCGCCACATTGGAGGCAACGTTTCTCTGTCCGACTGACTGCACTCACTCTCAAATAGATTGGGGAAAGTTTGCAATTAAGCACCGTCTAATTTATGAAAGCAGACAGATTATCAACACTGAAGAGCATCTCTTGTTTTGCAAGACGTGTGTGATGGTTGCTGCTACCAGTGTTGATTTATTTAAACAGGAGGGACGTTGTGAGCGCAGTGCCAGAATGTTGGCTAAGTCTTTTCACTGTTTAGAGCTTCACATTTTGCTTTTCCACAGTAATCCTGGCATTTATTGAAATGAAACAGACTTGAAATAAACTTAATGGACTATGAGAGGGAGGGAGAAGGAGAATCCTGAGATGATAAGACGATGCGTCTCGTGCTCTTTTTTACTGTGAGCCGAGTGGGTTAAAGTGTTTCAGGGTTTTAGTCACATTTGTACTCATTGTAAACATTTCATATCAACATTCGTGTCTTTCATTCATTTATTTGGTTTGATTGGTGCTATTACAAAACACATGCCTGTCAAAATGCATGCATTAATGGGATTGTGATAGGTTTTAGACTCATTTGTGAGGTCCACAAACATCTAGAGTAATTTTAACATAACCATTCACCCTTAGGTCATAAACATATTGATCTTCAGCCTGATTGAGCTGAGCTACCATGCTGTCTTCAGAGAGCAATGCAACTATGCTTACACTGTTTTATTCTGTCAGTACATTACTCACTCCCTGATTTTTGAGCTGCAAATCTGCACTGCTGTTGGTACAGTGCTGGCCATTAATGAAATTAACTAGTTGTATCTGTTTATTTATAAATGTATAAAGTATATAAATTTACCGTGTTTACTTCCGGCCCAGTCTGTGCCTGATGTGTAGATTGTTTGTGATCCACCTGTATACCTCTAATGTAGACAGCACCAGATTTGCAACAGACAACAACAAATCTAACTTTTTTAGAGTTAATCATGATTTTATTGCATGCAGAGCACTGCCAACTTGACCCCGTGTAATTAAAACTGATCGCAGACTGCCTCAGTCTTAACAATTGTTGTGTCTCTCTTTTCTCACACTCTTAAAGGTGTTTTAAAGACAACAATTGACTGTGAGTCATCTTAGATTTGGTTCCCATCTTTGAAGGGACCATTTCAATTACAAGGAGATTGCATTTGATTATTGATTACACATGTTGTGGAGCAGTCTCCAAACTGTTTTCCCCAGTGCCTGTGGTCTTAACCATCGGATTAGAGATATGCATTCAGAGTTGCATTTCTAAGCATTGCTATCATACTGAGGTCTGTGCATATCTGTGGGTGTGATTTGGTCTGGTCCTCTGTGACCTCTCATTATAACTTCAGCTTTGTATGAATACACCCAAAGTTGCTGTAAACTGCATTGTCTTTCCTTGCCAAACAATGAGAATTATATTTTGTCTGTCGCATGTCCATCTGTGAAGACTCTTATACAAACCCAAGGTACCACTTTGCTATATGATTTTGGTGTTCTGTTGCTTAGACACACCAGTCTGGCAGTCTAGTTTAACAGTTAATTACAGTTCAGTGTTAAGCTATAAGTAAATTGTGAATGTTTTTAAAATGAATATGTTGAAATAGAATGAATTAAGAATAAACTACATACATACTAGAACTAATGGCTTGTGTTGTGGTTTTCTTTTTTGGTTCAACAGAAGTGGTTGAGAGGATTTCTCCTCCTGCACCAGTAGAGATTCTTCCAACTAATGCAGGCCAGGACATCGCACCTACTCAGGCAGCAGGTAGGGCTGAAACATTCTTCACTCTTTCTTTGCAAACTTTTTTTGTTCTTTTGTGTGTTTTTTCTGTTTTCTCTTTTTCTTCGCACCAGCTTTTTGTAATTGTGTAAATGCTAGTTGGTGTCTACCTCGTAAGAGATGAACCATTTCAATTTAGGAAAGATTCGAGTAATTTGCAAACAATGTTGGGAAGATTACTTTTTAAAATGTATTCCACTACAGGTTACAGAATACATGCCCCAAAGTGTATTTTGTAACGTATTTGGATTACTTAATATATTATCATGCTTTTTACAACTACTTGAATGTACTATTGCTGTGTGATTTATTACTATTACTGAAGGTTACTCGTCATACCAAAACCAACTAGATTTTTAAATCTTGCTTTTAAATGTTGCTGTTCAATTTTTGTACTGGCAGGTTGACGTACGTCAGCTCCCCTGACAAAGAAAGCCCAGTGTTTGACTCCCTGGTACAATTCCCAAATATGGACCTTAATGTAGATAACCCATAAGCTAGAGCACAAAGTGTCTCAGTAGATTTTCATTTAACCTGGATGCAATCCAAATGCAATCCATAAATCTACAGAGACATCTTATTATACTGATTGAAGAAAATAAGAAAACCCCAGGGTTCTCTTCAGCACAGTGGCCAGGCTGGCAGAAAGTCAGAGCTGTGTTGAGCCAAGCATTCCTTTAGCCTAACTAAACTTAGCACAGAAAGTAAGGAAACTTGTGTTGGGTCGATTATTTCTTTATTGTAACAATTATTACTGGCAATTAATCCTATACTGTTGAAAGCCTGTTTATTTCCTCTGAAGCAGTGCCGCGTTTGTAAGGAAAATGAGCAGCAGAGTTATATATGTGGGTTGTGCCCATGATAAACTCACCAAATCTTCTCTGCAAGACTGCTCAAAGAAATCCTAGTATTAATTGATGCTTCGCTCTCCACCTTAGAGTGGCAGTAATTAAAATATTACTTAAAAAGTCTTCTCTAGGCTCATCTGTCTTGACTCCAATTTCTTTATCTAAATAAGGAATCATCTTCTCCCATGAAGTTTAATTATGTAGTTCCACAGGTTCTGCGCGGGGACGTTTCCCTCAAATTGAGTGAAATGCTGAACTAAAAGATTAAAGTTTGAAAAAGACTTTCTCCAAGAACTTTATGTTCCAAGTGTGCTGGAAAGGCTCCAGACTTCATGAAGTCATTGAGAGAATAAATTTATATTTTTTTTTCAAATTGTACATAGAATTAAAATATAGACGAATCTATGAAGAGGCAAATGTATCTGATAAATGTGATTCAGGTGAAAAATATTTATACCTTTCAGCCATTTTATACATATTCCATTTTCTGAGGCTCAAAAGTAACTGACGAGTTAAAATTGTTTTAAATATAAGAATTGTGTTTAGTACTACAGTCAGATTTTTGCAGGTTTTTGAAAAAAAGGACTGGAATTCCAAAAGTGTTTAATGTTGCTGAAGTTCTGCAATCAGATCTTGATTTCTTTTGTTTGAAGCAAAATTGCTTCACTGTCCAAATACTTCTGACTGCATGTGTCTCCGCACTTTGTGGATGCACTCCGTGTTATATATAGTGTGTATGTTGTTGTCCATAGAGTCTTCTTAGAACTTGGAGAAACTTCTCGAACGGTTGCCTGATGTCCAGTAACACTTGTTAGCGCAGAACTAATCTACATCTTAGCTTTCGCAGTTGGAAAATAACTACATCGCTAACTGTCAAAGATGTTTGCTGTGGTGCAAACTCACATCTCGAATCATTTACTAATGAACTAAAAAGGATTTACTATGAAAAGCAGCTCACAAGGATAACTGCAAAGTACTAAAAGGTATTTATTTGACCTTCTTCACAATATGCTGAGAATAACTGCCAGTAATAAAACACTTTGTCTGGTTTGATATGGTTTTAATTCCGTCACCTGCTCCGCAGTCAGTTGCTTTCGGCTACTTTGTGGTAGATTATGTGAACTTGTGATGCTTTTTTATTAAGCTGTTAACTTGTGGTACATTAATGGTAGGCTGTGGTTCCTTGCAGCTCTTTATAGTAACTTATGGGACCCATTATTAGCTCTTAAAAGTGCTGCTACATTAGTGCTCTCCTGTTTCTCTTCTGGCCCAGAGGTAGATGAGTGCCAGATCAACCCTTATATTTGCGGCCACGGGATTTGTTACAACACAGCTGAGAGCTATATCTGCCACTGTGATGAAGGATACCACCTGGATGAGACCCAAACCACCTGCATAGGTAAGGAATGTATTGGTCAGAGTTGAAGTTAAACAAGCTTTGTACGCCATGTGTAGTGCGAGCAAAAGCAACATGATTTTAGCAAAGCTCATGGAATCAGTGTCCTGCAGTTGAGATATGATAGGTGAAATGAATGGCCCATGTCCAAAAGACATGAACAGCAAATGGCTGTTTTCTCAACTTAAAGCACTCTTTTTTTCCCTTGTGACCTGTTTCCAGCTTCCTCATTTACTGTCCGAAGGTTTAATCCTCATCACAGACAGCCATGAGGTCTGAATGTTCATGGGACTTAGATACAGTCTAACAAATCAGCATCTTTCCACCAGCTTCTGTCAGAAAAAGGAAGTTAATTATTAGTGGAATAAAGGCAAACACATTAGAAAATTTTATTTACTTTCTTTATAACAATTGTATTTTTTCCTGAGTTTTTTTGTGTAGAGTGTGAGCTTTTTTTTGGCGTCCGAGTTAGGGCATAAAAAAAGGAAACGTTTTAGAACCACTGCGTTAAAAGCCGTAGGCACTGCGTGGGTTTGCTGGATTGGACCCAGGACCCAAGAATCTTAGTTCAGGGACCAGTACGTTTGACTGAAGAGAAGTTTGTGAGTTATCATGAATTATGTTCTTACTTCTTAGTTACTCTGACTTACTGCCTACTTGTTAATATAGTCAGTGAGCTAAGAACCTAGACTATAATTTATTATAGACTAATATGTTTGTTAGGCTGGAGCCCCAGAGCAAATAAATATTTAAAACGTATTCACCATATGCTGTATCCTGTTCTGGAATAAAAGTGAGACATGGAGGAACATTTACAGTCAAAGTAAATCAGGCACTGGGACAGTATTTATGCTGTGCACATCTATAACATCTGGCATTGGTCAAACTAACAAGTGCATTCTAATGGAATTCTAAGCTGGTGGAATCTCGGATGAGACCAACAACCACACTGTTACCGACATCAGCGCCACCCTCCTCCCGGCTCATCGGCCTTATTGGGATATGAATATGATGCACTGTCATTACGTGGTTTCCTGCCGTTTCAATGCAGCTCTCCCCACCCACCAAAATGATATTGAATTAGGGCTCAGAGGGCAAACAGGCGTGATGATGATTTCTCCATAGCCGCAATAAAATCTCTTCTGCTTAGCTGCAGAGGCTCGTGGATCAGATTATGACTTCTTTGAGAGGTTTATATGCATGTGGGTTTGCAACCATAGTGTCTATTAACAAGATTGATGCAAAGCAGACAAAAACAGGAGTATTGGTTTTAGATGTTCTAGTAAAAATCGTGACACCGCGGTGTATAAAATTTCCTACGATGCATATTTGACTGGTGAACTTTTGTACACGGGTACTTTTTACATTGCAACAACCACCCTCAACTCTGTTCTAAGGGAGATGTTTTTGTTTGTTTTTTAACAAAATGTATTTGTTGTGATTTTTAAATGCCCTGTGATATTGATACTGCCCAAGCGTGAGATCCTTGTTGCAGTCTTTTAGCGTTGTTTTTAGTCTCTACCAGGTCAGTTTTGTCTTTCACAAAAATCTAACATTAGGTGTGTCACCTGTGATGACTTAGAACTCTGAGTGTTAAACAGTTTCTGTCTGTCTGCTTTTTTAATGCTTTTTCTTTGAAAAACAGCTGGTAATGTGGAAAAAATTGAGTTTTGTTGAACCAGCTTTAGAAATGTTGCTCTTTATGGACTCAGCTGTTTACAGTGAAGCTGATGAATGTCTGCCAAACCACAGACAGACATGCAGAGAAGGATTCAGCAGCTACAGAGCCAGAGAGCGCTGGTAGAGACTAAAGCTAGAGCTAAAAGAAGAGTGAATACTGAATGACCGTTTTTGAACATGTTTGTTGTGACAGCTTATTTGTGTGTTCTCAGATGTCGATGAATGTGAAAACAGGCTAGTGTGTCCTTCTGGTATCTGCTACAATGAGCCTGGTAGCTATAGCTGCGGCTCCTGTCCGTCTGGCTTCTTGGGTCAAGGAGGCCAGTGTGTGGGTAGGTCCTTACACTGTTAACATGTACATGTCTCTGTATTTGGACCTTACTGCAGTGCAAGGCTCCTTTAAATCAGTTTTAATTAATAATGTGCCTAAACTAAACAGTGTGTAATATAATACATGTATGATATTAGTGCAGCATTAATACAAGTCTGAGTTGTACCTAGGTTGCTGATCAGTGCAGAGTAAAGGTTGTGTTACTTTGAGCCTGGCGCACAATCATGGACTGGAGGAGTTACAGTTACAGTGACTGCCTGAAAACACATGGAGAAAGACCAAGGGAGGTTTTCATCTGTTTCTGATTTTTCATTTTTAACAAATTTCTTTTAATCATCTGATCACATAGTTAAAATATTGCACTTGGTTGCTAGCAAAGCTTGGCGATGCATGAAAATCTCTATGATCATCAGAAAACCAACAGGAAACCGTTGTGTGCGCCAACTTCCAGTATAAGCCATTAATGGCCTAGAGAACACTTATATTTTTCAGGATAACCCTTAACCTCATAGTGCGTATGTCTGGCGGTCAAAACATTAAGGGATCAACCCAGGAAACAGATGCAAAGTTGTACACCTGTACCAGTCAAGAAATAAAATTGCAAACCATGCCAAAGAATACACAACATTTCCCCATGCTTTCCTGGTAATGCTATTATTTCTAGCAGGCACAAAAGGTGTGCCCATCTCTACTCTTTTAGCACTTTGCCACTCCTGTATCCAATGCGACTCGAGGTTAGCTGTGAAGTTTTGACACACCATGTCAGCCAAGCCAAGCCACAACAGAGAATGGTGGTAGCAGCGAGAGAAAAGAATTAGGCTGTGGAGCAGAATCCTTCATAGAAGTTAATAAACCATGCCACAAGTGTTTGCATGTGACTGCCAAACTCACATCAACTAGATTATGTGTGTGTGTGTCCATGAGTTCGAGGGCATTTTTGGACTACAGGAGAGAATAAACGAAAGTTAATGACATGAAAGGCAACAGTGAAAATTATATATAAATAACAGGAGTGAAAAGAGGGGAGTGCTGAGTGCATCATGGGAGGTCTTTTAACAGACTGAGCCACAGACAGCCCTTTATCAAAAAAGAAAGTATGAAGTCAACGTTAAAGTAAAGAAGGTGTCTGTCCCCTGAGCTCAAACTGGTAGCTGTTTCCACAAGACAGGGCCTGATGGCTGTTGGCTCTGCCTCCCATTATACATCTCTAGGAACCACAAGTGAACCTGCAGTGTGAGAGCAACGTTCTCGGCCGGGATGATGGGAGGATGTTTTCGAGATACGGTTGAGCATAATCATTAAGGACTTGTGTGCTGATTCCTGACTTCTTGGGCATTATGCTTCAGAATGCTGAAGAGCCTGGAATGGAATCCGACTCAGACCGACTTACTTAAACCGACAATGATTTAGCTGGTGGGCACTAGTCTGTGGTGGTCACCAAAAGTCTATAAAAATACAGTCAGAAGAGCCATTAAAAGAGGTTTTACCCTCTAATCATGCATTAGGTTTGGCCAGTGCTTGCATGATTTAGATGTCATTACCTGCTTATCAACCAATGATGACATTTTCGTAAATAAAAATGATTAAAATCATATTTAATAATTTAAAGCCGTGCTTCCATTGTATAACAATGCATTAGTTATAATAGGCCACTCCCAATACTGTGCCTGTGTTTGTTCCAGTGTTCAGATAAGTTTAGTGTAACACTCACACTACAGGGAGTGCAGAATTATTAGGCAAATGAGTATTTCGTCCACATCATCCTCTTCATGCATGTTGTCTTACTCCAAGCTGTATAGGCTCGAAAGCCTACTACCAATTAAGCATATTAGGTGATGTGCATCTCTGTAATGAGAAGGGGTGTGGTCTAATGACATCAACACCCTCTATCAGGTGTGCATAATTATTAGGCAACTTCCTTTCCTTTGGCAAAATGGGTCAAAAGAAGGACTTGACAGGCTCAGAAAAGTCAAAAATAGTGAGATATCTTGCAGAGGGATGCAGCAGTCTCAAAATTGCAAAGCTTCTGAAGCGTGATCATCGAACAATCAAGCGTTTCATTCAAAATAGTCAACAGGGTCGCAAGAAGCGTGTGGAAAAACCAAGGCGCAAAATAACTGCCCATGAACTGAGAAAAGTCAAGCGTGCAGCTGCCAAGATGCCACTTGCCACCAGTTTGGCCATATTTCAGAGCTGCAACATCACTGGAGTGCCCAAAAGCACAAGGTGTGCAATACTCAGAGACATGGCCAAGGTAAGAAAGGCTGAAAGACGACCACCACTGAACAAGACACACAAGCTGAAACGTCAAGACTGGGCCAAGAAATATCTCAAGACTGTTTTTTCTAAGGTTTTATGGACTGATGAAATGAGAGTGAGTCTTGATGGGCCAGATGGATGGGCCCGTGGCTGGATTGGTAAAGGGCAGAGAGCTCCAGTCCGACTCAGACGCCAGCAAGGTGGAGGTGGAGTACTGGTTTGGGCTGGTATCATCAAAGATGAGCTTGTGGGGCCTTTTCGGGTTGAGGATGGAGTCAAGCTCAACTCCCAGTCCTACTGGCGCCGAGTATGGCAGCCTCGTCGCGAGCTCCCCCAAGCAACGGCTTTCTTCTGTGTTTAATTTTACTTTTCCTTTATTTTTCACGAGCAGCACATGTCTCCTTGTGTACGACCGACAAACCTTACTGGACATAAAAGACGGTCTTTCTTATAACTTTCCGGAGTTCAAGTTTTGCAACACGGACGCTCCGTTTGCAGACCCCCCATTCATCTCACCTGAGACGCCTTTGTTCTCTGGCCCTGGAGGCCGCAAACGCCGACGCAGAGGGAGAAGATCTGGCGATCTGGTTTGACTGAGACGGCGCACTAACAGACCACCGTTACCCAGTTTATTACTGGCTAATGTGCAGTCTCTGGAGAACAAGCTGTGCGAGCTTCGGGCACGGATCTCATTCCAGCGAGAGATGCGGGACTGCTGCGTGATCTGCCTCAGAAACCTGGCTATCGGACAAAGTACCGGACTCCGCAATACAACTGCCGGGGTTCTCTGTGCACCGCGCGGACAGGTCACAGGATCTTACTGGGAAAAGCAGAGGCGGTGGTGTGTGTTTCATGATCAACAACAGCTGGTGTGATTATGCGAACGTGCACCCGGTCAAATCCTTCTGCTCACCGGACCTGGAGTACCTGATGATTAAGTGCCGGCCATTCTGGCTACCGAGGGAATTTACAGCAGTGATTATTACGGCTGTTTACATTCCCCACAAGCCGACACTGACCGAGCACTCAGGGAACTGTACAGCGCGATCAGCAGCGAGGAAACCGCACACCCAGAGGCAGCGTTTATCACAGCCGGAGACTTTAATAAGGGAAACCTGAAGAAAGTCTCACCAAAACTCCATCAACACATCCTTTTCAACACACATGGAAACCGGCAACTCGACCACTGTTACACCTCTTTCCGGGATGCGTACAAAACCCTCCCCCGCGCCCCATTCGGCCAATCAGATCACCGCTCCATCCTGCTCCTGCCCGCCTACAGGCAGAAGCTGAAACAGGAAGCTCCAACCCGGAGGGCGGTGCACTGTTGAACGGACCAATCGGAGTCTGCGCTGCGGGACTGTTTTGATCACGCGGACTGGGAAATGTTTCACGTGGCCGCCAGAGACATTGATGAATACACAGACTCAGTCTGTGGATTTATCAGGGAATGCGTGGAAGATGTCGTCCCATCCAGAACAGTCAAATCCTTCCCAAATCAAAAACCCTGGATTAACGGAGATGTTCGCGCGGCACGGAACACCGCCTTTGCCTCCGCGAACACATCGGACTACAAACACGCACATTACCAACTCCGGAAGACGATCAAAGCAGCCAAACGTGAGTACAGGGACAGGGTGGAGCAACAGTTTGACAACCCTCGGAGTATGTGGCAGGGACTAAACACGATCACAGACTTTAGAGGGAAAACCAGCACACCGCAGACCACGGCCTCTCTGTGTGAGGATCTAAACGTATTCTACGCTAGATTCGACACAGCGAACACCATGAGACCGGACAGTGTGCGCACCGCGGATGACGTCAGTGCGCACACTGTGTCTGAGGAGGATGTGCGGAAGTGCTTCAGGAAGGTGAACGCACGCAAAGCTACTGGTCCGGACGGGATTCCCGGCCGCGTCCTCAGGTCATGCGCGGCTCAGCTGGCTGGAGTGTTCACGCACATCTTCAACCTTTCCCTCTCTCTGTCTGTAGTCCCAGCCTGCTTCAAAATGGCCACCATCGTCCCTGTACCCAAATCCTCCACCATCTCCTCATTGAACGACTGGCGACCTGTAGCCCTGACCCCCATCGTAAGCAAATGCTTCGAGAAGCTGGTCAGGGACTTCATCTGCTCTGCACTACCCGACTCACTGGACTTTCTACAGTTTGCATACCGCCACAACAGGTCCACTGATGATGCCATAGCCTGACACTACACACTGCCCTGTCACACCTGGAGAAGAGAGACACGTATGTGAGAATGCTGTTTGTAGATTACAGCTCAGCATTCAATACCATCGTTCCCTCGAAGCTGGACAGGAAACTGCAGGATCTAGGACTGAGCAGCTCCCTCTGCAGCTGGATCCTTAGCTTCCTGTCTGACAGACGCCAGGTGGTCAGACTGGGCAGCATCACCTCATCCCCATCACACTGAACACTGGTGCTCCACAGGGGTGTGTACTGAGCCCTCTCCTGTACTCACTCTACACCTACGACTGCACAGCCACTAACAGCTCCAACATCATTGTGAAGTTTGCGGACGACACTACAGTGGTGGGTCTTATCACCAACGGTGATGAGACAGCTTACAGGGAGGAGGTCAGCGCCCTGACCCACTGGTGTCAAGACAACCATCTCACCCTCAACGTCGCAAAGACAAAGGAGTTGATAGTGGACTTCCGGAGGTGCAGAGAAGTACACACCCCCATCACCATCAGCGGCGCTGCTGTGGAGAGAGTGAGCAGCTTCCGGTTCCTTGGCGTACACCTGGCTGAGGATCTTACGTGGTCAGTACACACAAACAAAACAGTAAAGAAGGCGCAGCAGCGCCTCTTCTTTCTCAGGAGACTGAAAAGATTCGGCATGAGCCCCCGCATCCTCAGGACCTTCTATCGCTGTGCCATTGAGAGCATCCTCACTGGATGCATCACCACCTGGTATGGCAACAGCACCGCCTACAACCGCAAAGCTCTCCAGCGAGTAGTGCGGTGCTCTGAGCGGATAATTGGAGGTGAGCTTCCCTCCCTCCAAGACATCTACAGGAAGCGGTGCCTGAGGAAAGCGGGGAGGATCATCAAGGACTCCAGTCACCCCAGCCATAAACTGTTCAGACTGCTTCCATCAGGAAGGAGGTTCTGCAGCATCCGGTCCCCAACCAGCAGACTGAGAGACAGCTTCTTCCACCAGGCCATCAGACTGCTGAACACTTCATAGACACCTCAGCTTCACTACTGGAACTTCAACATTATGCACTCCACACTGTATATAAATGCCACTGTTTTGCACATATTCAACTCTGTATATTTTATATATTTTATTATTATTATTATTATTATTATTTTATTTTTTTACTATTTAATTTGTAAAAATGTGTATACACACACACACACACACACACACACACACGTAGGAAAATATTTAGTATACACATCCAGAAATGCATACACTATTATATATTGTACATATATTTATTAGTTTCAGGTTGGCCATTCTTGTATTTTGCTCGTTTGTGTTGTTGTGTTTGCACATCTCTGTTGCTTGTGGGGCTCGCACACAAGAATTTCACTCGCATGTGCTGTGCCAGTGTGCCTGCACATGTGATGTGACAATAAAAAGTGATTTGATTTGATTTGATTTGATACTGCCAGTTTCTGGAAGACACCTTCTTCAAGCAGTGGTACAGGAAGAAGTCTGCATCCTTCAAGAAAAACATGATTTTCATGCAGGACAATGCTCCATCACACGCGTCCAAGTACTCCACAGCGTGGCTGGCAAGAAAGGGTATAAAAGAAGAAAAACTAATGACATGGCCTCCTTGTTCACCTGATCTGAACCCCATTGAGAACCTGTGGTCCATCATCAAATGTGAGATTTACAAGGAGGGAAAACAGTACACCTCTCTGAACAGTGTCTGGGAGGCTGTGGTTGCTGCTGCACGCAATGTTGATGGTGAACAGATCAAAACACTGACAGAATCCATGGATGGCAGGCTTTTGAGTGTCCTTGCAAAGAAAGGTGGCTATATTGGTCGCTGATTTGTTTTTGTTTTGTTTTTGAATGTCAGAAATATATATTTGTGAATGTGGAGATGTTATATTGGTTTCACTGGTAAAAATAAATCATTGAAATGGGTATATATTTGTTTTCTGTTAAGTTGCCTAATAATTATGCACAGTAATAGTCACCTGCACACACAGATATCCCCCTAAAATAGCTCAAACTAAAAACAAACTAAAAACTACTTCCAAAAACATTCAGCTTTGATATTAATGAGTTTTTTGGGTTCATTGAGAACATGGTTGTTGTTCAATAATAACATTATTCCTCAAAAATACAACTTGCCTAATAATTCTGCACTCCCTGTATAAATCAGTGCGCTCACTGTTTTCACTGTATGTGAAGAAACACTGCAGACAGTCGGTCTCAACCAGTTTGTTTGCTTAAATAATTATTCATTGAGAGAAGCCCCTCAGCACACTGTTCATCTGCTGTGTGAGAAATCCATGCAAGTTTAACCCTGTTGTTTGTGTTGTTTCAGATATAGATGAGTGCCAGGATCAGAGAGTCTGTGTCAGAGGCCACTGCCAGAATACTGAAGGCTCCTTTTTCTGTGTGTGTGGGCCAGGCTTCAGACTATCGCCAGCTGGAGACCAGTGTGATGGTATGATATTTTGTTATCTTTACCCATATAATTGGAGCAGAAATGGCTGAAATCTTTGTCATCTATAAGCTGTAGATTTTTAAGATATTAAGCTATATTGCTTAATATGGTTTCTTCAGATTTTTTTCCGAGGTCCCCAAAGTCCTACTATGTTGTTGCAAAGTTTGTAGATATCAATCTGTGCATGCAGGTGGGTAACATAAAGTTTTTATTGATTTTTTGACCTTCTCCCAATTTTCACCAAAAATATATCAGCTCAAGCTGATATAACAACAAAATTTAAATATGATATTTTGAGGACCTCTAACAATCAGACAGACAAACAAATGGAAGCAGTTACATATTCCCTCCATTTCATGGGAGAATAAATAAGGTGAAACTATATGCATTCTGCATTAGTACTGTAGTTTTGGAATCTGATTTGATGTTTTATTTTGAGGCAGAAGTTGGTGTAGAGATCAGAGGATACAGTTTTCAGTAGCAAGCTTAGTTAGCCTTGAATCCTTAAACTGTATGGATGCAACATGGAGGCATAAATGTCTGCTAATTAGTGACCCACAACTGTCAATCAAGGGAGCCTTTATAGCATAACAATATCCGAATGGGCGACTTATTAATCATCAACTGCAGAGTTGTTATACATGGAGAATCTATCCATAGAGGTCAAAATTGTTATACCAAGTACTTACTTGATTTTTTGATTAAAACTTCACCCCCGTTACCCTTGACGACGCTTTGTGCAGTGATAACTTTTAGTGCATGTGCTTCTTCTAGACCATGTTGAAAAAGTATCTTTTAAGCTTTAATTTCGTTTTAGGGAAACGATAGAAGTCACAGGTGTCCAGATTTGACAGAAAGAGCTGGTAGGTCATGGAAATTGTCGTGATAGAACATCCAGCCACCTTCTGGCAGCATTTCAGATCCTTTGTATAAATACTCTGTCTTCGATGTCTCATAACATGGCTGAAGAACACATCATCACAATGTCTCCAAAAGTTGGACGTAGCGTTTTGTGGGAGAAATGTTTCGTCACTCATTCAAGTGACTTCTTCAGTCTCAGCTGACTGCAGGTTTCCCCAATCTTATAAACAGTACATTTGCATAATGACTGAACCCAGCCCACTGAAGGAACAATGGGCTGGGAGGTCAGTTCCTTAATCTTAATATGCAAATTCTCATGACCATTGATCAACAACCACTAACCAAAACCCACTGATCAAAGACCACTGATCAATGGCCATGAGTACCATTCACAGAGAGTTGGTGAATGGCTGCAATCACAGCATTGTAAGATGGTGAAAGATGTACCCTTAAGTCCCCTCCTCGATTCAGAGATGGTCTTTCCCTTTTCACGTAAATGGCCTCCTTGACTCCGCGCTCAAACCAGCGTACCTCCCTGTCCAGGATGTGTACATCCTCATCTTTGAAAGAGTGTCCACTAGCCTGACGAGGTAGCTCTTCTGTGTTGTGCCGTCCGCTTCGCCAGAGGTTGTTTGGTTTCCCTGATGTATAAATCCTGACAATCCTCCTGGCACTTAACAGCGTACACTATGTTACTCTGTTTGTGTCGGGGGACCTGATCCTTGGGCTGGACCAATTTTTGGTGCAGCATGTTTTGGGGTTTAAAAGCCACAGAGACCCGGTGTTTAGAAAAAATGTGTCTCAACTGCTCCGATACTCCTGACACATATGGGATCACTACAGGGGTCGCTTGGGCAGCGGTTGTCCTTCTCTCTGACCTCCCAGCCCATTGTTCCTTCAGTGGGCTGGTTTCAGTCATCATGCAAATGTACTGTTTATAAGATTGAAACCTGCAGTCAGCTGAGACTGAAGAAGTCACCTGGATGAGTGACGAAACATTTCTCCCACAAAACGCTACGTCCAGATGAACAGATTCAACTTTTGGAGATTTACTTTCCTGGATGATTGAGAATGCATCAAGACATCATTACAATGATTTATTTACCTGAAAGTTTTGTTCTTGCCCTGGCCTGTGGGCAGCTTGTTCACCGTTCTGCTACCACTTGCTGCTGCAACATTCAAATAGACAATGGGCAGCACGGTGGTGCGGTGATTAGCACTGTTGCCTCACCGTGGTCTTTATGTGTGGAGTTTGCATGTTCTCTGCGTGCTTGCCTGGGTTGTCTCTGGCTTCCTCCCACAGTCCAAAGTCATGCAGTCAGTAGGGTTAGGTTTATTGGTAACTCTTAATTGCCCGTAGGTGTGAATTATTGTCTGTCTCTCTGTGTTAGCTCTGTGACAGACTGGCAACCTGTCCAGGGTGTAATCTGCCTATTGCCCTGTGGTAGCTGGGGTAGGCTCCACCCTCCCCCCCACGACCTTGACAGGGATAAGCTGTCCGGGTCGGGACGGATGTATAATAAGGATTTGATCAAATCTGTCAAAATAATCAGAACATATCACTTTAATCAAAAAACCTGTGTTGTGTTATTGATGTTTTAGATGTGAATGAGTGCACAGAGGAAGTCAGGCCATGTAAGGAAGTGGGAGAGTGCGTCAACAATCTGGGCTCCTACACCTGTACCTGCCCACAGGGGTACCGGCAGATCAATGGCACCATCTGCAGTGGTAAGCTGCTTCTTTAAACAAAGGATGTAGACTCGTTGTATGGAATGACACAAACTCTGTTCACGCTGTGTGTTCGCAGATGTCGATGAGTGTGCCGACGACACAGAGCTGTGTTCCCCTCATGGCAAATGTCTCAACACAGAAGGATCGTATCTGTGTGTGTGCGACAGTGGATTCACTGCTAGCCTCCACATGCCATCCTGTGATGGTAAGATGCAATGGCACTGACAAGGCACACATATACGATGTAAACATGCTGTTTCCAAGCAACCAGATGTTTAATGAATGTGATTATTGTTGCATAAAGCGCTCTAAATGCCCAGGTAGAACCAGTCCATTCACCATGACTAATATCTTCCATATAAATGTTTAAGTGTAGTTTTCCTATGTAAATTCTCCATACTTCCCCAAATTACCAGAATTAAATGTTTTAGGTGTTGGGCTGCTGATGGCATGTGATGAATGAATAATGGTAAAAATGGTAAATGGCCTGTATTTATATAGCGCTTTACTAGTCCCTAAGGACCCCAAAGCGCTTTACATATCCAGTCATCCACCCATTCACACACACATTCACACACTGGTGATGGCAAGCTACATTGTAGCCACAGCCACCCTGGGGCGCACTGACAGAGGCGAGGCTGCCGGACACTGGCGCCACCGGGCCCTCTGACCACCACCAGTAGGCAGTGGGTGAAGTGTCTTGCCCAAGGACACAACGACCAAGGCTGTCCAAGCCGGGGCTCGAACCGGCAACCTTCCGATTACAAGGCGAACTCCCAACTCTTGAGCCACAATCGCCCCCGAATACTTTTATTATAAAAAAAAATGTAAAGATAAATTCCCCTTATTTAGTGTTTTGGTGATGGCGGTGGACAGCACTCCCAAAGGTGTTTTTAGTCCTACATCCAGTGACTGTAGAGGCCATAGAATAATATTTACATCTTACATTTCATGTGAGCACTCATGCCCTCTGGTTGGGGGCCATGTTTTCCTGGAAGAAGCCACTCCCATCGGGACAGAAATGGTACATGGACCCACACCATGCCAGCATAACACACAAATTCTAGTCACTGTAGGAATCAGAGTTTCATGATTTCAAAATCTACCCATCAAGATCATCTCCGTGTGCACCTCCACACTGCTGCGCTTCATTTGGATCACTGTGTGCATGATCTGCTCGCAAGTAGCGCAATGACACAAACTGCAGATACATTTGACACAATTTGTATCTGCATTTGAACTCTTTGTTGACAGTCAGCTTGCAGGGGATAAATTTGGAGGTAAAAAGCAACGAGGACACTTCCAATTGTGCTCCTGACCTTACCTTTGTGCTTGGATACTGTGTTTTAATTTGACCCAGCAGATGGTTTTTGCTTTATGTCCAACTTTGAGGTCTATGGTGAAATTGCAAATGTGCTCAGAATAGGACTTCTGTGAAGTATTCTAAAAGTAGCAACAGATCTAGGAGCGGTCTAGAAGTATGTAAGGAAGTGCCATTAAAGGCCAAATTTAAAATCAAACATGGTTTTGCTTTCATTTCTTTTTTCATATTGTGTGTGTGTCTGTGAACCAGCTTCATGAGATCATCAAATGCAGGCTTTCCAACAGTTTCCAAACAGAACACATGTCCTACAGTTCCCACATATGCTGAGCATATGTGGATGGCTTTTCCTTCATTCTACAGTCCAACTCAACCAAAATCTATCTAATGGACCCTAGGTCATGTATGAGGTGGCAGTCTTATCTTTCTTTTATGTGCTTCAGTGAGCTAGTTTCAGCGTTCAATAGTTTTTAACCGTGAAGAAACGTTCTGGAACTTTTCTGGACCGACTTGACTTGATGCACTGTTGTTAGCTTCTACCCTGCTATACTCCAATAAGTAATACTGCCTGAGCTTATTTTTTTATCTTGTCTGCCCTCTAACTTCTGTTCTGTAAACATTTGAATAATTTTGCATTTACATTTTTTTAAATAATTTAGAAGTCTGTCTATTTTAGTATTTTCCTCTGGTACAGATGAATCTTGTTGCATAGTTCAACTCTACTGTTAGCGAGAGGGTCTCCCTGACACGATAAATGAAAGATGACATGCTGTTGTTGTATGTTGTGGATTGTGTATTCCCTGCTTTAACTGAGAGGTGGGTACTTGTGAACTTGAGAAAAGGTTAAATAAATATTTTCCTTTGTTCACCTACATTTGTAATATGCGTTTCTTGCTCAGTTACAGTAGATCAGCCAATTCCAAAGCTGTCATTACTTTCAGATGACTGTTTATTAAAGTGGGCTTCTCAGTCTTTGCTTCAGTATCAACACTGAACTACATACAATGTTCAAAGTGTTACTGCCATTGTTGTTAAGTATGCTCTCTTTATGTGTGTCCATAACTCCATGTCTCTGAGGAATTTTTTTCATGTTTTCATACTTTCTGCACCGGGGCAGGAGTCATGGCCTCTGTGGTCATGAGGTTTAAATGCCTTCTGCTGTCTTATAGAAAAACAGAGAGAAAAGAGAAACATGAGAGAAAAAGTGGACGGAAGACGGAAGCTGTTGAGCCTGCTGTCTAGACTAGGAGGGAAATGTGTTGCTTCTTGCCTCATGATTTATGCAGGGGGCTCAGACTCAAGTGTCTGGGTGTCTGCTTTTATGAAGCCAGTGTGTGTGTGTGTGTGTGTGTGTGTGTGTGTGTGTCAGAGTGCAAACATTGTAGAAATATTTGATTTTCATAAAACTACAATGGAGTTGTTCTGCAATGAGATGATTGCCTCTACAGTAAGATGTCAGAAAGCAAAGATAATATTTTATGGAGTGATGTAGAGTCAAGGCTGGAGAAAGTCACGAAAAAGAAATAAAAAATTGATGTTGTTTATTTGGTTTTCAGATATTGATGAGTGTGGACTCAATGAGACAATATGTGGCCCCCACAGCTTCTGTGAGAATGGACTGGGTTCTTACCAATGCCTCTGTGAGCAGGGCTACCAGGAGTCATGGGATGGCGAAGGCTGTGTGGGTAAGTGTGTGAGCTTTGGTGTATATCAATCAATCGATAAGGCTTTTAGAGCTGATACTGATTGCAAGTTGTATATTAATAACGTGCTATGATGGGAAGCTGCCATCCAAAACTGTGCAACTGATTTAGATATCTTAATATGTCATAATGACTATGTCAAATACAAAGGATCACGAAAATACAAAGGAGACACTGAACAGAAAAAAACCTTCAAGAACACAAATTTGACTGACAAATTTACTACAAGAGCACCTCAACAGATTTTTGAAAGAAGTGACCAAAATGTAATGGGGCCTTGATTTGCCCATGCGCCACATTTCTACCAAGATTTTGCATAAATGATTTTGCTTGTTTTTGCACTGAAAACTTGCCCTTATTGGCCTTAGTTGTGTTTCACAATGAGAAATACATGAGTGTTGATGGGTGCTGGTTGTTTCTCAGGACTAACTGGGCCCATGCAACTCCAAACTCGTTACTGTTAAAGGTGACTTCCACTATCATAACCCTGGCAGAAAGATTCACATACAGGTACATAAAAACCCCAATGCACAGCAAACATAAAATACAGTAGCAGAACTACCAAAGTACAGTATGTGCTTTATACACACTTAAACACACTTCTCGTCTGTCCTTTGGCACTACTGCTCGGTCCCACCCTTTCAGTCCGGCCAGCTGCCTCCTCTTTCCTGCCAAACCATCACTGTGCTGTGGCTAGCAAAGATGGACTCACACACACACACACACACACACACACACACACACACACACACACACACACACACACACACACACACACACACACACACACACACACACACTCCTTAAAAACCAACGGTGATGGTTTACCGCTAACCATTCAGAATGTGTGTCTCCTCTCTGGCTTCCTTCTCCTCTTGTCTTCTTATGTTAAATTCAGTTAGTTCAATTCATAGTTATTTATTCAGGGTCAAATGACAACAACAGTCACCTTCTTTAATTTTCATATACAACCTTCGATCACTTTTATTCTGGAAACTTTACAGAAGTACAGGGAGTGCAGAATTATTAGGCAAATGAGTATTTTGTCCACATCATCCTCTTCATGCATGTTGTCTTACTCCAAGCTGTAGAGGCTCGAAAGCCTACTACCAATTAAGCATATTAGGTGATGTGCATCTCTGTAATGAGAAGGGGTGTGGTCTAATGACATCAACACCCTATATCAGGTGTGCATAATTATTAGGCAACGTCCTTTCCTTTGGCAAAATGGGTCAAAAGAAGGACTTGACAGGCTCAGAAAAGTCAAAAATAGTGAGATATCTTGCAGAGGGATGCAGCAGTCTCAAAATTGCAAAGCTTCTGAAGCGTGATCATCGAACAATCAAGCGTTTCATTCAAAATACTCAACAGGGTCGCAAGAAGCGTGTGGAAAAACCAAGGCGCAAAATAACTGCCCATGAACTGAGAAAAGTCAAGCGTGCAGCTGCCAAGATGCCACTTGCCACCAGTTTGGCCATATTTCAGAGCTGCAACATCACTGGAGTGCCCAAAAGCACAAGGTGTGCAATACTCAGAGACATGGCCAAGGTAAGAAAGGCTAAAGACGACCACCACTGAACAAGACACACAAGCTGAAACGTCAAGACTGGGCCAAGAAATATCTCAAGACTGGTTTTTCTAAGGTTTTATGGACTGATGAAATGAGAGTGAGTCTTGATGGGCCAGATGGATGGGCCCGTGGCTGGATTGGTAAAGGGCAGAGAGCTCCAGTCCGACTCAGACGCCAGCAAGGTGGAGGTGGAGTACTGGTTTGGGCTGGTATCATCAAAGATGAGCTTGTGGGGCCTTTTCGGGTCGAGGATGGAGTCAAGCTCAACTCCCAGTCCTACTGCCAGTTTCTGGAAGACGCCTTCTTCAAGCAGTGGTACAGGAAGAAGTCTGCATCCTTCAAGAAAAACATGATTTTCATGCAGGACAATGCTCCATCACACGCGTCCATGTCCTCCACAGCGTGGCTGGCAAGAAAGGGTATAAAAGAAGAAAAACTAATGACATGGCCTCCTTGTTCACCTGATCTGAACCCCATTGAGAACCTGTGGTCCATCATCAAATGTGAGATTTACAAGGAGGGAAAACAGTACACCTCTCTGAACAGTGTCTGGGAGGCTGTGGTTGCTGCTGCACGCAATGTTGATGGTGAACAGATCAAAACACTGACAGGATCCATGGATGGCAGGCTTTTGAGTGTCCTTGCAAAGAAAGGTGGCTATATTGGTCGCTGATTTGTTTTTGTTTTGTTTTTGAATGTCAGAAATGTGTATTTGTGAATGTGGAGATGTTATATTGGTTTCACTGGTAAAAATAAATAATTGAAATGGGTATATATTGTTGTTTGTTAAGTTGCCTAATAATTATGCACAGTAATAGTCACCTGCACACACAGATATCCCCCTAAAATAGCTCAAACTAAAAACAAACTAAAAACTACTTCCAAAAACATTCAGCTTTGATATTAATGAGTTTTTTGGGTTCATTGAGAACATGGTTGTTGTTCAATAATAAAATTATTCCTCAAAATACAACTTGCCTAATAATTCTGCACTCCCTGTAATATTACTAGTATGTCATCTTTCCTAAGAGCTTAATATCTCTGTAATCCATCCATCCATCCATCTTCTTCCGCTTTGTCCGGGGCCGGGTCGCGGGGGCAGCAGCCTAAGCAAAGAGGCCCAGACCTCCCTCTCCCCAGCCACCTCCTCCAGCTTATCCGGGGGAATACCAAGGCGTTCCCAGGCCAGCCGAGAGATATAATCTCTCCAGCGTGTCCTGGGTCTGCCCCGGGGCCTCCTCCCGGTGGGACATGCCTGGAACACCTCACCCAGGAGGTGCCCAGGGGGCATCCTTGTCAGATGCCCGAACCACCTCAGCTGGCTCCTTTCGATGTGGAGCAGCAGCTGCTCTACTCTGAGCCCCTCCCGGATGGCCGAACTTCTCACCCTATCTCTAAGGGAGAGGCCAGCCACCCTTCGGAGGAAGCTCATTTCTGCCGCTTGTATCCGCGATCTCGTTCTTTCGGTCACTACCCACAGCTCGTGGCCATAGGTGAGGGTAGGGACGTAGATCGACCGGTAAATTGAGAGCTTCGCTTTTACACTCAGCTCCCTCTTCACCACGACGGACCGGTGCAGCGTCCGCATTACTGCAGCTGCAGCCCCAATCCGTCTGTCGATCTCCGGCTCCCTTCTCCCATCACTCGCGAACAAGACCCCGAGATACTTGAACTCCTCCACTTGGGGCAGGAACTCATCCCCGACCCGGAGTGGGCACTCCACCCTTTTCCGGCTGAGAACCATGGCCTCAGATTTGGAGGTGCTGATCCTCATTCCCGCTGCTTCACACTCGGCTGCGAACCGCTCCAGTGCGAGCTGGAGGCCCTCACCCGATGAAGCCAACAGAACCACATCATCTGCAAAAATCAGAGATGAGATTCTGAGGCCACCAAAGCGAAAGCCCTCCGCCACTTGGCTGCGCCTAGAAATCCTGTCCATAAAAATTATGAACCGGAGACAAAGGGCAGCCCTGGCGGAGCCCATCACCCACCGGGAACGAGTCCGACTTATTGCCGGCAATGCGAACCAAGCTCTTGCAACGGTTGTATAGGGATCGAATGGCCCGTAGCAATGGGCCAGACACCCCATATTCCCGCAACACCTCCCACAGGACACCCCGAGGGACACGGTCGAATGCCTTCTCCAAGTCCACAAAACACATGTAGACTGGTTGGGCAAACTCCCATGCACCCTCAAGTATCCTGGAGAGGATAAAGAGCTGGTCCAGTGTTCCGCGACCAGGACGAAAACCGCATTGTTCCTCCTGTATCTGAGGTTCGACTAACGGACGAACTCTCCTTTCCAGCACCCTGGCATAGACTTTCCCAGGGAGGCTGAGGAGTGTGATCCCCCTGTAGTTGGAACACACCCTCCGGTCCCCTTTCTTGAAGATGGGGACCACCACCCCGGTCTGCCAGTCCACAGGTACTGCCCCTGATCTCCACGCAACATTGCAGAGGCGTGTCAACCAGGACAGCCCTACAACGTCCAGAGCCTTCAGGAACTCGGGGCGGACCTCATCAACACCAGGGGCTCTGCCACCAAGGAGTTGTTTAACTACCTCAGTGACCTCGCCCCCGGAAACTGCGGGTCATTCCCCTCATCCCCAGACTCTGCTTCCTCCTCGGAAGACGTGTCAGTGGGATTAAGGAGGTCCTCGAAGTATTCCTTCCACCGCCTGACTATTTTCTCAGTCGACATCAGCAGCGCTCCGCCAGCACTATACACAGTGCAGGTAGAGCACCGCTTTCCCCTCCTGAGACGTCTGACGGTTTGCCAGAATCTCTTCGAGGCAGCCCGAAAGTCTTTTTCCATGGCCTCTCCGAACTCCTCCCACACCCGAGTTTTTGCTTCAGCCACTGCCCGAGCCGCATTCCGCTTGGCCTGTCGATACCTGTCGTAATCTCTGTAATATTTCTGTTAAACCCTGAGCAACTCATCAAGCAACTTGAGTGAAGAGTGAATATTAAAAGAAAGTTTATGTGTTTATTTCTGACTTATGAATTTGGCAGTTAGTTTACATTTTTTCAAAAGGGGCTTCCCCTTAACCACGACTATACTGTACCTTCCAAGTGGAAGGAAGCTTTAAATAAAGGTTACTTTGTTTCCTTGGAGATCAGAATATGCAAGCACAAGAGCTTGATACTTGTCTTGAATGAATAGACTATTTGCTCCTCTGGTTGCTGTGTGTTAGGATGTAGTGTAGGCCATCTCCTAAGTGGGAGATTGGTGGATCCATCCCAGGCTGCATGCCGACGTTTCCTTGGACAAAATACTAAATCCCAAGATCCTCTGTGATGCTTTCATCGGGGTGTGAAAGCACTTGCCTGTAGAGAAAAAAGTGCTTGTGTGAATATGGGTGAAGTTGAATAAAGTGCTATAAGAGAACCAGTCAATTTACCATTAGACTGGACTTCAGCTACTGAAATCCTCAAAGTCGTCCCAAGAGCACCCATCAGGTGTATCAGCTATATGAAGCATAAAGAGGTCCATCTCTAACAGAAAAGTATGTTGGAATTGGTGGATCTACTGATACAGATTGCTGAGAAGGATAAGCAAATTTACCTCCTAGAAAAGAGAACAGAGGACTTGGAAAAACGACACTAGGATGAATGAAATCATTATTGCAGGGTTGGAAGTTAAACCCCACTTGTTGAAAATGGAGGGAACCCAGTGAGTCGAGGTGACAGGATTCCTTTAGTATATAAACAACATCAGGCTTTATCACCACAGAAAAAAAGTGTGACAAACCAGCAACAATAATGACATTTGTAACCCCCCAAAAAAGAAACTGTCCTCCTAAAACAAGAAAATAAATGAATTAGAAAGAAAATAAACTGTGTATTTGAATGACACAGTTTATTTTCAGCGAAATGCAGACACTGCCAGGAATTCAGTTTTTGAAGAATTACAGTTTTTTCTGATGGCTTAAGCTCATTTTTTGTAACTATTGACTATTTTTGCAAAACTCTACACAGAAATAAGAAAACCCTTCACCAAATCAGCAAAACATTGAAGTTTTCTTACAAAAGCTAATAACCCTTGCTTAACTCTCCAAACCTTCGTAAAAATGGTGTTTTCGTATCAAACAGTTAACACAAGCTATCACATTAATAAGCACATAATGCACCAACGACACACTGAAGGTATGAATAGAAAACACGTCTGGCCTTTGCTTTCTCTGTGCACAAAGTAGGCCATGTCAGTTTGAGGTCATACTTTTGTCATAGGTCCGTAAACATGGAGGGATCCAAACTTCAAGTACTGGTGTTTATTCACACACATCAAAATAAACACAAGTGTTTATTTCCAAGTCAAAACAAAATAGTAATTTCACTGAGGAAAGAAAAGAAATCAGTCTACATCGTGTCGTCTCTCTGGGTCCGGCCACAAAATTGTGTCTACATCACATGCAATGTCCTCTAGTCCAAGGCACCGGGGAAATTATCTTGTGGAATGGCGCATCCAGGCCTGACATGATGCCTGGTCAATATCCCCACATGCCTCCTCCATTGCCTGTAAAAGGGCTATGCGTTGATGGGGATGACGGTCACAGACCTTCCAGCGCCAGGCAGAGAAGAACTCTTCAATTGGATTCAAGAATGGAGAGTATGGGTGGAGGTTGAGTACAGTGAAGAGTGGGTGATCTGTAAACCGGTTGCGGACCAAAGCAGCCCTATGGAAACTAACATTGTCCCATATGATAACGTATCTGGTCTGCTCTGGTCTCTGAACATTAGTGAGCATGTCCTGTAAGGTGTCCAGGAATGTAATGTGTGTATTGTTATATGGGCCCATGGTTGCATGATGGTGAGCAACACTATTTTGACTTATAGCTGCACACATAGTTGTGTTACCACCACGTTGTCCTGGGACATGATTATGGCACGGTGTCCAATAATGTTCCTGCCACGTCTCCTTGTCTTAGTGAGGTGAAAACCAGCCTCATCCACAAAAAACTGCTCACGACCCATCTGCCTCTAGCTCCATCGCTCTCTAGACAAGACAAAACAAATTCAGCACAGCAGGCACATGCACAGCACTACAGTGTGCACTTCCAGATTCAGTACCAGTGATACTATAGCTTACCTGCACATATCGCAGCTGTTTTACACGTTCACTGTTTCTTTCAAAAGGTGCTCTGTAGATTTGTTTCATTCGGATTCTGTTGCGGGCAAGTACACGACCTCATACAGAAATGCTCACATTTTGTATGTTTTGGAAGGTGGAATCATCCTCAATTATGCGCTGCTGAATTTTGCGTAGCCTTATGGAATTATTTGCAATCACCGTATTGACTATATGAGTTTCTTGGTCTGCAGTGAACATGCTTCCTCTGCCCCCAGCATCTGCTCGTCTAGCAATTCTGTAAAGTAACAATTTCAGTATTTTTACATCTATGGTATTGTCGTGTTCCTCATTAGCATACGGCAGTGCTACAAATCCTAGTGCAAAGTGACTGTACTAACCGATTCTCATTTCAAGATGTCCTTATGATGCTCGCTACAGTGTAGCGGCTCGAGTTAGGCTGAACCCGTTGGCCAGCTTCCCTCAGGGTCATTCCACGGTTGATTACATGGTCCACTATTGTAGCTCTGATGTCATCAGTAATTCTATTTCTTACTCTTCTTACCCTTCATCTTCCCCCTCCTCATCCTCCTCTTGCTCCTCCTTGTCCTCTTTCTCTAACTTCACCTCCTTGTCCTTGCCATCCTCTTCGTCCTACTTCTTCACCTCCACGTCCTCTTCCTCGGCCTCCTCTAATTCTCACTCTTCTCACTCTTCCTGCTCACTCCATTGTACTCCACACGGACAGCTTACCTGTAGCTTATTTATAGTGCTTAGGCTGATTGCAAAGTGAACTAATTATCTGAAACAGTTTCCACATGTGGCAGTGTGCCAGACAGTTGGCAAAATAGTGTAAATAATAGTGTCTAAATGTGTCTATGCTCTATTTGTGAGTATAGATATTTTTTAAAATCCAAATAGATGTAAAATGACAGAAGATGAATCAGCCTGTATTTAAAAATCACTAAAGCTAGCAGGATCACAGCTCACTGTGCAACTTCAACAGATAACACACTAATGATATACACCAGGGGTGGGCAACTCCAGGCCTCAAGGGCCGGTGTCCTGCAGGTTTCAGATGTGTCCTTGATCCAACACAGCTGATTTAAATGGCTAAATGACCTCCTCAACATGTCTTGAAGTTCTCCAGAGGCCTGGTGATGAACTAATCATTTGATTCAGGTGTGGTGACCTAGGGTGAGATCTAAACCCTGCAGGACACCGATCCTTGAGGCCTGGAGTTCCCCACCCTGATATAGGAAGAATGGGTAGTATCATATAAGTCTCTTCCTCTTCCTACTCCTTTTCAAACATAAAATTTGAGTCACTTATATACAATCGATTAACATATTTCGTATTTAGGTTTTTTTTTCTGTTTTGTGTTTATCAGCTACTTAGCTTAACTATCAAAGCAAATGAACTTCATTCAAATATGAACAAATCTTCTATTAATACATTCTTTGACTTTTCCACAGATGTGGATGAGTGTGCGCTGCTGGGCAATGTCTGTGGAGAGGCGCAGTGCGTAAACAGGGATGGTAAATTCCAGTGCGAGTGTCCTAGTGGCCAAGAATACAACGGCATGATCGCCAAGTGCGAGCCGATTCCCACAGGTGACTTCAGATTGACAAATAAGTTGAAGATAGACCAATGCACAGCTGGTTTCATTACACTGCCATTGACACCGTCCCATGAAAATAACAGTGGGTTCCTTTCAACACATGAAAGAACGACGAGGCTCCATAACTACGTCCAGACATTACTGTACAAGTGTAGAATTTATTTTCATATAAACAACTGTGTTTTTTCTGGCATCTTATTGAATAATCTGATCAGTGAAGCTTTTGTCAAACCAAAGTAAGTAAAGCGATCCTTAAAATGTATTAATCCCCAAGACCTGCTCCAGTTGTGATATCATGGAGGCGATTAGTTGCATTTAACTTCATTGCTAGAAACATAAATGTTGCAGGAGCTGATATTGTTCTTCTTACAGTTATTTGTCTGCATTCAGCAGTCTGTATTGTGCTGTTTAAATGTTTAAATGTTTAAACACTGATAAAGAAGAACAACCTCCTCTCCTTAAATAGCTCCTGCACTGGTGACGGTACAGGCAGGAAATCTTTATACGTTATATATTTCTCCAACTTAGTACCAAATCTTGAAATGGAGAAATTGTACTGATTTGTAGTTGCTTTCTTATTTCTTAGATTGCCCAGTTTATATACAGTATATAAGCCAAAACAGTTTTCTCGCCTCCAGGTTTTCTGTCGCGTTGTGCAGTCCACTGCACATGCTCATGAGCTTTTTGGGAGGCTTTTTTCATTGCAACACTACAAGTACATATATAATAATAATGCTCATTTTATTTATATTGTAGCTTTAAGAATGAAGTTTGCAAAGTGCTTTGACAGAAAAGTAAAAGAATAGTAGGGCTGACTGAACTCCTTCATTTGTCTTTCAGCACCGTTGGTGGAGCGGAAGGAGTGCTACTACCGTCTGAATGACGAGAACCTGTGTGAGAGTGTACTGACCAGCCATGTTACACTGCAGGAGTGCTGCTGCACGCTGGGAGCTGGCTGGGGTGATAACTGTGAGGTGCATCCCTGTCCTGTCAATGGCACAGGTAAGCTCAAGGAGGATAATGAAATATACATAGTGTTCTCACCAGAGGCACCTACACAGTATTCTGAGAGGGTTTAAAAATCCCAGCATACCACATTTGAACAAAAAGGTTGCTTTTCATTATCCAAAGCAAGGTGACTAGGATGAAAAACACAACCTCCTCACCTTTTTTCACATTATGTCTCCCTATAGCTCCTCTCAGTATATTATCTCCTCGTGGTCCTGAGGTAAATGGAAAGCTTTATAGAGTGCTTTTTAGTCTTACTGACCAATTAAAGTGCTGTATACTACAACCCACTTTGAAAAAATTCAATTCAATTTTCAGTGCAAAAAAGTTGCACCGAAACTGTTTTCTTGACATGAAAACCACAACACATACTGGGTTTATATCTTACCCAGTGTGCATACAGGATTGTTGCAAACATGTGTCTGTCCTCTTACAGACCAGTTTAACCAGATGTGTCCATCTGGAAGAGGTTTTATTCCCAATGGAGACTTCCTGTATGGAGTACCCACTTCTGATGTCTACAGGGGTAAGAAAAGTCTACAGCCATTCATGTCATGCATATAAACCTAACACAGATTATTTTTACTCAGTCATAGGAAACGTTTTATAGTATGCTGAGCAAAGATTTTTAAATCAACTGAATGGATTTTTTTGTCTTGTTCACACAGCTTTGAAACAGTGTGTAGTTATGCTGCAGAAAGATGCATTTCTCTTAGCAGAGGCCAAATCAGGCTTTAGTTTAGCTGTAAAACATGTTAATATAGTATTTTATGGCACTCACTGTACAGATAGTACTGTGTAGTGGCTAAGGCCTGTATTAAGGAGACTGTATTAATACTGTGTGTGTTTTCAGATGGAGATGAATGTTCACTGTTTGGTCAGGAGGTGTGTAAAGGAGGCTTCTGCATGAATACTGAGGGTAGCTACGAGTGTTACTGCAAGACCGGACAGGACTACGACCCCATCAAACTGGAGTGCAGAGGTGAGGAAAAACAGACAGATGTGCACACAGAGAAAGGAGCCAAGTGTTATCGTTGCTCAGATAATACGGTATTTACTGACACAACTAACAGTATCAGTTTACAGAGAGTAAATCACAGGCAGTGTGTGTCCATAGTCACATTTGATCCTGGGATGGTGTGATTACATGTCCCGTGTTTTATACTCTGCTTGATTTAGCTGAAGGGCTCACAAAGTCCTGACAGAGTGACGCAGTTTCATGCACCCTGACTTACTAAATACACCTTCTCCACCAACACGGTTGAGAAGCACTGAAGGGTTAGGGTTGTAGAAATGTTTCATTGTATGATGAAAGGTCAAAAGAACCTGGAATCAATTTGCAGCATTTAGCATTTGTTCCACGTCGTGGCATAACATCCTCTAAGTTGTGGTGTTTTTCTCTGCCTGTCTTTACTGTAGACGTCGATGAGTGTCTGGATGAGTCGCTGTGTGTTGATGGGAAGTGTTTGAACACAGATGGCTCATACATGTGTTTGTGTATAAGCCCCACGATTCCCCATTGGGAACCGCCGCATCTTCCATCCTGAGGTGGCTGGAAAGTTTTCTGTTCGCCATTTCAAGACCACATAATTACATAAAAAAAAAAAAGTCACGTTTTTTCAAATCTAAATGTCGCCATTCTTCTTCATGTGGTCATCTATGAAACCTAACCGCCAGTGCCAAAACTAACTTTTAGCTACTGATGTAAAATCATTTCAGTTTATCGCACAATTAAATGTAATTGTTCACTTCTTTAAAGCATTTTTTGAATGACAGTGTCATGAAATAGAAAGCACACCGTTTTGGGAATGCATCGTCTCATCTTTTGATTCAGGAGCCAGCTTTTGATTTTTTTTTCAAAGTCCTATTGTGACCCCTGCTGGCACTGACATAAAACTGCAGATTACTCCCTGTATTCAAGAATGAAAAATCATGACTCAGAATCCTGTTTGTCTTCCCATATTTTTTTTCTCAAAACAATATATTAATTTTTAATATGACATTATTTAAACTGTAAAATGTTTTTCTATCTAACGGTGTTAATGTTATGTTATGTATTTACTTTGAACTTTTTCCTAGGATGCACTCTTACCGGTATTATACTGTATGTTATTAACTCAAGTTGCTTAATGTTGGGAAAACAAACAACTACATGAGGGATCGTTGTCCAGCTTCATATCCATGTGGTAGACATATGACTGACTTGTCTCTCTGAGTGAGAACAACATATTTTCCTACTGCCACATTTCGGCTTAACCTCCTGTAGCCACGGCACATATTTCACAATAGAAAAATCACACGGCACACCACCAAAAAAAATATCACAAAAAGCACATTGATTATTTTTCTCCACGCATCAGGTATAGTGGAATTGGCTTGGTTTGTCCCCAGTATACCTTTTTTGCTTCTTCTAACCACTACTCATGTTCGGGCCTTCATCTGGGTGGGAATTTCTCCCGGACCCGGGTCAGACTGACCACTTTTTCTTTCAAAAATGTATCTATTGTTATTACACTGTGCTGTCTAATTCATAGCATGACTATTATGTAATTTCTTCTTCATCTTCTTCTGTGTTATTGGCTGTTGGCGACCCATTTATTTAGAGCAAGAAGTTGTAATGCCCTCTAGTGGAAGAGAACGTAATTGTTCTGCCCGTTACTCAGGCTGGTTGCTTAGAGTACCAATCAGGTGGAACCAGATAAGCTTCCACGGCACACCTGATCATTTCTCACGACACGCCTGCGGCACAGCACTTGGGAAACACTGCTCTACATCATTCTACACAATATATTCCTTAATGTTCACGTGGACTTACAACTAGAAGTAAAAACAAAACAGCTGTTTATCTTTTTTAAATGAGCTCTATAACTGTAAATAATACTGTATATAAAAAACAGAATTCAATATGAATATTCCCTGGGTTAATGTCTTAAAGTGTCTGTAAAGGAGCTTTGCAAACACTTTCTGGGTGTCGACATGCAGTTATGTGTACTGATAGACTTTACATGAAGTCTGTAGATATTACCTGAAGATTGATAAAGCAAAGTGTGTGATGTTTTGCGTATACCTACTCCTCATCAGATCCATTTAATCTCTTGATTTTTATTTTTATACATTTTTTCAGCACATCTTCTCCCCCACTTTGTGCGTGGCGTGTGTTTTCCATTTTAAATTCCATGTGCTGCAAGACATTTATCCTTATGTTAGAAAGTACACCAAGCTTATCAAAGTTTATAGGTGACAATGTGTGTGTTTGCAGACCAACGTGAAACGGAGGAGATAGACTATGGGGACATCTGCTGGCAAGAGGTCAGAAATATGATGTGCATCAATCCACTTGGTCCTAACCAGAAGACCACGTACACCGAGTGCTGCTGTCTGCACGGATATGCCTGGGGCATGCAATGTGCCCTGTGTCCTTCCAGAGACACAGGTACACCCACCCACACACACGTTGCATTTATAAATCAGATGATATGTCAGTGATGTCAGTTTTGTGGGACTGTTGGAGCTTTATGAGAACTGACACAAACAACTGTTCCATTGAATTAAAAAATGACAAGTGAGATGAATATTTTAAACATTCATTTTATCTTTGTGGTTTTTGTGAATTACTAGGTTACACAACATCTCTGACAATGTTTCAGTGTAGGGGCGTTTAATTAAATTACCGTTTATTTCTGTGGAAATTCAGAACTGATAAAACAAAGCGATTTAAACAAAATGCCTTCGGGTATTAAATAATTCATGTGTTTGAAATGTGAACGTGTTGGAAAAAACTGTTCCACAAGGCCTGCTTATCTCACTGTTAGCATCACTTACATGCAGTTATGAATCCTTCATCATCATGTCAGCTGATAACGCCCAGGTAAAACAGTACCTGCCATAAGATTTACCTGATTCATATGTACACATAATGTATGTAATGGAAACTGCAGGTGCAGATTCCTGACCTACATAGAAGTATAAGCTTTAAGTCTACATATATTCCAACTACATTAGTGGATCTACAGAAGTTGGAAACTCAAAATAAAAGTGCTGTTTCTCTCATACAAGAGGTGGTAGATTTAGCTCCAAGAAACCAGATTATTTCCAGACCTTGTGTTGAGGAATTCTGATGTTGTAACTCAAGAATTGGTTCTGTCAAATGTACCGAGTGTTTAGAAAGAACTGCATTGTTTGTTGCTTACTTTCCCCATCATATTAGACTTTGCCCTATTTATTGTTTTTTGTAGAGTTCCAGGTAAAGGAGGAGCTGTAATATGGGAGTAAAGCTTACATTTAAGACTTAAAGGGAAATACAAAGTTTTTAAGAACAGGGATTTGTTTCCAGGCAAAAAAAAGGTCTTAAATAGTGTCTGTAGGGATCATTGCGTCATTGAACAGCTCCAGGTCCTGGCATTTCTTACTCAGTGATTTGTCGTTTTTCTCACTCTCTCTCTCTCTCTCGTCTCAGAGGACTACGCCTCCATGTGTAACCTTCCTCTGAGTGGTGGGCGGCGGCCGTACGGTCGTGACGCTCTTGTTGCAGGTCCAGTTCATGAATATGCTGTGACACCAGACTATTCTCTATCACTTGAAGCACGTCCCCACTATGATATTGAAGAGTGTGAGTATTTCTGCAGTTTTGATGTTAACAGAAGTACAGAATAGTGCTACAAGAAAGGATTGTTTTATCAATATTCACTTTCATGACATCTTCACAAATAAGTTCTTCCATTTGCAATTGAAAAGCCCAGAAGTTCACTTTTATCATACTTCAAAAAAATGTAATTGTGAGCCCAGTGCTTTCATCCATATAGTGTATGACCTGTGCCATAGAGGGCAGCTGCTTTCATCCATATAGTGTATGACCTGTGCCATAGAGGGCAGCTGCTTTCATCCAGGAATGGTGTCTTCTCTGATATTAAGTGAAACACTGTGTTTTACGTGGCTCAGACCCATACAGAGCTTTTGAGGGTTTGCGAGCAGAGGAGTGCGGAATACTGAACGGCTGCGAGAACGGTCGGTGTGTCCGGGTTCAGGAGGGTTACACGTGTGACTGCTTTGATGGATATACGCTGGACCTGTCCCGCATGACCTGCATTGGTAGGAGAGCAAACACGCATACAGCCTAAACTGTAACACAAAGAAAACATTTTGATCCAACCTTCTTTTTCTGTCACATCTGTCCACAGATGTTAACGAGTGTTTAGAACTAAACAACCGGATGTCACTGTGTAAAAACGCCAGGTGCATCAATAATGTGGGCTCCTACCAGTGTGTGTGTCTTCCAGGCTTTAAGGCCTCTGACAAACCCAACTACTGCGTGGAGGCGGAAAAACACCAGACATCCACACACACACAGTGAGCGTGGACTGACCAGGAGGCGACAAGAGACACCAAAACCACATGCATAATCTTGTATTACTATACTTGTGAGGACGTCCTCACACCACTTTCACTCATTCTCAAAATGTCAACAGCAATCTTAATTTGAACTGCTGGCCTTGGTTGTAGCATACAGCAACAATCCCAAAGTAACAAAAGTTAGAATAAGTTAGTGTTGGTTAGTGTACCTTTATTTCTTTTATACATTTCTGGAGGCATAATTCTTTTAAGGGCACTATAATTAGAAATGCAGTAATTTTTTTTGTGGCAGCGTGTGGAACCTGTCACTCTTCCTCGTGGAAAGTGAAAAGCCAGAGGCAGCAAAATCAATAGCACCAAGCAGACATCACTCAAAACAAATAAGACACTGGTCAAGCCAGAGACGGCATGGAAAGAGCAGCTGGCCTGGAAGTGGGTTGCAAAGCAGCTTACAGATGCATAGCAACTGTGAGTGGGGTAAAAAGCAGAAATGGCAAAGCCCGAGTGATTAGCAAACTGGATGAGTAGATGGGTGTCAGCTAAGCCATCAGCTGAGCTGCCAAAATGATGGTCATATGCTTTGTACCAGCATCTTTTTTCACTCCTGCTTTACAGCCTTATGGTTCACTTCCTCTCACATTTCATTTTGTTGGGCTTTCTTCATTTAGTGCTGTTTGTTTTTGTGTGTTTTTGTTAAATAAAGCCCTCCTATACATTGTATGTAAGTGGTATAAATGCAGGGCCTATTATTATCCATTGTTTTTAATGAATATTTACCAACACCAGCACAAATATTGAATTTGAGTTTTGGTTTTGAACAGATGTATCTTTTAAAGAAAGCCTACGGGGAAATGTTTTTTACACATCATCTAAAGCATCATTGTGGGTGGGTTTTTTTTAGCTAGTTTCCAGATGTATAAAACGATAGATATGGACAAACACAAACTGCTATTTACAAAGAACGTTATGTGCTGTAAAAACACCTAAACAACCATTACACACAGATCATTTTTACTGGAGAAAGAAAGTCTGATAGTGGCAAATTGTGCTTCTTTTCTGCTGCTCTGTATTAAATAACTGAAAACTTGATGTGCAAAAACTCATTGTTGCACGGAAACAGAGTTGTACAAAATCTCTTTTGCTGTTCCAACTGGTCCAAACTTCCAGTGGTTTTCCAAAAACATAAATGTAACAGTTGTGTAACAGTGCCAGTTTGCTAACTGGATTAGCACTGTTGAAAATGTCATTGTGTTTGACTAATCAGCAACACTGAGTTTGGAAAAGCTCCAGAAGATCTAAACATTCAGTGTGACTGGCACATGTGCCAGGGGTTGGACTGTCTTTCACACGCATTCATTTACAGCGCACCAGTACCAGTAGATTTACTAATAAAGAGGTAAAGTAAATGGAATTTGAGGAAGGTTACAGGCAATTAATTGCATTGCTGTTTAACATGTGTCTGTGATTTGTTGATGTGGTAGTTGCCAGTTCATCTGGGATACAAGTGAGTTATCAGAGTAAGTGTTTAGTGCCCTGAGATGTAGCAAAGCTTCGACCTGTAGCTCTTCAGCCCAAATGTTCAGAGACGGTCCTCGGATGTTTCTGGTAAAGGTGTTATTGGGGGTTTTTTCTAAACAGTGAACACAGAAGCCTTTACATGTTTCACTTTCAAATGTTTTGCCTCTTTTTTCCCATATCATGTGTTACATAACATGCTAAAATGTCTGTCCACATAAAGCTATAAATACAACTCAGAGCTGAAGTGTATAAGAGCAAGTCAAAACTGATATGTTGATCAGGTATCACAGGATGGATTTTGTGATTGTTGCAGGAATTGTCTGAGAGTCAGATCCCTTCCTTTGACTTGAATAAATTGCTGCAGCCTCGTATAATATGCAGATTAAAAAAAACTGTTTGCACATTAAGACATGTGGCACACTAACTTCATTAATGTACTGATCCGCCTCCAAAACTCGACGCAGTTTCCATCAGCTTCTCGCAGAAGAACATCGAGATCCTCTTTTAGCTGCCTTTCATTTGGACTGAATGGCCATTCTCTTTCCAGGGAGCGATAAATTTGTGACACCTGCACTTCTTTTGTTATCAGTTCACTAAAAATTGACTACCAATTTAGTGCTTAGTAAATCTGGCCTCTGGTGTGGAGATGCTAATACTCCAAACTGTGTGGTCAACCCAAAGAAGACTTCACTGAAATCAGCAGGAACATGATGCACAGAAAATTCATTCCTGTACCAAATTTTACAACAAATGATCTCGTAGCTTTGGTATTTCCCAAAGCTGGACCAAAGTTGGTTACCTGAGCGAACAGTGTGGCTCCTTTCCTCGGCTCCTGCTGCTAGCATGTCTAATACATGCATCAAGTAACCCTCGGATTTTTTTAACCGCCATATTTATTGTGCTGTGTCACTGATCTGTCACTGCTTTGTGTTTGATTGATTTTTTTGAAAAAGCCATCCGTTATTTCTCTATCCAGCTCAACATCTGATGCCAACAATTGATAAAGCCCATACTTGCAACCTTAAACAAAATGCACGTCAGCCAGTGTGTCTTCTGCCAAAACGCTTTCTGATTTCAGAGAGGATGCTTGGTCCTTAAAAGTATAGAAATACAAGTACTCACACACTCGTCATTAATCAAAGCCCATATATTCTGCACTGTATATGACACACACTAAATGAAACAAACAGTAATTTACTTGAGATGAAGATTCAGCCTAATGTACAACATGGTGCCTACGTGGAGGGGAGAAACTACATAACTGTATAAAATCTATGTCTTGTCTGGTGCTTAATTCTGTGTTTAAGTGGGGTTTTGTGTATATCATAGCAGACCATTTTGCTCATTTATCGTACTGACAAACCCTATGGACTCGTGCTGGGGGATCAAGTTGTATTTTGTACCCAATCAAACTGATTGTGGATATTTAATTCTGTGAAGAAGCCAGCTGTCCAATCCTTTGCTTCCTCCATTGCCATGCCTTTATCTGTTGAAAAAAAACGAGCTTGTCTCTACACCACAGCATCACCAGATATGTAATATGCACTTGTTGTTTTAAAGAAAGTAGCTAATAAGCTTTTGTAAGGGTGTTCAGATGCAGTTAGAGAACTACTGGTTGTCTGAAACATAGCCAAAGCCACCTTCCATGTCTCTTACAAATATGTTGTTTCTTACAAGCAGGTTGTTGTGTTACCTGGTAGTACTTCCCTCAGTGTCTTGAAGGGACTGAATTCACATGTGTTTTGTTTCCTACTTCTCTTAACTGTATTTCACTGCAAAGTCTTGCCAGGTTGCAAAGCTGCTATGAGGCAGTGATCGGAGAGAAGAACCTTGTGTACATTTAAACAAAAGACAGCTGATGTATTTGTAATATGTACATGAATAAATAGCTTTTTCTATGAATTCATAATACAATGTACATTAAACCCCTTGATAATAAACCACAAATTGTGATATTTAACACCAGCTGCTTGTCTGTTTTTACTAGTTGAATTTTTTTTAGATGATTTTATATCTATGTTCAGTTCAACATGTATTATTTATATACATACATACATACAAATAAATAATACATGTTGAACTTAACATAGAGCAGCTCTGTTGCTGCTCCAAGACTTTTTTGTCCTGTGCTGGGACCTGAAAGTGGAAACTGACTTGCACAGAAAGAGATTCCTGTGCATGTGTCTGTGATGGAGCCCTGGACCTCACTACTTAAAAATCGTTTAGCATTAAACCTTGCATCTAAATCTATTTCTTCCAGTGTATTGTTAAACACCATCTTGCTCAAGTTGTTCAACTTTTGAATGAGAAACATGTCGAATGCTGTTATGGACCGTGTAAGTTGGGCATAGCATCACTGATGAAACTCAGTAATGAAACTATAGGAACACTGCAACAGATGATTAGCGATTAGCCAACTAGTCACAGTACCATCCTTATACATCTTCGTAGGTACTGCTAAGCAAATGAAAAAGACTGATAAAGTCATACAGAAAACAATTACTTTAATTATTTATTGCTGCCAGTGGTGGTTCTGTAGTCTGCCTATAAGGGAGTTAAAGCCAGAATGAGACACTTTATAGAAAATAAAAACTGATGAATCAGCTACAAAAGAATCTGTTCACTTTGCTTATAGATAAAGTCTGCTCCTCCCCTCTGCAAATATCAGTGAGTAGTCTTGGTACAGATAGAGACAGAGTTGTCTTGCACACCACCCTTTGTTTTCAGTAAATTCTGAATCTATTTCTGGACTGAGTGTGTGGAAAAAAAAAAAGCCAGGATGGGAGGGGAATCTTTGGGTAGCAAGATAACCTGCAGCAGTTTGAGTTTTCTGCATATTGCTGGTTATCCTGATGAGTACAACAATAGGATCATGATTTCTGTAGCAGATGTAAGCTGGCAGTGTTCACAGTAAGGTAGGTGCATATTTTAAGATGTGAGTATAATTGGTTATTACTTTAAACCACGCATATACAGCTTGCAGTTAGTTTAGGAAGTAGTCTTATTGCAGGTTATTGTTTTGCTCTGGGATAATGTGGCATATTTGAAACATTTTCTTTTATTCCTACACAGTACTTCCCACCAATCAGGGGTCATACTGTGCTCTGCAAGGGTAAAGTTTGAGCTTGAATGACCAAAGCACCTGACAGGTCATGGTTGCTTTAACAGATGATTTAAAGAAACATCTGGACTCCATTTGGATTATTTCACTTATTTGTAGTTTGTGATGGAACTTAGTGACTTCACATTAGACCTCCATCTAGCACATTAAAAGCTGTCCTTTTGATTTCAAAAAGACATTTAATTGAATATTCCGTTACTTCACGTGACACAGAAATCAGCAGCTTGGAAATAGCTATTTAGCTTAGAAATATTGAAGATATGATGTAGTGTAGACTTTTACATTTCTTTTAATTGCTTTAAAACCTTTTAAAAAATAAACTTCAAGAGTTTTTATAACCTCTAGTCTTAATAGTAATTAGACTATTGATCAATTAACTGATAAGCAGTTTCATGGCCAGGTGAGTCTGTTCATTCAGTGTTAGACAACAAATTAAGCAAAAGCTCCAAGTGTTGAAATTTGGTAATTGTTTACTGGAGCACCATCTTAAATGGAAGTGGGTTGGCATTTATCTAGCACTTATTGAGTCTTTACTGACCACTCACAGCCAAATGTAACTATCCAGTCATACAATATTTCATTCTATGCACACTGCAAGCATTTCATCTACCTCTCATCCAGCAAAAGAAAAGTCCAAAGTTAGGGTTCAAGCAAGAACCTTGCTGCAAGGCGACAAGAGATAACAAATCAGATAAATCAGAAAGATACCGAACGTTTAGCTACAGCTTAACCAAAATTCTGCTGTATTCTTAAGAAGAAGGAATGCACTGGTTAGCTCACCAACTGAACTGGAGGCAGTAAAGTTTGTCAGGGTGTAACTGGTTATCTTCCATCACTGGTGCTTTTAGAGGTATAAATGAGACAAAACCAAATGCAGTAAGCCAGAGTGCAGATATCTATATGCTGCGGCCACACTTTGCAACACTTCTAACAGCTTAACAAATATCAATAAAAACACAAACTGCTTGTTTGCAGGTTGTCACATAGTGTAGAAAAAACTGAGCAACCTTACTTACATTTGAGAAAGATGTAAGGGAGACAGGCCAGGAGAGGAAGAAGAGAGGTTATATTTAAAGGTTAGGACCGCAGGAAGACCCTGAAATAATATGTATGTGCATTTGTTGTGAAGCACATCAACTCTAAATGCTTTACGCCCTATGTGGAGCATAGACTGCATATACATATTAGACAGATGTGATGACATTTAGATAAATGTAGCAGGACTGACTGTATCAGTGCATTACACAAACAGAGATACATGCTAATAAGGCAAACAAGTGTGTTAAAAATTGTCCTCCTCCTCGTCTTTGCAGCCTAAAGAAGACAAAGGGGGGAAAAAAATAGAATGTAAGGAGACTTAACCATCCCCCACAGTAGTTATCGCACAGTCTTTAATTGAAATTGTGTGTCTGAGACAATAAAAGTTGGAGTTCAGTTCTTTTTGTCCAGCCAGGCAGCAGGATGTGCAGTCATTGCTTTTGTTTAGGGAGACATTTTTAGAAGCCCAGAGAGACAAAACAATGTGTACAACGTCATTAGAGTGGAATATGGGATAGGGTGACCCACTCACTGAGGCACACAGCGACAATGCAGGATCACACATGTGCGTACTGCACCCGTGCTGTAGAACGTCACTCTCAGAAACATAAAAAAGAAAGAAAGAAAATAACTCATCCAACTTGCAACTGCGGATTTCACCAGACACAGTTGGTGAAATGCACTGAACAAAGTTATCACGACTGACGGGCAAACATCAATGTGCGCAAAAGCATATTGTGATAGATTTCCTGCTCTGCTCTTTACCCCCTCTTTACCGTGTGTGGTCCCTATATTTAGCCCGACCAACCAACGCAGGCAGGAAACCTAAGTTGGGAAAGAATTGAAGGAAGTCTAGTGGCCATTTAGACAAACAAAAACAGACTGAGATCAGTGCTGGTTGAATACACACTATAACTGTATGCAGCTGAGACGAAGGGCTTTACAAAGATAGAGAAGCAAGCTGAAGAAAGGGCTGGACGATACTTTAACGGAGCTCTGACAGCTGGAGCGCTGCTCTGGTTTTAGCAGCAACCTTTTCAGTCCAGGTGGATTTTAATATTAATGCTCATTTGAACAGACTAAAAGGTGTATCTGTTCACGGACATGTTTAAAAGGCAGATCCATGAGATGTTCTGGTAGACCCTGACAGAGTCTCAGATGAGGTAAGAAGTTTGTGTGTTGAAACCTGCAGCTAAACTAAAAATTGACTTGAGCTACAAAATTAGGAATCAAGAGTTGAAATGTGAACTCTATTGTGCTTTAATTACATATTATGGCATTTTCCTGGCTGGACTGATGGATACTGATAACATAGCTGGGTCTTTATAGTCTTCAGCTCGTTGTATATCCACACAATATGACAGTCATTTCTGAAACTTACACGGGACTATGACTGACTAACATATGACAAAAGCAACCAGTCACTTCGAAACCTCTATGTGCTCCAGCTGCGTATGTCCATAAACACATGCATCACCTCATCAGAATAATTTTTTCATTGGCTGTCACGGCCACCACACAGATTTGACTGATGGTAATCTGACTCTGTCCCTGGAAGATTTAATGCAGTTGCATTTATTCATAGGGTTACTGGGCTGGCTGCAGCTTTTCAGTACAGTTAGTGTCAGGTTTAATGAGAAACCTCTGAGTGCTGCAGGGAACTCACTCCTTTCTGTGAACTGTCCCTGCCTTGTATTGTTACTTATAGTCAAACAGACTCTGCGCTTATAAACTTACATCGCATTTAAATGGCAAAACCTGGAAATGAGTAACTCATCAGTCTGTGAGCCACAGGCTTTTAAGGCTACTGTGTGATATTCTTTACTTATCCCTCTGAGGTCTAAGTCATCCTCAGCTCTATCCCTGTACTAGCAGGATATGTAAGTTTTCTTCTTTTAAAAATTGTTTTCCAAAAACAAACAAACAAAAAAAAAAAGAGTCACAGCACAGAAACAGCACTAATGATAGTTAATAATGATCTTATGGCCTGTCCTATTACACTGCAGTGCAGCATTCAGTACTGCTGATTACATAATTGTACAGCGTCCAAAATAAACCACTGGAATGAAAGGAGATAAGTCATACTCATCTTACTCAATCAAATTTGGGGAGTGTTTCTCACACACCAATGTTAAGCCCTCTTCACACGTTTAGAGATTATCAGTGATGTAGAGACTACAGAAAGTCGATGACACCACGACTTCAAGTAAAAACAGGGAAAATAACACAGTTGGGATACTTAGGATACTGCTGATTGACATTTGACTGGAAGTAAAGACAACCAGAGGCTGGAATGTCAACTACCAACCAACCGATAAGGTGACACGGCACAAGGGAACCACTTTCTATATGAATGTGACCTTAGTCATGGCGCTCCACAGTAGGACTGATAATTTAAGCATTGCACATTACACAGTATTTGCAAACACAGCTATGCAGGTGAAACCAGATGACACAAATCAATTAAAACTATAAAAAAAAAAACCCAAAACACTTTTTTAGATTGCTTTGGAAAACTGTCATCCTGCTCTTCACTCTTTTTTTCTTTTTTTTACATTTTTATTAAAATGTCAACATAATATGGTATATTTAGTAAAAGCAAGTGACCTCTGATGAAGAGGCCATAATTGCATATGAGCCTGCACAGCTTGAACCTGTGAGAGTGCAGAATAGATTAAATTGCTTTATAACAGATGGAGACTGGAAATGTCTGTTGAGATGCTAAAATGAATTATATGACAAAATAATTCATTTTCCAGTGCACTGCAATCCAGTGCACATCTAACTTGTTAGATCAACACTGCACTGAAATCCGGTGATTGCAATCTTCCAGTGCAATCACTGTGCGTGTGTGTTTAAGGTCACATGGCCGACCGCTGCTCCTCCAGGCTGCTGTGTTTACTAAGAGGAGGAGGTCATAGCGTAGTAAGTGCTACCATGGGAGTCTCTGTGCTTGACAGTCAGTAGGAGCCTGCAGTTATCTCAGTAACAGAAGCTGATCTTTAGCCTGGATGGTTGCTCATATTCAGCTCTTTGAAGGTAAGATCTGGGAGATTTTATTCCCCCTTTCCTATAAATTCTGTTGTAGCAAGAACAAAATGTAACTGCGTGTAGTTTAACTCATGAAAGAATGGGGGGGGAAAGTCAGTTAAATGCATGAAGTAGCTCTGGCTTTGCTATGTATGAACTAGGCTTCAGCGTTCAGCAATTCAGGGTTTTTAAGGCAATGCACCGTCTGTGTGTTCAGAGGTGGCGCTTTTTGTGAGATTACGCCTCTGAACAGTGTCCCTTGATTACACATTTGGCTGCATCATTTTGTGCTAAAGCCAGAGAGATACACAGTGACCTACTGTGGATGGAGAAAAAGCACAAATCAAAGGGTACCGCCGACTGTAACAAGCTGTGAAATCGGGAGCAAAAAAACACATGACACACAAGTCATTAATGTCTGATACATTGTGAAAGCAGCACATTGCCCACAAGAACACTTTGAAAGTTTCAGAATGGCCAGTTTGTTTTTTGTGAATTATATTGTTAGCAGCAGAAAGCATTAAGACTCAATGCCTGAATTGTGGAGACTTTTGCATTTACTGAATATTTTGACCCTAAATCACTGAGTCACATCCATAACGCAGCACAGTTTAGATCAAGTCAAGACCAACAATTGTGTCCCCTCCCAATGCTGAGGGAGTGAGCTGTGATTAAAAGGGTAACATGTTTATTCCAATGTGTGACAAAGAAAGGCTATTGTTGTTGTGGTGAAGTTATGAAATTATGTTTAACTGCTGACTGAGTTTGCATGAGTTTCCCTCTTGGGGCTCTGGTTTCCTCCCACTTTCCAAAGATATGCGTGGTTTGGACACTAAATTAGCCTGAAGTGTGAATGTTGAAGGCTGAATGCTTGTGTTAGACTAGAGACTTTGTTAGAGTCTGTGGGACATTGAGCAAGGTGTTGTATTTGCAGGTCCAGACTGAAATTGTTCTTAAGGGAAGCTTCCTATAAACACAGTATGTGCTACAAACGTGTACCAACACCTTCGAAATGTATAGTTACCCAGAGGACTGTCACATTTGATCTCTTCAACAGGGAATGAAAAAGAGGTGCTTCCATAGACATGTTTGTGATGCGTGTTAGAATTTTTTATTTTTATATTTTTAATTATTTTTTTAATTATTATTATTATTATTATTATGTATTCTTAAGTTATCAGTATAAAATGCCACTTTAGCCAGTATTTACCTCACGTCTACTGGACTGTAAGTTGATATGTTGAGGTTGTTTAGTGCCGTCCAAAAATCATGACGCTTGTTTCTTAATAGGAAAATTAGAAATCTGTGAAATGAAGTATGTGCAAACAAATTCTAATATAGCTTGAACTCTTAGGCAAGCGTTCTAGTAATGCATTCAAGCATTCTTGAGGAGCCAGTCTCTGTGAGGGTGAGCCTAAACTGCTTCAACAATGACGAGATCCAGGTTCTCCATTCCCAAACTGATATCGCTCCATTGTGTGCGTTTTGTGGCCACTCAGAGTCTTTTCAGATGGTATTGCACAGTGACTCCAAATCTGATGGTGCTGTACAAAAATCCCCAACACTGATCCAAAACAGCACAGCGCTTTTGTGTTTTATAGATGTAGACACCGACTGTTGTGTCTCTCGTCTGACCTGTAGGAAAGTACTTTGTCACCAGTTTGTGAAGAAGAGGTAAAAGGTAAATTGGCTGGTGGTGCCTTTCTACGGATGTGAGCACTCCATTTGAACCAAAAACGCAAACTTTTCATTAATCACTCCATAAATCCTGCTAACATTGATTTTCAGCACATTTGCTCCTTGGTTCAGTCCTGACGGTCACCCTTCCATTGAAACCATTTGTGATGAGGCTGGTGTGTGATGGTACTTCTCCCTCAATTTGAAATATTTGTAACATGTACAGAATCACCTCTAACCAAGTACACTTGGGCATGCAGACTCAAGGATCGAACCACGAACCTTCCATTTAGTAGGTGACCTGCTCTGCCACCTGAGACAAAAAAGTGCCCCAAAAGTTACTCATTTGCTTAGAAAGTCAAAAGCTTAGCAAATACATCTGACACCAAAAACTAAGACCTTTAAGAACTCCAGAACCTTACCAACATGCTACATCACGGAAAAATAAGACACACTGGTGGGAAACGCCACCATATTGATCAGGAGCTGAAAGCCATTATAAAGAGCCCAAAGATGCAATTAGTGTCCTTTGGTCAACCGATTATTCCAAACAGGTGTGAATGTGAACTTGAATGGTTGTCTGCAGCTCTGTGTTAGCCCTACAACAGATTGGTGACCTTTGTGGATCTTTCAGAAACAAATAGTCTCCTGTTCATGTCACCTGGGTGAACAAGGATTTATCAAAGCTGTCAGCATAGAGAGAAATGCTTTGCAAGCACCAGCAAAGCCAGGAAAGATAAATAATATACCATCCATATTATCCAGGGTTGAACATGAACACATACTTCATTCCCAAAGAGACTTAAATCATTTGGCAGGAATGTGTAATATGATGTGAAGTGTATCTCTATAAAGCAGTTCACAGACTGGTCACTGAAAACATGAGCATGTGTCACAATCAGTGGAAGCTGACTGTGTGTAGAGAGACGCAAATGCAGACTGAAAATGGAGCGTGAAATGTGACTTGAACAAAAAGTGGGCTGTTGTGGCTCATAAGAGTACACAAAGCAAAGGCAAGCGGGGCGAAAACTAAACTAGAACCTAAACTGGAAAAACTAAACTATGATTACTGTGACAAAAACATGAATTCAGAACATGTGCATGCAGGAAACTGAGAATGAACATGCATTACCTTAAACTTGCCGCAATATGAAGGACCGACCACAACCTGACAGAGTCTGAATGAAACACACAGACTAAATACACAAAGGAGGTGATCAGAGGAAGTGGAAACACCTGGGGAAACAGCTGACACAAATGAACATAATGACATCAGAGGGGAAGAGTAAAGCTAAACACATTGAACTAAGAAACACAAGACTTTCAAAATAAAACAGGAAACTTGGAGAGACGTAGACATGACAACACAGGCTTGACAACATGAAACACGTGGACAAGAAATACATAACAACTAGCACAGAAGGCCTGAGTGAAACTAAAATTCACTGCCAATTAATAATAATCCAACATTCCACATTATCTTCAACATATAACGAAAGAGATCAAAACAACTGAAAGTGCTGGATCACAGACCCAGCCCCTGACAAGTATGTGTGTACACCATTGCATGTATTATGTTTTGCATATTGCACATAGTCTAAGGAGCTTGGAAAGAAAAGCGTCTGGCAGAATTTTCCACACCAAGACTAAAGCTCTGACATTTAATGAGTGATGTCACACTTGATTTGGTTTGTTGAGGTGCCGAGCTACTTGGAAAATCAGTATCGTAGGCAGCCAACTACGTCATTTAGACAGCTGAATAAGGATCAGCAGTGCATCATGGGAGATGGGGCCTCTGGTGGTTCTGACCTTGTTAATGGCTAAGCATGTCATCACCTTGGTGAAGCAAAAAAAGACATCCCTTGCAAACATCTAATTTATACAGAGACTTGCGTCAACATCAGCATTCTGTGTGTCTGTGTTTGCCTGTGTCTGAGTGTACACAGTTGGATAACTTGCCAATAACTAATATAACTGATAGATGTAAAACTACCAATACCCTTAACTATTTATACATTTTCTGAATCAGAAAGGAAGCTACTGATTCAGAAAAATTTAAATTAGAACTTTTTAATTGTTTTACTTATATGAAGACATTTTACCGTGATAAATAAAAAGACCTTTAGTAAGCCACATAAATAGTGTCTGCTGTAGTCTGCTATTATGCAATGAAAAGGAATTCATTCAAATGTGCCATTTGAGATACGTATATGAGAGTCCTGATGCTATTGATGACACACACTCTCTATTTTGGTGTGAATTCTGAAATGCATGTAAAACTACAGTGACACTATTAAGTTATACCCTCAGAGAATGATCACTTTTGGCTTTTTTCAGCTAATTGTGCTAACTGTAGATGCACTGGCTTGTGTAATTCTCAATCCTGACTGCAGCATGTCATATTTTAAATGTCTTCTTATCCAGCAGCAAACACCAGACAAACACGAACACACTGGAGCCTTTAGTAGCTAAAGAGCCAGCAGTCATTTTCACAAACCTTCTAAGAATCGAGCTCATGACATAAACCAGGTCTGGCCTGGGGTCTGCTCTGACCATTAGCATGCTAAAATACCTCACCTATGAGTTGCTTAGGGTATGTCCAGCAGGCATTCTCAGATACTGAAGACACATCAGCTGGCTACTTTCAGTGAGAGGGATTACTCTACTTTCAGTGCCTGCCATTACCCTGCTTCTTGTGCTAAGATTAGACACCTTTGAAAGCTCATTTACCACTGCTCACTTCAAATTTTTGGTCACTACCTATAGTTCAGTTTTATAGGTGAATATGTGAATGTGCATCAACTAGTAAGGTATTCTCACACTCTCCAACACAACCAAAAATCTCTGAATGTGGGAATGCAGGTTTTTCCAAAGTTTGTGGAACCCATAAAGAGCTATAAATCAGAGTGTGTATATGTAACAAAAAAGCACACTAGACTGTTTGGGCCATTTGTCACTCAGTCAGCATTCCACGTCTGCACAGTTGAGCTATGTACTGTTTGAAATTTGGAGGATTCGTGTAGGTTAAAAACCCCTCTTTGTAGCCTGTCTTATGCAAATGGACACAGTAGCAGTAAACCATAAAACAAGAGTTAACCCCCTTCCCCCCTCCAGAAAACTGTTGTATCCTTTGATCAATGATTTGATCAATATTTGTTGGAAACCAAAGGCATTTTTTTTCAATGCAGTTCTTGCTTATTTCATCAGCAAGACATGCAAAACCACATTTCACTCTAACAGTGGTTTTGTGGTTCTACATCTAGAACTTTTCTAAATGCAGTCCATACCTGTAACCCAGTCAAATGATTTGCATCAGTTGATTTCCTCAGTTCCCAAATGCATAGATTGTTGTTAAAAAACAATACTCATACTAGGCTTGATATAATAGATTGTCATGAGATAATCATTCCTCTTTGAGTGATCATGTTGTATGGACTCGGGCGTATGGGACGGCATGGTCATTGGTGAAACCCACTGTTGCTCTTTCATGAAAAAACGAATCGCCTCTGCTCTGTGGATAGTGAGCAAATAGTGAAGGCGATCTTATTGTGCAAGCAAAGTGTGATTAGACTCCCTGCCTTCTTTGCCATGTACAGATTAGCATTAGCACTGACAATACATCCTCTTCACTTGATCAGAAATTGCTCTTTAAAGCGTGTTCTTTCCTGTCCTACCAGATGTGCTCTCCCTCTAATGACATACTCTCTGTCCTCCTTCCAGCTTGGCGTCATGGGATCATCCACACTGGGGAAGGCAGCGTCTCTTGATGCTCTTTTAAATGAATGCATTCATGGATTTGGTGAGTGACACAGACCATCAGGGGTCCTAAAGGTCCCTTATTCACTGCATTGCAATTAGTTTGTGGTAATTTGCAGAGAATAACTTAGGCAGTCCCTAAATTTATACCATTGTGCAAAAGTGTTGGGACACCCCTAATTTTTGGTGTCTGTTCAATTCTTCATAATTGCATTAATTCTGTATTCAGAAAAACAGTGTATCACCAACATTTTATTTTGAGCTAGGTAAGTGAGAAAGCAGTAAGAATTCAGACTGAAATTTGGGATTTGCTCTTCACAGATGACAGTGGTGACCTGCAGGCTAACCCCCTCCCACGCATTGTGCTGCTGATGCACCGTTGGTATGTTACATCCTCTGAACTGGCGCGAAAACTTCTGATGATATATCCTATCTGGTAGAAATCATGACTCGTTGCTCATACACATTAGTGAAATGGTCCAACAATATATTGAAGTGCTGGCTGAAGCTTGGAGGGCTCATTCACCTTACAGGAAATCTCACCTAAGCTTTTATTTGGATAATGGTATTCCAGACAGTCTCTTAAATGATATTTGATGCATCTCTCTCAGCTGCTCTCTTGGTGTGCCGTGAACATTGATGTAAAATAAGTGGTATTGATCTTAGCTTGGATCAGTGACCTTGGAGTTGCTCAGTAGGTGGTTTGTTGTACTATTAGAGACAAATGGTTGTAATGCAGCTATTTACCTGCTGTAAATTCAAACGCCAACTTCATTCAATTTTGTATAACTACCCTGTTACCAAAGTATATACAGTCATGGTGAAAAGACAGCACATCCACTGCAATTCTAAGGGTGTACGTAAATGGCCTGTATTTATATAGCGCTTTACACATCCAGTCATCCACCCATTCACACACTGGTGAATGGGTGGATGCTACATTGTAGCTGCCAGAGGCTGGCGCTACATTGTAGCGCCAGCCTCTGGCGCCCGGTGGCAATGGGTGAAGTGTCTTGCCCAAGGACACAACGACCGAGACTGTCCAAGCCGGGGCTCGATCCGGCAACCTTCCAATTACAAGGCGAATGCCCAACTCTTGAGCCACGATCGCCCCTTATGTATCAGGACATACTGAAATAAAAAATCATCTGGAACTTGCCAGGATCTAAATTAATTTAAATACATCCCGAAAAGTGTTTTTATGTACTTAACACAAACTAAGGCAAAATACAAATGATATGAAAAATGATTAAGCAGCTTACAGAAGCATGTTTAGCTGCAATGCCTGAAGGCATTATGACTTTTCAGTCTCTTACATAGTTGTGGAGGACTTTTGGAGCACTCGTCTTTAGAAAGTTGCTTCAGTGCACTGACATTCATTTATGCACCCCTTTCTTAAGGTCGTGCCACAGCATTTTGAGGCTGAGGTCTGGACTTTGACTCGGCCATAGCCTTTTCTTTTTTAACTATGTATTTAACTTGAGGGGGTAGGGACAAATAAGTAAATACTTCAGCCTACTCCTTTTCAAACAAATAATGGAATGATATTTTGTAATGATTGTGAAGGCACATGTTTGAAATGTTTGAAATAAAAATGAACTGAACTATGTTGTTATAGATCAGACTTTATTTTCTTACTTCAGTAATCAGACACATGGAGAAACCCCCCAACAAGTAGCCATCACAATATAACTTCACTAAAACTTCTAACAGACCTTGTGTGTAATGGAGATGTAATGCCAGCCTATTTTTAATTTTTCACACACACACACACACACACACACACACACACACACACACACACACACACACACACACACACACACACACACACACACACACACACACACACACACACACACACACACACCATTGTTGTTGTCTCCTTCCTCTCTTCTCTCTCTATCTGTTTTCCTGCTGATCTCCTCCACTTCCTCCTCCTTTCAGGACCTCCTGACAGCCTCCCAGATGAGCCTGGGGAGATTTTATCAGCGAAAGCACTTTTGGGATGTGTCCGCTTACTGTAGAAAAAGATTGAACTTTTTTTCATTGTCTAAAACAGAGATTAAATAAATAAAATAATAATGCAGGAATATTTCCTGAATACTCTGTTCTGAGTTGCAGTAGGCCCTGTGCTGTGAGCATAGCCTGGCTCTTCATTTAGATTCATTCCAAACTTTAGGTCATAATTCTCTGTAATTGTTAGCTATTAACCTCCAGATTAGCTTGCATAGAGGGTCTATGTTTATTTTTTTTAGAGCGAAGATTGCCAATGGATATTTGACATCCAGATTGGAGCAGCCAAGGACAAAACCACCAACCTTCTGATTAGTAAATGACCTGTTCTACCTGCTGAGCTACAGAAATCGATGTCTGGAATGTTTTCTAATTGTTAAAAATCTTTCTTATTGACTTAAATATGCCATGTTACATTAAACCTTAGGAGTGAAGGAAGGTATACTCTAACATGACTTTGTAGAATCATCACCTCTTATGTATGTGCAGGAAAGGTGACCTGTAATGGAGTAATAAGTAATATATGCAGTACTTTTCTCCTTGTACAAAGTAGTTTGTTAAATTACAGTTATGTTACTTTGCAACATGGCCTGTTTTGTTGGTAGGCAACAATATAACACCAAACTCACTGTGCTAACAAGGACATGCACAAGATCTTTCTTTCAATAGTCTATTTAAGTGCTACCCCAAAGCTAACTGACAGCAAAGTGGGTAAAAACAGCCCATAGAGCACTTCACAGAAAAAAACGTTGTGATCAAAGTGATTGGACCCTAAGAAAGAGTTTGAGCAGAAATGCACAATCCTACAAACTTCTTCAGTTCTACTTTAAACCTCCCTAAGTATTGGCACACTCCACTTTAGCAACACTCTGTCTCTTGCAGTTAGCTTTGATGTCATGTTTACAGTAAAGCAGTGATTCTCAAACTTTTCACAAGAGTACCACCTCATAAAATATATGGCTCTTAAAGTACCACCCTTATGACCGAAATTAGTATTACTAATGTCCTGGGTCGGCAACACAGTGTTTTCTGTTTGGTATTAAAAATCTTTGATTTCTGGATGTGTCTTTGTTAGTTTTGGTTCTGTGTTCCCACTGTTCTGTGTGCCTCTGAGTTTCGTCTGTGGATTTCCTGTTTTACATTTAGATGGTCTTGTCTCATGTTAGTGTATTCTGCTTTACTTCCTTGTCTTGTCTTGCCCAATTAGTTGCAGCTGTGTTGCCATCTGTTCCCTCATGTTCATGCCTGTGTATATATGTATATATAGTGTGTGTTTGCCTTTGCTCGTCGTTACTCCGTCTGTGTTACTCGGTGTATCTCTGCATCTCTCTGCCCTACAGTCTCTGTGTCATCACTCTGCGTCCTAATGGTTTCAGGTTAGTTGTCCCCAGTTTAGGTTTTGGTAGATCCTCCGTTCCTGTTTTTGCCATTTTGCCAATCCTGTAAATAAAGCTCACTCGCATCACAGCCTATGCTGTGATGCGAGTGGTAAGTGAGAAATCTTGGGTCCTTACTCTCACACACCACACGACTGCGCTGAGCTACTAGGTGTTTGCCTTTTGCATTCCTAATCCAAGTCAAGAAGGCGTCAGGCAGAAGGCTGATGGTAACTGGATGAGATGTCCTGCATGATCCATTAGAGGCAAAGCTTGAGGGCAGCATAGTGACAAGATGGTTAGCACCAATGACTATAGAAAACAGTCATTGGTTAGCACTCTTGCCTTGAAGCAGCTAAGTTTTGGGTTTGCAAAATCACATGGTTAGCTTAACTGGTGATTCTAAATTCCTTAGGTGTGAATTATTGCCTGCCTCTCTGCGTTAGAGGCAACCTGTCCAGAGTGTAACAAACAACCTCTATCTCACACATGCCATTCCAAAATTAGATGGCGATTCTGTGTTTTTGTACTCAAACAAATTCCTTATTTTGTTGATTTGCTGGTTTTGTTAAATCTTGAAAAATGTCCTTAACTTAAGCCCACGTACCGTAACTGCAGCGGTGACAACTGCCAAAGAACCAGGCTGAAGATTTGTTATTTAATGAGGTAAGTTGGTATTCATACATTCTCCTACATGTCAGACAGTCAAACTTCCTGCATCATACCACCCATCGTAAAGGGGCTTACATGTCATAAATGTCCCGGTCTGTCACACACTAATAAAGGATATACTATAATCTGCATTCGTCCCATGTTTATCTATTTGATGTATAATTTCAAATATGTGTACTTAGGTACTGGATAGTAACATTTCCTGCAGAGTTCAACCTGGACTTGGGTCTGATTAGAATAACAGAGGAGTTCAGAGACGTGGCAGCTCAGCTTGGCTGTGAGGAGCATTTCAAATTCATCGACATCTCAACCATGTAAGACATCAAAGGCACACAGATGTAGCTGAAGAAACTCTTGATATAATCACTCAATTTTAACAAAATGTAACATCTGGGCTGGGTAAAATTTAAAAATAAAATAAATAAAATAATAATAAAATAAAAACTTTTTTATTTAAAGGGGACAATATTTTGGTTATTTCCAGCTCTTTATTTTTACCATCAAAAGGCTACACTGGTGTTGTATGACTTACAGTTCTAAATAATAAAATAATCCAAATTAAGTCACACAACCATGAGATTTAAAGAGTGCACATCTAAAGCTTAAACATGTCAAAGAACTGTTCCGTTGATTCTTATGCTTTTATTCGAGTGGCTAATTGCTTCTCATTTGTTCTTCTTGCAGTCCATCATACGACTGGATGAGAAGGATTACCCAGCGGAAAAAGCAAACCAAAAAAGGGAAGGCCTCCCTGTTGTTTGACCACCTGGAACCCATAGAGCTGGCTGAGCATCTCACCTTCCTGGAATTCAAATCCATCCGAAGGATATCGGTACATTCAACTGTTGAGTGATGGCTGCTTTGTGGCTCAGGGATGGTTCTGTCATTGTCAGCAGAGGATGAATCCTAACACCATTTTAGTGCTCTATATACAAACTTCTCCTTCATAACTATTCTACAGCTACTGTACTAGTGTGGTCAGGGAAAATAAATAGTTTAATTATGACACCACATAGGGACATGTCACCATGAGGAAATCTAAAACTTAAATAGTAAAAAGAAGGCTCACAGGTTTATTAAATACAGATGGCCATATTAGGCTTCTCCTTAATACAGTTTTATTAAAAAATGATCAACATGAAAACAATACATGTGAAATAGTCAAAACCTTGAACAAGAAGGTATTGTGGAACACCATCTATTTATCAATGGCAATACAAAGTAAAAATGGACTAGGATGGGACATTTCAGAACCGTAGAAGGAGGGTTATAAAGGGGAACACACACACACACACACACACACACACACACACACACACACACGCACGCACGCACGCACGCACGCACACACACACACACACACACACACACACCTATGGTGCTATGTAATAAGTGCGATTGTGAAGGAGAGATATCCCCAGGGTTCAAGGTTCTTTATTTGTCACATGCATAGTTATACAAGTATAACACACAGTGAAATGTAGCCTGACACGCTCCTCGACATGTGCAAAAATGGGGGGGGGGGTGTAGAGGAAGAACATTATATATATATACATATAGTATATACACTGGGTGAATGTGCAGTAGTAGCAGCAAGCAGGTGAATTCTGTACATTAATATGAATAGACATCTGACTATTTTACAGGATAGACAATATAAACATATTTAAAATTAAAGGAATTTGAAATGTACATTGTGCCTTGGTTTAGTGTCTGGAAGAGAGTCCTGTCTCAGTCAATTATAGATGATGTGAGAGGGCGGGTGTGTGTGTTTAGGGCACGGATGGCTTGGGGATAGAAGCTCCTCTTGAGTCTCTCTGTCCTTGCCCGGAAGATGCGGAACCTTCTACCAGATTGCAGAAGTTGGAACAGTTTGTTGCCAGGATGGGATGGGTCCTTCAGTATCTGCGCTGCTCTAGTCCGGCATCTCCTGGTGTAGGTGTCCTGAAGCGGGGGGAGTGCAATCCTGCAGCAGCGTTCTGCTGTACGGATCACTCTCTGGAGAGCTTTTTGGTCCTTCACACAGCTGTTCCCAAACCACGATGTCATGTTCTGTGTGAGGATGCTCTCCACAGCGCCTGTATAGAAAATCCTGAGGATCTTTGGAGAGACCCTGAACTTCCTCAGTTGTCGTAGGTGATACAGGCGTTGCCTAGCCTTTTTGGTCTGGACCTGAATGTGGGCAGCCCATGTCAGGTCTGAGGAGATGTGGACACCAAGATACTTGAAGGACTGCACCTTCTCCACTGGAGCTCCATTGATGATAATAGTCTCTGTGCTGACCCCTTCTGAAGTCCACCACCAGCTCCTTGGTCTTGCTGACGTTCAGCTGGAGGTGGTTGTCCTGGCACCACGATGCCAGATTCTTCACTTCATCCATGTAGGCCGCCTCATCGTTGTTGGAGATGGCACCCAACACCACTGTGTCGTCAGCAAACTTCACAATGGTGTTGGAGCCATGGGTGGCCACACAGTCTGAAGTGTAGAGGGAGTAGAGCAGTGGCGAGAGGACACATCCCTGAGGTGCTCCTGTGTTGATGGTGATGCTTTTGGAGAAGCACCTGCCCACCCTCACCACCTGAGTTCTGCCAGTGAGGAAGTCCAACACCCATGCACACAGACGGCTGTTAAGTCCCAGATCCCTCAGCTTTGTGAACAGTCTGCAGGGCACTATTGTGTTAAACGCTGAACTGTAATCAACAAACAGCATTCGCACATAGTTACCCTGTTTCTTGTCCACGTGGCTGAGAGTGGTGTGTAGGACGTGGGTGATGGCATCCTCTGTGGATCTGTTGGATCTGTAGGCGAACTGCAGCGGATCTGTGGTGTCTGGGATGGAGGGGGAGATGATGTTCTTCAGCAGCCTCTCAAACACCTTCATTACTACCGAGGTCAGTGCAACTGGCCGGTAATCGTTCAGGGATGAGGGTTTGCTGTTCTTGGGCACAGGGATGATGGTGGATCTTTTGAAGCATGTGGGGACCACAGACTTCGCCAGGGACTCGTTGAAGATGTAAGTGAACACACCTGCTAGCTGGTCAGCACAGCAGCGCAGCAGATGGCCAGTGATGCCGTCTGGCCCCGCCGCTTTCCTTGTGTTCACTCTCCTCAGTGCCGCTCGGACGTCATGCTCCGCGATGCTGGTCACCGGTCTCTCGCTGATGACGTCACTGTCCTCGGTAGTCAGGCGGTAGATAGCATTAGCCGCCTGGCTAACCTCGAAACGGGCGTAGAACTGATTCAGCTCGTTGGTGAATGCAGAGTCAGCGTTGATCAGGGTTGCATTATAATAATAATAATAATAATAATAATGGATTGGATTTATATAGCGCTTTTCAAGGCACCCAAAGCGCTTTACAATACCACTATTCATTCACTCTCACATTCATACACTGCTGGAGGCAAGCTACAAGTCATTACTACTGACTGTCCACTCCCAGTCCTATCCAGCAGCAGGGAGAAGTAGGGCTGGGTATCATCACTGACTTCTATTCGATTCGATTCCGATTCAATTTTGACTCAGACAGAGAAGCACAATATAGTAATTCAGCTGGATTCATGCGGTCTAAGATTTCAGGTGCCCAACAGGAACAGTTACACATTCCAGATAAAAACTACTCCAAGTCTATTCAGGAAATGCTGCCAGAGACATTATCAAATGGTAATCAAAAGTCTATAAAAAAAAACTATACCAGTGAAATGTGACACTTGTAAAAATGACAAGAGGTGAATGCTGCAGCAAATCATAAATATTGTAATTAAGTGCGCAAAGCAGTGGAAGAAAAATAAAGATTTTAATTCAGCTAACAGATCATCTGCAGAGGAATGGCTTATTTGAAGAGTTTCAGTCAGGTTTCAGAGCTCATCACAGCACAGAAACAGCTTTAGTGAAGGTTACAAATGATCTTCTTATGGCCTCTGACAGTGGACTCATCTCTGTGCTTGTCCTGCTAGACCTCAGTGCAGCGTTCGATACTGTCGACCATTGTTACGCCCCAGTCTAGGGGTACAGGAACGCAACATGAGTTTGAAAAGACTGCCCTGCCCTGGTCCCCAAAACCATACACAGAGGGAAACCCAACGGAAACCAATTTCTTAGTGAATCATGATTTATTTTTCTACACTGCAAAAATGAAGCTCCGGGGTGAACAAAGGCCAAAATAACAAACAAAACAAACTAAGTCAGGAGGAGGTGCTATCTAAAACCCTATGTGAAATCAAACATCAAACAAAAGACAAGCGCTACACCTAACTCCCTAACTGAAATAAACAGGAGAAAACAGTGCAAGGAAAAACAATAAGGCAGCTCACCCCTTCTGTTGCAGTGCTATTTACAATGAAAACTAATGTACACACTATATACAAAACTCAGAAAAGCCGCAAAAATCACAGGCACAAAAGTCTCAGGTTTTGGAGGCCAGGGTCAGGTCTGCTGCTGCTGTCAGTGGCTGCCCCAGGACAACTGCTGGTGAGGGATTTGAAGAAGATCACATGGCCAGGGGACCAATCAGCAGCCGTCAGCTCATCATCTCTGGGATCTGCAAAGACTTAAAGGCACAGACAACAACAGCCACCAAAACAGATTATGGACAGGGCCATAACAACCATAATATCCTATTAGAGCGATTAGAACATGCTGTAAGTGTTACAGGTACTGCACTGCAGTGGTTTGTATCATATCTATCTAATAGACTCCAATTTGTGCATGTAAATGGAGAGTCCTCTTCACACACTGAGGTTAATTATGGAGTTCCACAGGGTTCAGTGCTAGGACCAATTCTGTTTACATTATACATGCTTCCCTTAGGCAGCATCATTAGAAGACATAGCATACATTTTCACTGCTATGCAGATGACACCCAGCTCTATCTGTCCATGAAGCCAGATAACACACACCAATGAGTTAAACTGCAGGAATGTCTTAAAGACATAAAGACCTGGATGGCTGCTAACTTTCTGCTTCTTAATTCAGATCAAACTGAGGTTATTGTACTCGGCCCTGAAAATCTTAGAAATATGGTATCTAAGCAGATTCTTACTCTGGATGGCATTACCTTGGCCTCCAGTAACGCTGTGAGGAACCTTGGAGTCATTTCTGACCAGGACATTTCCTTCAACGCACATATTAAACAAATACATAAGACTCCTTTCTTCCATTTGTGCAACATCTCTAAAGTTAGAAATATCCTGTCTCAGAGTGACGCTGAAAAACTACTTCATGCATTTATTACTTCCAGGCTGGACGACTGTAATTCATTATTATCAGGATGTCCTAAAAACTCACTGAAAAGCCTTCAGCTAATCCAAAATGCTGCAGCAAGAGTCCTGACAGAGACTAGAAAGAGAGAGCAGATTTCTCCTGTTTTGGCTTCCCTTCATTGGCTTCCTGTTAAATCCAGAATTGAATTCAAAATCCTGCTCCTCACATATAAGGTCTTAAATAATCAGGCCCCATCTTATCTTAATGACCTTGTAGTACCATATCACCCTATTAGAGCACTTCGCTCTCGCTCTGCAGGCCTACTTGTTGTTCCTAGAGTATTTAAAAGTAGAATGGGAGGCAGAGCCTTCAGTTTTCAGGCCCCTCTTCTGTGGAACCAGCTTCCAGTTTCGATTCGGGAGACAGACACTATCTCTACTTTTAAGATTAGGCTTAAAACTTTCCTTTTTGCTAAAGCATATAGTTAGGGCTGGACCAGGTGACCCTGAATCCTCTCTTAGTTATGCTGCAATAGACGTAGGCTGCCGGGGGATTCCCATGATGCATTGAGTTTTTCCTTTCCAGTCACCTTTCTCACTCACTGTGTGTTCATAGACCTCTCTGCATTGAAT